CTATAATGGATCTATAATGACTTATCTTTAACCATTTGAAATCTACATGTGTTAGCCGAAAACAAATACTTTCATGGTCACCAATTTCTCGAGGTAATATTAAATACATCTATATTAACCAACATGAATGACGTAACCCTGACATTCATACCAAGTGTCTCTAGATATTACAACATGTCTTCAGGATGCAATTTACTATCATTAAAAGTTTAATAAACTGATTAAAAGGCCCCATTGGAACCATTCTTATAGATTAACAACATGCCCATAAAATAGCAGAAATACATGGATGAATATCATAAAATAAAGACACAGTTAACATGTTTATTAGCAAAACTCCGCAGAATGTAACGTTTTACTAATTGTGTTTAATGATTTTTAAATAATGTCATTGTGTGTCATGATAAAGGTAATGTTTATTGATTGTAAGTAAAACAGATCCGCTGTTTCAGAACCCATTACCTTCAAAATCTCCCCATATTTTAGCTTTTTAATTTGTTTTGTGAAAATATCGCTACATAGTTGGTTATTTAAACATGATTATCACTCGATAGGTTGGCTTTATTTGTTGCATTGAATTTTAAGTGAAACAGCACCATGTATGCTAATTACTCTACACCCACACAGACGATTTCAAGAATCCAATATGAGAAATACACCTAAGGGAGGACGGTGGGTGTGTTTTTGTCCTAATTTGACAATATATTTAAATGAGTTATTTACATATGTAAATTGGATTTTATGCGCTATTTCCGGTCTACACTTGATCAGAAACTATGTATAATAAAAATCAATAAAAGCTGACGATGCGAGTTAAAAATATTCATGCTGAGATTGAAAAAAAATGTGTTTTAGAATGTTCCGACATCTTCCCCTAAGCTAACCATATATCCCGGTCATTGTATCTAAGGAAGTGGCAGACCACATCAAACTGTCATTATTTCAATGACGGCATGACACGACTATTAGGTACATTGCATAAGAGCATTTATTCGCTTCCATTTTTTAAAAACTCTAAGTGAATGAAGAACCTGGAAATGGACATTGAACACGTATCTATGACAAACATGTATAATATTAGCCAAATAACAGAAATACATGTATTTAGGTTACAATTTACACATCTTAAGCCATGCATTTTTGAGGAAAGAAACACAACATATCAACAAATGAATAACTACGGCAAACCCTACCTTTGTTAGAAATAATTGTATAATGAATACAGTAAATACACTTAAGACTGCAAGGAGCATCACATCAATCTACCAAATGAATGAATGAATGACAAATAAAATACTGATAACAGAATATATAAGAACAGATACAGATTAATATGATCTTTTTCAGCAGTTGCGTAGATATTTAGTAAAGTTAGAAAAGATGCTAAGAGAGAGAGAGAGAGCATATTATGCTGACCTTGACCAACTTGACCTCTATAGCCAATACGAATCGACCTTACTTTTAAATTTTTAAATATTACGTTGTGTTAACAACTGTTTAGGTGCACTAGTATTGTACACATTGTACCTCATCAGCACGGATATCTAGACTCTTATAACGAACCAATTTTAAAATCTTTTCTTGGTAACCATGATAGGACAGAGGTAGTGGGAAGATAGGAACTAAAAGGAGACCTATCAACTTTTTGAGTGTACCAGCAGAAAAGGACAGGGTCAATGTCCTTTTTTGACATATCATCATTAGTGACCAAGCGGGACATGGATAAGATGATGGACAGAAAATTGGAAAGATTAAGAGAAGACATACAACAGGAAAATTGGGTGTTGATCAAACAGCTGGACTAGGCCGAATTTTCGACCCTGGAAAAAGAGAACAATATTCTGAAGGACAAAGTGGAAAAATTAGAAGATTGTGTGAGAAAGTCCGAGAAATTCAGGTCTACTCTTTTTTTGAAATGCCACATAAGGATCTTTAGCAGGCAAGAGTGAACAATGCCCAGACAGACCACTGTTTAAAGCCACATACGCTAAACTATATCTGACCATGCCAGGCCAGTCTTTTATATAGCATAGGAACAATAAAGGCTTGAAGACAATCCCTTGCAGCACTCCAGACTCCAGATAAGTTTCAATTTCTTTATTTCCAAATGCATATAGCATATACGATACAATATGTGGACAGTTAAATATTTCATTCAATGACCATATCAGATACTTAAGATAGATTTTTCTTTAGACGTAGCTTGTATTACAAACTTACTAAGATTTCTTAATTTTTTAAAATTTGCTGGAGAATAAGTGAGTTAATTTGAATACAGATGGACGACAGAAATAATAAGGTTTGATTTATTTTGTTCAGAGTTCTGAGTAGGCTGGGCAAAACAAAATGAACTGGGTTCCATCCTTGCTGTCATTATTACTGCATAGGGTCACTGTTGTTAAGCCCTTAGAGCACCATTATACCTATCTGTTTCTATACTTAACACATGGGATTGTAACCTTTACTTAGTGGTGATATTTTTGCACTTGTAAGTTAAGATTTGGTGAGACTGCAATGCAAAATGATCTACAATGTATTAACATAGACAATATTTACAGATTTTTTCACTCGATGAACATTAAAAAATGCAAATGAACTTTTTCAGTTTGAGCTGTAGGACTGAATCCCCAAACTTCAGAAGCCTAATTTAGTAAACAAGCAATGTCAGTGTCGAATGATGTAGTTTAACCAGGGATGTATAATACAGCATTATTACTGTATTATACGTCCCTGGTTTAACAGAAAATTTCTTAATTTTCTATTCAATAAAAAAACTGGCCTTTCTATCCTTGGCAGCATTGTTATCCAATGCTAGAGTAAAACAACCATTGTAATTAAAAAGAAGTCCAAGGTAACAAAAGTTATCTCATTTTTCAATACGCCAACCGTTATGTGTCCATTGGTCATATGGGAAAACATGTTGATCTTTCCTGAGAATAACTACTTTAGTTCAGTCCAGCATTCAGCATATTTTGAAGAACAACGTCTTGCAAGTACTAGTATGAGGGACGAATGTTTACCGCCAACGACTATATATTCATGTCACGATTACAGAGGAAGGAACTGAGCCACTTGCGGATATCGCCATTAATATCATGATAATGCAATTTTATGTGATATTTTTGATGGGACACAATATCAAAACCTCAGAAAAATCTAACACTAATACATTAATTAGCTTTGTAAAGGGCTACATCAAACATTACACAAGCATCAATTGAAATATACCCTACCAAGATAAGAAGTTATGTTTATCGTAAACAAATCCAAAAAACACTTCCAATGATAAATCTTGATCAACTCTCACAAGACGAATTGATATACTGAAGTGGATGGAAATAGGAAGATGTATCTCGAAAACCGGATCCTTACTTCGGAATTCCCAGGACTCTACTTCCGCTTTCATTTTTAATGTTATTTCTATTTTATCATGTGATAGACCATATTAATGCTGCTATTTCTAAATCTGACGTAAGCTTCGCAGGGATTAAAACGATGTATATCACACATGATGCTACTATTTTATATGAACGAAAAATATGCATTCTGTATCGCAGGTGATAGGAAACATATTAACTGATAGCATCACGGTCACCTATGAACATCTGACAACTGTGGATATGGGATAACATTTTAGGTAAGGATGATTATGGGGAACTTGATTAATGAAAATATATGATAGTGTCCATTCTATTTCATAATGTATAGCTGGCTATTCCGTTTTATGCCTTTTCCACATCGCTCGATCACTACCTGACATAAGCACCTGATACTGGTTTTGCCATTTGGAAGTACATGACTTATCGAATTGAATAGGTTGACCAGACTGTTCGTCTATGAATTAAGGCTAGCCTACTGATCCACATGATTTCTGACGAATGTCAGCAACGGTTTTCCTAAATTAAATAATGTACCTGAAATGTTACATTTAAGATGTTTTGAAAAGTTGTTTTCTCCATATATTAAATCAGCTTAGGTCTAAAAGAACGGATCATTAGGAAAACAGATTTAACTGTCTACCTTTGATATGCTTTTTTTTAACTGTGACATGTATCATAAATTATCGCAGACAGATCCTCGACCTTCAGACTACATTGTACATGAACTAGATAAATGTAATCTACATGTTGTTCGAATATATCATACTCGTTCTCATTTATTTTGATTGACAATGTATGAAATCACTACAATGAGTTGAAGTATAGCCCATGTGATGTGAGTTACATCTGAACAATTTTGCTTTACTCTTGTATAATCAATAATGGGTCATTGTCCATGCACATTTTATACATAAATCTAGGCATATAAACCATTTCTGTTGACAGACTCTGTAAAAAGAAGCAAAATTTCATAACAATACAAAACGATATATTCATTTACTCTGACCAAGATATGGTATGTTATTGTTAAATTATGCTACATTTGAAAACAAATATAACCTATGCTACATGCTTGGTAGCTTTTCTGATCTAGATCTCTAGCCATGAATCTTATTGTCATTTGCCTTTCCCCTTTGGAATACCACTGTATACAGCATGCTTTTTGATACTATTGATACACTGGTGTGAAACAGGTTAGTGTGTGTATGTGCATGCATATTGTTGTATGTATACACGTTTGATTAATACCCCATTGAACTTAAGTTGGTGAAATGGTATTGCAAACAAAGGGGAAAAAAAGAAAAAATCAGAAATTTTATGATGAAAAGTCTGAAACATGCGTCAGGGAAATGTTTGGTGACAAGTTTGAGCATAATCTGATAAATGTAATTAGACAGCACAAGGCTGCATGTGTCTTCCACATCAAGAACTGGCATTCATCAATACTTACTACCTACGTTTAGCTTTAGTAATTAACAACTGAATAGAAATATCTGTTAATATCTATAAAGGTGCATTAGGAACATATGCAGGTCTCAACAGATACATGCTACAATATATACACTTTAATAGTAAGTAACCTTTGTTATAGATTAACTACAGAGAGGAAGGGATTGCATGATGGATGACTTTGCTGGTGAAGAGTTGATCCAGGCAGCTTTGTTTGATAATGATGAGTTGCTAAGGTGTCTACTGGAAGGGGATTGCCGTAACTACATCAACACAACTGACCGCTGCCATCGCACTGCTACTTACACAGCTGTGTCTAATAACAGTGTCAAGTGTCTCCGCCTCCTCCTGGAATATGGTGGTGGGTGACTTATAAATCTTACTGAGCATGTTACACATGGTACTACAAATGATAGATAATACTGTTAGTTTTGAAAACCAAGTTAGGCATAGTTTTGAGGAGTAATTTCATAATTTCAGATTAATTTAATAGGATTGATTATTTCATTCTTTTTATAATTTGCAATACCAGATGAATTGTAATATATCTTTTAGTTAAGATAAATAAACATTGTTTAGACTTTACATTCATGAATATCCCAGTACTCTTAGGTCTTCTTATATTATGTTAATGAAATTTTTAATCCAATATTTTCACAGCTGATCCTAATATTCCTGCTGGAGACATGCTCAATCTAAGAGTAAGTTAGTTTCTTCATCATTAGGAATTTTACTTTCTTGTATGATCATTGCCAGTAAAACATTTTTCTTTATCAAGCTGTACATCAAGTTGAAGTCAATATAGATAGATCATATGATTGATGACACATTTTGATAAAAATATCATTAATACCCAAGCGTGTATTTTGATGTAGATTTATGCATAATGTAATTCTTGAAATTGCTGTCTTCCGAAACCAAAATTTACCTGACATACAAGGTATATGTTAACTAGTGTATTTACTGAGGTCTGTTAGTAAAAAACTTTATTCTTTTCTGCTGTACCACTTCATCAGTAATGTCAAGTTTTCATTTAAAATTTGTTTGTCTTGTTTTAAACATTTTAGAATTTTATAAGAGGTTGATAAATATGTAAAATGTTACTGCTATCATCATCACATCACACTTGGAGGTTGTTGGGCTGTTGTATAGATTACTCTGTTGGTGTTAATCATTCAAATGATTGGTACTCAGGGTCACCAGTGTACATAATGGTTGGTGTTCAGGGTCACTGGAGGTCATAGTGATTGGTAGTCTGGGTCACATGAGTTCATAGCCTCAATTTATTTCTTAGCAGTGTCAGATATGTGTTTTTATAGTATGTATAAAATGTAGTGATTTGTGCTGGTACACTGGTTTGATATTGCTAATTCACAGGACAATGTAGATTAGGATTTCCATGTCAAGATAGGACAAGAATTCAATATCATCTCTTGTACACTTTGATATATATTGTGTTTTCATATCAGGTACCAAACTAATAAACAGCTGTTATATTACAATATTACTTCCCTTTGCAGACACCTCTACATTGTGCCCTGCTTGATGGAAAAAAAGAGATAGTGGAGTTACTAGTTCATAATGGGGCTGACTTATATGCCTTAGATGTTTTAGGGCTTTCTCCACTCTCCTTAGCCAGGAACATAGAGCGTGCTGACTTTATACAATGTCTGGAGAGAGAAAACGGTAGACTGAAAGATAAATATAATAAAACAGATTTTAAGATGATTTTAGAAATATTATAGATTTCATTTTCTATGTCAAGTCACAAGCAGAATCTTTGATTTCAAAATTCACATTCAAATATAGTCTTGCATGTTTATTGAAATATATATTTTTAGGTACAAAAGTAATTATTTGTAATTATTCTTTTATCATGACAACTGCTAAATCATATTCTGCATCGAAAGTGCTTAAAAGCTTCTAAAATTAATTGCCTTTTTTGTTGTTTCAGACCGAAGGGAGAAACTAGCTGAGATTCATAGGAAAGGTTAGACCATCTGACTAAGTAACAAAAGATAAGAGATACTATTGTACAGCAACTGAACTTCCTTAAGTGTCATAACATCAAGTGTTATAAGACATGGTCTGATTTAATTTGTTGGCTGTTGATCAAAGTAGATACATCAAAGGTCATGAATAATATTATGAATAGATTTTCATACTTTTAGGGAAACAAAGGTTTTGTCTTTTAATCTTGATTTATCTGGTTGCTGTATATTTTTTATGTTACAGATTTTATCAGAGCTTGTGAGAATGAAGATGTCAATGCTATTAAGTCAGCTTTAATTGTCGCAGAATCATCTCAACGTCTTGTAAATGACAAGATCACAGAAGATGGTCTCACAGCTCTTTGTCTGTAAGTGACTTTTTCACCTTAGCACATTGTAAACAACAAGATCACAGAAGATGGTCTCACAGCTCTTTGTCTGTAAGTGACTTTTTCACCTTAGCACATTGTAAACAACAAGATCACAGAAGATGAAGATGGGTAAATTCTTTAAAAACCTACTGCTTCTGTAGGAATGAATGGATATTTTGCATATTTTGTCTGAAACATTGTTAGGTAAAGTGTAATCAGTTTTGTATAAATGGTATGTTTCGGCTGCCAGTATCATACTTTTGTTATAATAATAATTGAAAGCACTGTTAACATGAAAAAAATACCATGTTTGAAAGTTGTAGGATATTTAAAGTTAATCAAATATATTTTTATAAACAATACAGGGCCTGTAGACAAGGTAACCATGACATGGTGTCTCTCCTATTGAAATGGGGGGCAGATCCTCGCGTGTTTGGCGACACAGGAGAGGGGCCAGCTCACATCATCTGTCAACAGGGCAACAGTAGTATACTCGAGCTCCTCCTACAGGTCAGTAACTAGTGAAAACTATCAATAGTTACCTTGGAAACAAAAAACAAATAGCAGTAAAGTCAGCAATCAATTAATTTACTAATTTCCTTAGTGTGCAAAAAAAATTTACAAAATGTTTGCTGTAGTTTAAATTTTGCTATTGTTTTAAATGCGGAAAAATACACAAAGTTGGCAAATATCAAAACACTGTAGGACACATTTTTGCCACAAGAGAAAAAAGTAACCCTTACGTTGGCTTAAAGGTCAATTTCATTATTTTGGAAGCTGTATTTGTAAAGCAGCTCGTGAACTGTTGTATGCTTTCATTTCAGCAATGTATGGACATAGTAAAATCCATGTCAGCTGATGAGAATCTTCCACTACACAAAGCTGTCGAGGGCGGCCATACTGCTCTGGTAAAGCAGTTACTGGAGTATCCTTACCCAGATGGTTTTATGGTAGAATGCAGCGTGGAAATAGGGACACAGAACTTCAGTTACTTTTTTCCTTTTGATGTCAACTCCTCCAATGTATTTGGACATACTCCACTTTATCTAGCATGTTTAGAAGGCGATCGCTCCCTTCTGGAGTATATGTTAAACTTTGAGGTGCTTGTCAACAGTTCAGGTCCTCCACTGTTTGGTCAGGTCTCAGGAAGTCAGGACACAACAGAACCCCTTACACCAGATGTAGGCTCTATAAGTCACTGTAAACCTTTTAAAGTAAATGTTGACAACACCAGTAAGTTTATCCCTCTTCATGCAGCTATTAAGAAAAAATACCATGGATTGATTGACTTACTACTGGAGAATAAGGCTGACCCAAACTGTTTCTACTTGCATAATCATCAACCAGTTTCAGCACTCATGGTCGCTTGTGAAAACAAGGATAGCCTCACTTTGGACAAACTCTTACGACATGGGGCAGAAGACAAAGACAACTCAATATTTACCTATGTTTTACGTGACCGACCAAGCCTGTTGCCTATTGTGCTCAAGTACAAGAGCACTAAGGAAATATCTGAACATACCATCAACAAAGGTGCCATGAAAGCAGCCTACCTTGAATCACTGTGTGGGTCATCAGATGATACAGGTCAATTCTCTTCCATCCATGTTAACTATAAAAAGATGTTTCCGGTGACTGCTGTCTACTTGCGCTGGCATAACTTGAAGGGATTAACAACTATAGAGGAAGGATGGCTGATGAGTTGTGCCTACCATCACAACCTGACAATGAAGACTATTAGCTCCTTTGCTTTATTTGCCATCACAAGGATAGATGTCTCCAACAACAAAATTGGAATGGTAGTTCCCCAGGTTTTTTTTAAACTGCCATCCTTGTATGCTTTGAACTTGTCTAAGAATATGCTGTGTAAGTTTCCTCCTGCAGAGAGTATGGTGATCAGTTGTAGCTGTCTGGAGGAACTCAAGATTGATTGCAATAAGTTAGAGTCCTTACCTGCATATCTCTTCAGTCTCCCGTCACTTAAACACCTATCAGTGACCAAAAACTTGATTAAAGATATTCCTGCAGACATCTGGAACTGTTCGTCTCTGGTAGTACTGAACCTCGCAGACAATAAGCTTGATTCTCTCCCTGAGCCAAAAGTTACAACTCTGAGGTCTTCAATTGCTGATGATGGAAGTGTAACTTTGGAGTTTGAAAACTCTATGATAATAGGTGCTCCTAAAAACCAGGTGAAACATGTAAATTATTGGTGCAGTCACCTTGATACCAAAGAAACAGACTTTGACATCAACCATCCAGGAAAGGATCATGTTGGCCTGAAGGACCTGGATTTGTCAAAAAATCTGCTAAAAGAAGTCCCACGCTGGCTTTGTTGTGTGTCACCACACATGGAAAATTTAAATCTTGCATATAATAAGATAAATAGTGTGTTTCGCGTTGGCATGTACCCACAGCATCTCAAAACCCTGGATGTGAGCGGTAACAAGATTGTGAACCTGACCCCTTGGGCTGGCGAGCATGATGCTGACTCCAGTATGTGCTACAGGAGTAGACTGTAAGTGTGTTGTTCACAGAGATCAGGTTTAAGTACAATGATAATTAGATAATGGAGCAAAAGTATGAGGTGTCGTAGTTATCCTATAATAAGTGCAGGCGCCTATCCCTCAGTAATGCAAAGTAAAGGAGAGGCTTATAACAAGGAATTGCTTGAAGATTTAGTATTTCATCAGAAACTGCTATAAATGTGGGTGGGCTTTTTAATAGATCTGTAAAGTATACAAGAAAGATTTCAGTTTTACTTGAAAATATGAAAATAAGAAATTCTAATTTTTTAAGTTATAAACAACAAAGAGAATTCTTTGCTTTAGAAGTGTTTCTCTGTAACTCTGTCCATCCATCCCTCTGTCTCTCTGTCTCTGCACCTCTCCCTCTCACTCTCTATCCTTCCCTCTAGTAACTAGTGCACAGTCTCTAAACAAATTCAGACCTATTTGACGTTCAAAATGGCCGCTTAGGTCACATCTTAAAATTCTTGTTATCGTTAACTATTCTGAAATCTCAAAAGAAGGACTCCTACCAAGACAGTTCTTTATTTAATGAGTTGCTTATTGTTCTCAATGGTCCTTACTGACATTGTAACCTGTGCTACATTCAAGTTAGAAGTTATAGCTACCATCTAGAAAATCTGGCTACCACGGCTTATCCTGGCCAAAATGTTGTATTGTAACAGGACTTGTGCAAAGTACACAGATGGTCCTAACTGAAATATGGACAGGTGCCACATTGAAATTGGCTTCCATCTGGAAAATATTTATATCGCTACATTTCCTTTACCACAGTTCCAGAAACTATATCAAGCAGAACTCTTAAAATATGATTCTTTGTGATAAAGTCTCTATTAATCAGATAAAAGCCAAAATATAATAGCTACATTAAATCTGATATTTTCATGGGGCTCAGATTTTGTGGTTTTTTTTTTTGTTTTTTTTTTAATCACTTTTTCACTATTTTATGGATAAAAATACATAACAGCTGGCACCAGAAAATACTTACTTCAACAGACTATGGAAATATAAATATGTGAAATAAGAGTGTCCATGAAATCCACAAAGATAAACTGCCCAAGAAAATTCATGATTTTACAGTATATACTGTTTACTACCAGCAGAGCACATGTGAATTTTGTTAGGAATTCAATGCTGTAATAATTCTGGACCGTTCTTAAATATTACAAAGAAGAAATAAAATATAAGATCAAAATTAATGAAATTCACATGTTTTTGCAATAAATCATTGATGTTACATGTATTTGCACCTTGTCTTGTATAACTGATGTGTGGTTTCTTGTCTATGTGGTACAGACAGAGGATGTCACCTTACCCAGGATCTCATAGTTCCTCATCCTACATGCCCATGTGTATACACCAGGGTCACACTCTCCTTGAGCGACTTGACACCCTTAACCTCAGCAACAACAAATATTTGAAGAAGATGATTGTGTGTAAAGATCAGCACGATCCTGTCCCGCGGAGAACAGGCTCATTGTCCTCCATTGGTTCTACAACTAGTGTATGTGTTCAATTACAAAGGGTTCCTCCCTTCGTTCATTGTGAAATCATCTCTGTGTGGAAACTTTTCACAAATCAATGGAGATTGGAAATATAATCTCTGGCATCACAGTGTGTAGAATGTAACAATCTTCTAAGCTCCTCTCACATTTACATGAATGGTGCATGTAACTAGTTTTGCCTTAGTATGAGTAGATTACTATGAGTCTACCTATTAAATAGTGATTTTTTTCATCATGCATGATTCAAGTTGAAGGTCACTGATATGTACATATTTATGTGTATATGTAGAGCATTCATTGAATTATGAATAGATCAGCATCACATTGACTCTTCTCCTCTCATTTCTGATAAGCTTAAATAACCATAAGAAGCAAACACATTGATGATGTTAGCACCGAGGACACCGAAAATCAAATATCGCAACTGTAGTTGATAAATTAAGATTGTTTTACTGTCTAACCTGGTATGAATGCAAACCTGTACTGTCAATATTTACATGGTATATATGGCTGTTAACAAGTTGCATTCATACTTACCAAACACACACCCCTCAGAATCCAACACTCGTGGGAATAAATTGTCCTTGACACTATGTTTAACCACAGATTCATGAAATGCATGACAGCTGTATGTAGTATACACTTAGATCCAGGATAATCTGTGTGAAAGGCAGTCAGTCTAATTACTACAATACAACATACCAGTCTAATTACTACAATACAACAGATATCGGTCTAATTACTACAATACAACAGATATCAGTCTTATTACTACAATACAACAGATATCAGTCTAATTACTACAATACAACAGATACCAGTCTAATTACTACAATACAACAGATATCGGTCTAATTACTACAATACAACAGATATCGGTCTAATTACTACAATACAACAGATACCGGTCTAATTACTACAATACAACAGATACCGGTCTAATTACTACAATACAACAGATACCGGTCTAATTACTACAATACAACAGATATCGGTCTAATTACTACAATACAACAGATACCAGTCTAATTACTACAATACAACAGATATCGGTCTAATTACTACAATACAACAGATACCAGTCTAATTACTACAATACAACAGATACCGGTCTAATTACTACAATACAACAGATACCAGTCTAATTACTACAATACAACAGATACCAGTCTAATTACTACAATACAACAGATACCAGTCTAATTACTACAATACAACAGATATCGGTCTAATTACTACAATACAACAGATACCAGTCTAATTACTACAATACAACAGATACCAGTCTAATTACTACAATACAACAGATATCGGTCTAATTACTACAATACAACAGATATCGGTCTAATTACTACAATACAACAGATACCGGTCTAATTACTACAATACAACAGATACCGGTCTAATTACTACAATACAACAGATACAGAATTACTACAATACAACAGATATCGTCTAATTACTACAATACAACAGATACCAGTCTAATTACTACAATACAACAGATTACTACAATACAACAGATATCGGTCTAATTACTACAATACAACAGTCTAATTACTACAATACAACAGATACCAGTCTAATTACTACAATACAACAGATACCGGTCTAATTACTACAATACAACAGATACCAGTCTAATTACTACAATACAACAGATACCAGTCTAATTACTACAATACAACAGATATCGGTCTAATTACTACAATACAACAGATATCGGTCTAATTACTACAATACAACAGATACCGGTCTAATTACTACAATACAACAGATACCAGTCTAATTACTACAATACAACAGATACCGGTCTAATTACTACAATACAACAGATACCAGTCTAATTACTACAATACAACAGATATCAGTCTAATTACTACAATACAACAGATATCAGTCTTATTACTACAATACAACAGATACCAGTCTAATTACTACAATACAACAGATACCGGTCTAATTACTACAATACAACAGATATCGGTCTTATTACTACAATACAACAGATACCAGTCTAATTACTACAATACAACAGATACCGGTCTAATTACTACAATACAACAGATATCGGTCTAATTACTACAATACAACAGATATCAGTCTAATTACTCGGTTTTCATTATAGATCTTTTAATTTGTGGCAATTGATTTTTTCAAATTTTGTTTGATCGCAAAATTTACGTAAATAATTACTCGGTTTTCATTATAGATCTTTTAATTTGTGGCAATTGATTTTTTCAAATTTTGTTTGATCGCAAAATTTACGTAAATAATTACTCGGTTTTCATTATAGATCTTTTAATTTGTGGCAATTGATTTTTTCAAATTTTGTTTGATCGCAAAATTTACGTAAATAATTACTCGGTTTTCATTATAGATCTTTTAATTTGTGGCAATTGATTTTTTCAAATTTTGTTTGATCGCAAAATTTACGTAAATAATTACTCGGTTTTCATTATAGATCTTTTAATTTGTGGCAATTGATTTTTTCAAATTTTGTTTGATCGCAAAATTTACGTAAATGTGTATGAAAGAAAGTTGGTATAGAGTAAGTATAGCTGTATTAAGAATATTTACTTCTGTGTCATTCTTCATTGGATCTTAATTATCATAGTTTTATTCCTATCAGGATTTCTGATTCAATGGATCATTCTGCCTTAGAAATTTAAGATTATGTATCTACTTGCATGTTAATGTTGTATAGTGTCAGATGTATACATGTATATTGTGTTTACATCTCATATATGTACATGTATTGTATGCATTTTATATTAGGTCACTTATTTTTTGTTTTTGATGTTTGAAATGCAACATCTTCTGTGAACCTAGATATAAAGCTTATTGCATGAACATACACAATGAAGCCTCATTTTCATATCTGATGCATTCTCATTTTTAATTTTGTGATATGGATACTAAATATACTTACAATGATTTGTTGTTTTTCAGATGGGGTCATTCCATGTATTGCCAGGTGTAGCTGATGAAGTGACCCGTCGCCTGATCTTTCCAAACTTGACCAGTCTTGACCTCAGCCATAACCCAAATCTCAGTGACCTGCCTCCAGAGATCGGCAGTCTTAAAAACTTAAAACGCTTGTCCCTCAGTAGGTCCATGATATCAGAGGTGAGTTTTGTCCCTCAGCAGGTCCTTGTTATCATTGGTGAGTTTTTGTCCCTCAGTAGGTCCTTGTTATCATTGGTGAGTTTTTGTCTCTCAGTAGGACCTTGTTATCATTGGTGAGTTTTTGTCCCTCAGTAGGACCTTGTTATCATTGGTGAGTTTTTGTCCCTAGGTAGGTCCTTGTTATCATTGGTGAGTTTTTGTCCCTCAGCAGGTCCTTGTTATCAATGGTGAGTTTTTGTCTCTCAGCAGGACCTTGTTATCATTGGTGAGTTTTTGTCCCTAGGTAGGTCCTTGTTATCATTGGTGAGTTTTTGTCCCTCAGCAGGTCCTTCTTATCATTGGTGAGTTTTTGTCCCTCAGTAGGTCCTTGTTATCATTGGTGAGTTTTTGTCTCTCAGTAGGACCTTGTTATCATTGGTGAGTTTTTGTCCCTCAGTAGGACCTTGTTATCATTGGTGAGTTTTTGTCCCTCAGTAGGCCCATGGTATCATTGGTGAGTTTTTGTCCCTCAGCAGGTCCTTGTTATCATTGGTGAGTTTTTGTCCCTCAGCAGGTCCTTGTTATCATTGGTGAGTTTTTGTCCCTCAGTAGGACCTTGTTATCATTGGTGAGTTTTTGTCCCTCAGTAGGACCTTGTTATCATTGGTGAGTTTTTGTCCCTCAGTAGGTTCTTGTTATCATTGGTGAGTTTTTCTGCCTCAGTAGGTCAATGCCCTCATGCCTTGGTTGTTTGATAATTATAATTTACTTTACAAATGCCCTCATAATTGGTTGTTTCACAGCTGTTATAACTTTACTTTACAGCTGCCCCCAGAACTTGGTTGTTTGAAGAATCTGATCACATTAGAACTTGACCTCTGCCCACTTCAGGGTCCTATTCAGGATGTAATCAAAACGTCGAAGACTCCTCGTGACATCCTTGGCTTTCTTCATTCTATCCTGGAAGAGTAAGTGTACCCATTCTGATGATGGTGACTTTACAGTAATCACAGAATTTTCAGTAAGAATCTCATCCATTCATTCATGAAATTTATATCCGAAGGAACAGTCACAATTTCTAATAAGAAATTTGAAAACTCCCTGTTCTGATGTATTATAGAAAGTGTTTGGTTTATGTACTTAAAAAAAAAAGAATAGATAAGGTCTTTGGAAATGAATTTTTGATTTTAGTTTATTTAACATAATATGTTTTTCTCCTCTACAGAGCAGTAGAATACAACTGTATGAATCTGATGTTTGTGGGTGTGCATGAAATTGGAAAGACATCCCTGCTGAGGCAGATCAGAAAGAACAGAAAAACTCCTAAAGGAATACCTATCCCTACTGTAAGTATCAGTATGTACAAGGATCTGTTTTTCTACTTGATTTATTTCTGTACACCCATTTTCTGGTATGGATTTTCAAGTACACCTAATAGAAACAGACAATTTTTAAGTATATCAGCTATGAATATATATTTATACTTCCATTGTACTGAGAGGACATTGTGATGTGGGAGGGAGTTTGTACTGAGAGGGCATTGTGATGAGGGAGGGTGTTAGTACTGAGAGGGCATTGTAATGTGGAGGCTGTTTGCACTGAGAGGGCATTGTGATGTGGGAGGCTGTCTGCACTGAGAGGGCATTGTGATGAAGGAGGGTGTTTGTACCAAGAGGGCATTGTGATGACGGAGGTTGTTTGTACTGAGAGGGCATTGTGATGTGGGAGGCTGTACTGAAAGGGGATTTTAACTGTTAAATATGGGTTAGTAATGGTATATATATAGTATATACATTTATTTACAGCATTGGATAGAGCGACGGGACAAGAAGGCTCATCCTACTGATGATGACACACCTCTCTCTACTGTGGGCATTGACATTCATGAGGTTGTCATCGGAGAGAACAGGGAGCATGGACCCATCACCTTCAGGACTTGGGATTTTGGAGGACAGGTAAACATCCATTGTAGAGGGCACTTTGCAGCTACCTGTTGAATATCATTGTTTTACAGTAGAGAAAAGTAATGATAATTTTCTACATACTAGGAAGTGAAATGCACATTGTTGAATAACTTGAGAAACCTACTCTGATGTCGTTGTGATTGATACTTTTACTTGACTTGTTTTGCAATAGAGTAAGTTATTCTGTAAGTTTTATATTGAAATTCAAAGCAAGTGCCAAGTGTAGTATAGAAATCGGGTAACATTTCTAGGATGTTACTTGCTTACTGAACAAATTGTCCATTAGATGTTCAGGATTTTTGTCAATGAGTTGAAGTTTTTGAACTGACATGGATTGTTTGGGATCAGCTAATGTATTGTATAGAATTGTTCGGTTCAGGTGACATAATTTGGTTGTTGTGCAGTAATTTCATGTACTGTATTGATCAGTGGGATGATGGGACAACTAGTTCACTGGTGGCTGTATTAAGACTTGAGAATTAAAATTTAAACCATTACTTTATTGCAGATATACTTTTCTTGTTTCGTTATTGAACCAAGTAATTATCCTTTGTAGAAAGAGTACTATGCTACCCACCAGTATTTTCTATCTGCACGGTCACTCTACCTGGTCATGTGGAAACTGACCGATGGTGAGAAGGGTGTACAAAGTATGTGGCAGTGGCTGGTCAATATACAGGTAGGTATCAGGAATGGTGACCAGTCCTCAATAATACACAGGTAGGTATCAGGAATGGTGAACACTCCTCAATACTATACAGGTAGGTATCAGGAATGGTGACCAGTCCTCAATAATACACAGGTAGGTATCAGGAATGGTGACCACTCCTCAATACCACAGGTAGGTATGGTGACCAGTCCTCAATACTACACAGGTAGGTATCAGGAATGGTGACCACTCCTCAATACCACAGGTAGGTATGGTGACCAGTCCTCAATACTACACAGGTAGGCTTCAGAAATTGTAACACCCCGCAATACTTATTTAAGTAACCCCTTATTGGCATTTCAGTTTTTGACTGAATGATATTTATTTCTAGTAAGGTAATGGAAGTAAAATTTTGTGTTTATTTTTAGATGCCAATTATTTCGGTTGACTGATATATCCATTCTTTATGGAATGTACTTGTGACAAACAATATTACTATTGTTTAATCTGAATACAGTTATTTAAACTATCAGAATAACATTTTAGTTTGCCATGAATGTTACAAAGAGCATGAAACCATAGATATAGTAAGGGTGATGTGAAAATCCTGTGTACATGACATTGGTCTTTGCAGGCAAGGGCTCCTGGTTCACCTGTGATTATCATTGGTACACACAAGGATGTACTGGAGGCACGTGCCACCAAGAAAAATTTCACTGAGAACTGGGAGGAGGACCTCAACAAGCTTATAGATCAGCAGTTCTTCCTCGTGGAGGAGCCTGACAAGTGTGGACTGCCAAACATCATTGATCGCATCAACATCAGCACACACAGTCGACGTGACGTCAACAAACTCATCGACTGTATCTACCGTACTGTGTTTGAACTCAAACATCCAAGTATGTTTGTCCACAGTTTTTAGATTGTTGGTGATTTTTAGTTCACCTTGTCTGAAGGACTAGTGAGCTTATTCCATGGTATAGTGTCCGTCATCTGTCTCTCATCTGGTGTCTGGCATTGGGCCATGGACTCTGTTCTAAAAATCACCACTTGTCATGAACAATGGAGTGAATGTTGTCCAAATTTGGTCAATAGCATACTTAGTGAAATGGGACTCATTTTTGTATAAACAATTGGTCTGATCTCCCGAGGGCCTGACAGGCAGGGTCCAAAATGGGAAAGTTCTTTAAAATGCTACTCCGCCTGTAGGAATGATTCGATTTTGACTAAATTTGTTCTGAAGCATTCTTTGGTGGAGGAAAATCAATTGTGAATAAACAGTGGGTCTCTGCCTCATGGGGCAGAAGGGATGGGGCCCAGTAGGGGAAACAGCAAATTCTTTAAAATCCCTCTCCTCCAGTTTGCATTTGTCCCAATTTGGTCTGAAGCATGCTTGGGTGAACGGGAATCAATTTTATGTAAATGGTAGGTCTCAGCTTCCTGGGATGGGTGGGGCAGGGCCCAATACGGGAAACAAAACTGAGTCTTTAAAATCCTACTCCTTCTGTAGGAATGATTTGAGTTTGCCCAAATTTGGTCTGAAGCATTCTTGGTTGTAGGAAAATTAATTTTGTATTGATATTGACTATTGGCCCCCTTGGACAGTTAGTTCCTTTAGTTTTTATGAAGCAATTTCAGCCAAGTGAAAGCCAGGTGAGTGATACAAGCCCTAAGAGCCTTTTGTTTTGAATGTCTCTCACTTTTCATATATTTTCCGTAAGTAATCTCAACCCATAGTCTCATCCCGTAGACCAGATATTATTCAACTAATGCTATTGTTGATTAAAGTATTTATATGTTTATTCTAAATCAAATTAATTTGTAAAATTTCACTTCATCATATTTTTTTGTATATGTGAAAGATAGAAAAGTTGATGGTAAATTATTGCCTATCAACTTTTAGCTTCTTCAGCCATTTAGATGAGAAGAGGTATAATTTATTGTTGTATTGATCAATCAATCTATGATATTCTGTGGTCTCTTCATTGAAATGGAGGATCAGAGTGTATTCAATCCATTTCATATGAAATCTGTTTAAACATATTTAGTTGATGATTGTTGAAATGAATATGTTTCTTTACTTCAATGAAATTGATGACTGTAGGGAGGCGACAAGAGAAACTGCTGCGCCATAAGATTCCAAAGAAATACCTGTTGCTTAAGGAGATTGTCCAGGAACTTGCTGTGGAGCGAGAGAAGGAGAAGAAAGACCCAGTACTGGACAAAGATTCCTACCTGTACGTGTCTGCACTAACAATCAATTTTAGTATTTTGTCTGTATGGTTTTGCTTTCAATGACAACTTTGACTCAGTAGTTTATATCTCAAAGTACAACACATCTACACATGCCTCTAGGAGACCATGAACATGATAATGCTGTTATGTTAAGAAGTATGTTATTTGCACATATATCCACATGTTTTACTTTAATTTTGTTATTTCAGTTATTTTTTATTACAAAATTTTGTATGTTAATGTATTTGTTTATTTTTTTGTGATCATTGTGAGAAAACTTGGATTTTATATATTTCAAGTCTTGTCACAAATTCTCATTTTTACCAAAATTAAGATGTGATGAGGAATACTCGGATAAAACATAATCAATTAGCGTTATACAAAGTAAACATTCCTGACTCTCACTCTTTCCTTGAAGTGACTGGGAGATTTTGATGTGCTGCAGCATCTTGCACTGATAGCAATTTCTTTGAATAATTAGTCCTTTTCGAACTAGTTTTAAATTCAGATATTATTAAAAACATGATAATTGACCGATATAGTGACCAGTACTAGATTCCCATAAATAATCTTGACCAGGAATAGTGTCCAATACTGTACTTAAGTAGATTCCTGTAAATAATCTTGTCTTTGTAACTTACTATTCTCTCATTGTCACTTGGATAAAATGTCTTTAAGAGCAAAATTAAAAAAAGATTTGATAAAGAAGCTTTAGATGTATTGTCATTTAGGTTTCACTGGAACATGTTCTTCCATACCATAGAAAATGATATATTGCCAGTGTTTAGGTGGTAATTTCCTCATAAAAATGACCTTGACCTACTTATTAAGTCACAAGGATGGATTGTGTTGAAACCTAAGTTTGGACATCCTTATCTAGAGAACCTTTCAGTCTATAAAGCTTAGGTAGTTTGATATATTAAATAGAGTATGATATTCTTCGTTATGTGAAAGTCATTTCAGCTGTCAAAGTCTAGTTTTTTTTATTTCTTTGAATATTTACCATTAGTGTTCAAGCTAGTACATGTTTCAATTTTACTTCTTTATCTCCAAATAATTGTTGATCAAGAAACTAGTTTTTTTGTCAGTGAATGAATTCTTGTATATTTACAAAGTGATATTTTGAATGCGTCAAAATATTTTTGTATTACATATCTTGAAATCATGTTGTGGTTTTCACTTTAATATCTTTGAGTCCTTGTCCCCTGCCTGAGTGTGTTGGCTAGTTTCATGATTACTTTGTGCCACTGAAAGGGCCTATTCTAGAAACTTTCTATTGGGACAGTCGTGGTATTAAAGCTGAGAAGAGGTTTACAACTATAGTCTACACCTACAGTGGGACAGTCTGACAACTACAGGATGTGGTATCATGATGATTAGTACATCTCTGTGAATGTGTATTTACTTTGAGCACTAGTGGTACCCATCCAAGTTAAACTTCATTCCATTGCTCCTCTGATATCAATATTAAGATATACAAGCTGTTTCATGAAAGCAGGGTCATAGGTACTTCATATACCAGTTGTCCAATTTCCAGAGCCATGGTGATGCACAAAATCTTCAACTTAACAGGAGATGAGACCAAGTAAGATGGAACACTTCTACATCAGCATATGTATATCTGTCTTGATTCTTCTGTTCACGATCAGCACCACCTCAAAATCAGACCTAGACAATGGACTGCAGAATCTAGCACCACCTCAAAATCAGACCTAGACCTGGGTAGGGGGCAGGGGAGAATCCAGCACCACCTCAAATCATACCTGGGTAGGGGGCAGGGGAGAATCCAGCACCACCTCAAAATCATACCTGGGCAGGGGGCAGGGGAGAATCCAGCACCACCTCAAATCATACCTGGGCAGGGGGCAGGGGAGAATCCAGCACCACCTCAAAATCATACCTGGGCAGGGGGCAGGGAAGAATTCAGCACCACCTAAAATCAGACCTGAGAAGGGTAGAATCCAGCACCACCTCAAAATCATACCTGGGTAGGGGACAGGGGAGAATCCAGCACCACCTCAAAATCATATCTGGGAAGGGGACAGGGGAGAATCCAGCACCACCTCAAAATCATACCTGGTAAGGGTAGAATCCAGCACCATATCAAAATTATACCTGGGATGGGGAGAATCCAGCACCACCTCAAATCAGACCTGGGAAGGGTAGAATCCACCACTACCTCAAATCACACCTGGGAAGGGTAGAATCTAGCACCACATCAAAATTATACCTGGGAAGGGGAGAATCCAGCACCACCTCAAAATCATACCTTGGAAGGGTAGAATCCACCACTACCTCAAATCACACCTGGGAAGGGTAGAATCTAGCACCACCTCAAATCAGACCTGGGAAGGGGAGAATCCAGCACCACCTCAAATCAGGCCTGGGAAGGGTAGAATCCACCACTACCTCAAATCACACCTGGGAAGGGTAGAATCTAGCACCACCACAAAATTAGATTTAGAAGGAAGGGGTGGGGCAAGACAGTTTCCAATGCCGCCTCAAATTTAAACCTGGGCAGGAAGCAGCTGCCAGCACCACTTCAATATTAGGCTTTAGCAGGGGGCAACTTCCAATTCAGAATCAGATCTGAGTAGGGTTAGAGGAGTATCCAATACCTAGATATGTATGTTGTAATTTAAGTCTGTAGATCTCTCTGACATCATGTAACAATGGGAGTGTCTCTTTAACACTGCTACATCAGAGTAGGACATCATAGGGTAACATAACCGTGTCGATTTACCCCCAGGGAATGCTCTGATTTTGAGTGGTGTTCTCAATTACATGTAGTATGTGTGTGTTCTAAACTAGTCAGTTTACCTTTTCCAAAAATGCAATTCAAATCTTTGAACTGCAAGTTTTTATAAACCATTCAGGGGATATGACAAGGTGTATGGATTAGCTTGCTGTATATCACTTCAGACACTTAGATTATATATACAGGATGTAACCATAGAGATGCTGTGTGTATGACATTGCATGATAATGATGTTTATTTGCATTTTGACTGGTATCTCTGCCATGGAAAGTATCACCTCTTGCAATAGAACAATTAAATTCTGTGATTTACAAAAAAATTCACTTTGAAAACATGAAAAAAAGTTTACTTTGTGTACACAAATGGCAAAGCTAACAAGCCTTTGTCAGGACAGATTGTTTTTTACATGTACATTTTGACGATCATACAATGATTTAACTGTAAAAGTGGAATTTATATGCTTGATAATATGGCATTATTTTCAAATTGCTGGATTGAGCGAGATATGGAAATATCTTTTTTTAATTAGCAAGAACCAAATTTTAGAATAAAGAAAAAAAAAAATTTTAGATTGCTAATCTGTAAACATCAGAATTGTTATAAGACTTTTAGACCTCGGATTGAAGAGCCTGCATGCTAGTCTCACATACCCCTCACAGGGGATACAGTAGTAGCTTAACCCCAGTCTTCTCTCTCCCTGCTAACATTTCTTTGATCCTTAACTACTAACTCCTGATCAGACCTTGTACAGTTGTAGTAGAAGAGATCTTATGTAATCAGTCAATCAACACTTGTTCAATTATCTCCACTAATTCACTTCTTTGGTAAGATGGTACTTTTACTCATTTAAATATGATATTCACTTAAATATCATAAAATATCACTGAAGATTTATATCTAGAATGAGATTGTGCATTAACTAACTTGAACATGAAATGCCATTAAAATTTTCAGTTGTTTTTGCATTTACTTATCAACATCATCACTAATTAATTAACCAACATGTTGATTACACTGTGGTCATATAGTTTGTGTTTTGTTGTTGGATTGCTTAAATATCAGTCTCTTGATTTGTCAGACTCAAGACCATGCACAAGATGCTGGACAAGGCAGGAGCACTATTTCGAGATGTGGAGGATGTAGAACAGGGTACAAGATTTCTCCATGAGAACGGTATATTTATTCATAGCTAAAGACTACTCAATAGATACCAAAATATATAATATATAATATCAAAACCTGGCTTCAACAAAAAAAAACGTGATAGCATCAAAATAAATAACCAAATCTAAACTATTGGATGGAAGAAAGATGTTTTATGAAATGACAAAATCTTGTTTATTTGAAAAAAAAAATCCTGTTATTGCTTTTGTTTACTTGTTATATAATATATTGTTTTTTTTCCCTTTTGTAAATGGTACATTGATTCCTTGTGTTGTAGGTATCTTGTTCCACTACGCTGACATCGGTCTGAAGGATCTGTACTTTCTCAACCCTCAGTGGCTTTGTGACCAGCTGGCTCAAGTAGTGGCAGTAGGACAGGTCAACAACTTCTGTAAAAATGGTTAGTTACAGCAGAAATCAAAATCCCTAAAAATGACTCTCCTGGTTTCTGTCGAGTGGATGGAGGGATGGCCACAGGCTTACACAGGTCCTTCCATTCTCTCTTTGTACGTTCAAACATACGAGAACTTGATAAGGCATTTTGTCCTATAGCATGTATACTATTGTATAACATGAACTTTTCATTATGTAGAAACATTTGTCATCATTGTTTTAACTATAGACAAACCACAATAATAAAAAATTTGTAAGGAACAGAATGTGAGATTAAAGAACTATGTGTATGGCGAAGTGGTATCCTTGAAAATTCTTCTGTTAATATGATGTCTCCTGCTCAAATCATGTGAGAAAAATGCCCATTTTATTTTGCTTAGCACACTCTACAGGCCAAGAATGTACCTTGGGATGGTGTTATGTGGTTTTGTAAATGAAGCAGTGATGCAAATAGAGTCAGATATTTGTAAACTTATGACTTTGATGTACGTGTATCACAGAATGACTTTCTCTCAGTTCAGGATTGCTGTATGTTTACTAACTAAGATTGTGATTTGCTTTCACAAATTTCATGATCGAAGCAAAATTTAGTTATGGTACCACAGTTGTTTCTGTCTATAAATAAGTCATCAATTGTGTACATAGTGGTACATAGAGACCACATATACACAACCAAAGTGTCACACACAGATCACACATACCTGGCCAGAGTGTCACACACAGATCACACATACCTGGCCAAAGTGTCACACACAGATCACACATACCTGGCCAGAGTGTCACACACAGATCACACATACCTGGCCAAAGTGTCACACACAGATCACACATACCTGGCCAAAGTGTCACACACAGATCACACATACCTGGCCAAAGTGTCACACACAGATCACACATACACATGGCCAAAGTGTCACACACAGATCACACATACCTGGCCAAAGTGTCACACACAGATCACACATACCTGGCCAAAGTGTCACACACAGATCACACATACCTGGCCAAAGTGTCACACACAGATCACACATACCTGGCCAAAGTGTCACACACAGATCACACATACACATGGCCAAAGTGTCACACACAGATCACACATACACATGGCCAAAGTGTCACACACAGATCACACATACCTGGCCAAAGTGTCACACACAGATCACACATACCTGGCCAAAGTGTCACACACAGATCACACATACCTGGCCAAAGTGTCACACACAGATCACACATACCTGGCCAGAGTGTCACACACAGATCACACATACCTGGCCAAAGTGTCACACACAGATCACACATACCTGGCCAAAGTGTCACACACAGATCACACATACACATGGCCAAAGTGTCACACACAGATCACACATACACATGGCCAAAGTGTCACACACAGATCACACATACACATGGCCAAAGTGTCACACACAGATCACACATACACATGGCCAAAGTGTCACACACAGATCACACATACACATGGCCAAAGTGTCACACACAGATCACACATACCTGGCCAAAGTGTCACACACAGATCACACATACCTGGCCAAAGTGTCACACACAGATCACACATACCTGGCCAAAGTGTCACACACAGATCACACATACCTGGCCAAAGTGACACACACAGATCACACATACCTGGCCAAAGTGTCACACACAGATCACACATACCTGGCCAAAGTGTCACACACAGATCACACATACCTGGCCAAAGTGTCACACACAGATCACACATACCTGGCCAAAGTGTCACACACAGATCACACATACCTGGCCAAAGTGTCACACACAGATCACACATACCTGGCCAAAGTGTGTCACACACAGATCACACATACCTGGCCAAAGTGTCACACACAGATCACACATACCTGGCCAAAGTGTCACACACAGATCACACATACCTGGCCAAAGTGTCACACACAGATCACACATACCTGGCCAAAGTGTCACACACAGATCACACATACCTGGCCAGAGTGTCACACACAGATCACACATACCTGGCCAAAGTGTCACACACAGATCACACATACCTGGCCAGAGTGTCACACACAGATCACACATACCTGGCCAGAGTGTCACACACAGATCACACATACCTGGCCAGAGTCACACACAGATCACACATACCTGGCCAAAGTGTCACACACAGATCACACATACACATGGCCAAAGTGTCACACACAGATCACACATACCTGGCCAAAGTGTCACACACAAATCACACATACACATGGCCAAAGTGTCACACACAGATCACACATACCTGGCCAGAGTGTCACACACAAATCACACATACACATGGCCAAAGTGTCACACACAAATCACACATACCTGGCCAGAGTGTCACACACAGATCACACATACCTGGCCAAAGTGTCACACACAGATCACACATACCTGGCCAGAGTGTCACACACAAATCACACATACACATGGCCAAAGTGTCACACACAGATCACACATACATGGCCAAAGTGTCACACACAGATCACACATACACATGGCCAAAGTGTCACACACAGATCACACATACCTGGCCAAAGTGTCACACACAGATCACACATACCTGGCCAAAGTGTCACACACAGATCACACATACCTGGCCAAAGTGTCACACACAGATCACACATACCTGGCCAGAGTGTCACACACAAATCACACATACACATGGCCAAAGTGTCACACACAGATCACACATACATGGCCAAAGTGTCACACACAGATCACACATACATGGCCAAAGTGTCACACACAGATCACACATACCTGGCCAAAGTGTCACACACAGATCACACATACACATGGCCAAAGTGTCACACACAGATCACACATACACATGGCCGAAGTGTCACACTCAGATCACACATACCTGGCCAAAGTGTCACACACAGATCACACATACCTGGCCAAAGTGTCACACACAGATCACACATACACATGGCCAAAGTGTCACACACAGATCACACATACCTGGCCAAAGTGTCACACACAGATCACACATACACATGGCCAAAGTGTCACACTCAGATCACACATACCTGGCCAAAGTGTCACACACAGATCACACATACCTGGCCAAAGTGTCACACACAGATCACACATACCTGGCCAAAGTGTCACACACAGATCACACATACCTGGCCAAAGTGTCACACACAGACCACACATACCTGGCCAAAGTGTCACACACAGATCACACATACACATGGCCAAAGTGTCACACACAGATCACACATACACATGGCCAAAGTGTCACACACAGATCACACATACCTGGCCAAAGTGTCACACACAGATCACACATACACATGGCCAAAGTGTCACACACAGATCACACATACAACATGGCCAAAGTGTCACACACAGATCACACATACCTGGCCAAAGTGTCACACACAGACCACACATACCTGGCCAAAGTGTCACACACAGATCACACATACACATGGCCAAAGTGTCACACACAGATCACACATACACATGGCCAAAGTGTCACACACAGATCACACATACCTGGCCAAAGTGTCACACACAGATCACACATACACATGGCCAAAGTGTCACACACAGATCACACATACCTGGCCAAAGTGTCACACACAGATCACATACACATGGCCAAAGTGTCACACACAGATCACACATACCTGGCCAAAGTGTCACAAACAGATCACACATACCTTGCCAGAGTGTCACACACAGATCACACATACCTGGCCAAAGTGTCACACACAGATCACACATACCTGGCCAAAGTGTCACACACAGATCACACATACACATGGCCAAAGTGTCACACACAGATCACACATACCTGGCCAAAGTGTCACACACAGATCACATACACATGGCCAAAGTGTCACACACAGATCACACATACCTGGCCAAAGTGTCACACACAGATCACACATACACATGGCCAAAGTGTCACACTCAGATCACACATACCTGGCCAAAGTGTCACACACAGATCACACATACCTGGCCAAAGTGTCACACACAGATCACACATACCTGGCCAAAGTGTCACACACAGATCACACATACCTGGCCAAAGTGTCACACACAGACCACACATACCTGGCCAAAGTGTCACACACAGATCACACATACACATGGCCAAAGTGTCACACACAGATCACACATACACATGGCCAAAGTGTCACACACAGATCACACATACCTGGCCAAAGTGTCACACACAGATCACACATACACATGGCCAAAGTGTCACACACAGATCACACATACACATGGCCAAAGTGTCACACACAGATCACACATACCTGGCCAAAGTGTCACACACAGACCACACATACCTGGCCAAAGTGTCACACACAGATCACACATACACATGGCCAAAGTGTCACACACAGATCACACATACACATGGCCAAAGTGTCACACACAGATCACACATACCTGGCCAAAGTGTCACACACAGATCACACATACACATGGCCAAAGTGTCACACACAGATCACACATACCTGGCCAAAGTGTCACACACAGATCACATACACATGGCCAAAGTGTCACACACAGATCACACATACCTGGCCAAAGTGTCACACACAGATCACACATACCTTGCCAGAGTGTCACACACAGATCACACATACCTGGCCAAAGTGTCACACACAGATCACACATACCTGGCCAAAGTGTCACACACAGATCACACATACACATGGCCAAAGTGTCACACACAGATCACACATACCTGGCCAAAGTGTCACACACAGATCACATACACATGGCCAAAGTGTCACACACAGATCACACATACCTGGCCAAAGTGTCACACACAGATCACACATACCTGGCCAAAGTGTCACACACAGATCACACATACCTGGCCAGAGTGTCACACACAGATCACACATACCTGGCCAAAGTGTCACACACAGATCACACATACCTGGCCAGAGTGTCACACACAGATCACACATACCTGGCCAAAGTGTCACACACAGATCACACATACCTGGCCAAAGTGTCACACACAGATCACACATACCTGGCCAAAGTGTCACACACAGATCACACATACACATGGCCAAAGTGTCACACACAGATCACACATACACATGGCCAAAGTGTCACACTCAGATCACACATACCTGGCCAAAGTGTCACACACAGATCACACATACCTGGCCAAAGTGTCACACACAGATCACACATACCTGGCCAGAGTGTCACACACAGATCACACATACCTGGCCAAAGTGTCACACACAGATCACACATACCTGGCCAAAGTGTCACACACAGATCACACATACCTGGCCAAAGTGTCACACACAGATCACACATACCTGGCCAAAGTGTCACACACAGATCACACATACACATGGCCAAAGTGTCACACACAGATCACACATACACATGGCCAAAGTGTCACACTCAGATCACACATACCTGGCCAAAGTGTCACACACAGATCACACATACCTGGCCAAAGTGTCACACACAGATCACACATACCTGGCCAAAGTGTCACACACAGATCACACATACCTGGCCAAAGTGTCACACACAGATCACACATACCTGGCCAAAGTGTCACACACAGATCACACATACCTGGCCAAAGTGTCACACACAGATCACACATACCTGGCCAAAGTGTCACACACAGATCACACATACCTGGCCAAAGTGTCACACACAGATCACACATACCTGGCCAAAGTGTCACACACAGATCACACATACCTGGCCAAAGTGTCACACACAGATCACACATACCTGCCCAAAGTGTCACACACAGATCACACATACACTGGCCAAAGTGTCACACACAGATCACACATACCTGGCCAAAGTGTCACACACAGATCACACATTCCTGGCCAAAATGTCACACACAGATCATACATACCTGGCCAAAGTGTCACACTCAGATCATACATTCCTGGCCAAAGTGTCACACACAGATCATACATTCCTGGCCAAAGTGTCACACACAGATCACACATACCTGGCCAAAGTGTCACACACAGATCACACATTCCTGGCCAAAGTGTCACACTCAGATCACACATACCTGGCCAAAGTGTCACACACAGATCACACATACATGGCCAAAGTGTCACACTCAGATCACACATACACATGGCCAAAGTGTCACACTCAGATCACACATACCTGGCCAAAGTGTCACACACAGATCACACATACCTGGCCAAAGTGTCACACACAGATCACACATACCTGGCCAAAGTGTCACACACAGATCACACATACCTGGCCAAAGTGTCACACACAGATCACACATACACATGGCCAAAGTGTCACACACAGATCACACATACCTGGCCAAAGTGTCACACACAGATCACACATACACATGGCCAAAGTGTCACACACAGATCACACATACACATGGCCAAAGTGTCACACACAGATCACACATACCTGGCCAAAGTGTCACACACAGATCACACATACCTGGCCAAAGTGTCACGCACAGATCACACATACATGGCCAAAGAGTCACACACAGATCACACATACCTGGCCAAAGTGTCACACACAGATCACACATTCCTGGCCAAAGTGTTACACACAGATCATACATACACATGGCCAAAGTGTCACACACAGATCACACATACCTGGCCAAAGTGTCACACACAGATCACACATACATGGCCAAAGTGTCACACACAGATCACACATACCTGGCCAAAGTGTCACACACAGATCACACATACCTGGCCAAAGTGTCACACACAGATCACACATACACATGGCCAAAGTGTCACACACAGATCACACATACCTGGCCAAAGTGTCACACACAGATCACACATACCTGGCCAAAGTGTCACACACAGATCACACATACACATGGCCAAAGTGTCACACACAGATCACACATACCTGGCCAAAGTGTCACACACAGATCACACATACCTGGCCAAAGTGTCACACACAGATCACACATACCTGGCCAAAGTGTCACACACAGATCACACATACCTGGCCAAAGTGTCACACACAGATCACACATACATGGCCAAAGTGTCACACACAGATCACACATACCTGGCCAAAGTGTCACACACAGATCATACATACACATGGCCAAAGTGTCACACACAGATCACACATACCTGGCCAAAGTGTCACACACAGATCACACATACATGGCCAAAGTGTCACACACAGATCACACATACCTGGCCAAAGTGTCACACACAGATCACACATTCCTGGCCAAAGTGTCACACACAGATCACACATACCTGGCCAAAGTGTCACACACAGATCACACATACCTGGCCAAAGTGTCACACACAGATCACACATTCCTGGCCAAAGTGTCACACACAGATCACACATACACATGGCCAAAGTGTCACACACAGATCACACATACCTGGCCAAAGTGTCACACACAGATCACACATTCCTGGCCAAAGTGTCACACACAGATCACACATACACATGGCCAAAGTGTCACACACAGATCACACATACCTGGCCAAAGTGTCACACACAGATCACACATACCTGGCCAAAGTGTCACACACAGATCACACATACATGGCCAAAGAGTCACACACAGATCACACATACCTGGCCAAAGTGTCACACACAGATCACACATTCCTGGCCAAAGTGTCACACACAGATCATACATACACATGGCCAAAGTGTCACACACAGATCACACATACCTGGCCAAAGTGTCACACACAGATCACACATACCTGGCCAAAGTGTCACACACAGATCACACATACACATGGCCAAAGTGTCACACACAGATCACACATACCTGGCCAAAGTGTCACACACAGATCACACATACCTGGCCAAAGTGTCACACACAGATCACACATACACATGGCCAAAGTGTCACACACAGATCACACATACCTGGCCAAAGTGTCACACACAGATCACACATACCTGGCCAAAGTGTCACACACAGATCACACATACACATGGCCAAAGTGTCACACACAGATCACACATACCTGGCCAAAGTGTCACACACAGATCACACATACCTGGCCAAAGTGTCACACACAGATCACACATACACATGGCCAAAGTGTCACACACAGATCACACATACCTGGCCAAAGTGTCACACACAGATCACACATACACATGGCCAAAGTGTCACACACAGATCACACATACCTGGCCAAAGTGTCACACACAGATCACACATACCTGGCCAAAGTGTCACACACAGATCACACATACACATGGCCAAAGTGTCACACACAGATCACACATACCTGGCCAAAGTGTCACACACAGATCACACATACCTGGCCAAAGTGTCACACACAGATCACACATACCTGGCCAAAGTGTCACACACAGATCACACATACCTGGCCAAAGTGTCACACACAGATCACACATACCTGGCCAAAGTGTCACACACAGATCACACATACCTGGCCAAAGTGTCACACACAGATCACACATACCTGGCCAAAGTGTCACACACAGATCACACATACATGGCCAAAGAGTCACACACAGATCACACATACCTGGCCAAAGTGTCACACACAGATCACACATTCCTGGCCAAAGTGTCACACACAGATCATACATACACATGGCCAAAGTGTCACACACAGATCACACATACCTGGCCAAAGTGTCACACACAGATCATACATACACATGGCCAAAGTGTCACACACAGATCACACATACCTGGCCAAAGTGTCACACACAGATCACACATACATGGCCAAAGTGTCACACACAGATCACACATACCTGGCCAAAGTGTCACACACAGATCACACATTCCTGGCCAAAGTGTCACACACAGATCACACATACCTGGCCAAAGTGTCACACACAGATCACACATACCTGGCCAAAGTGTCACACACAGATCACACATTCCTGGCCAAAGTGTCACACACAGATCACACATACACATGGCCAAAGTGTCACACACAGATCACACATACCTGGCCAAAGTGTCACACACAGATCACACATACACATGGCCAAAGTGTCACACACAGATCACACATACATGAATTACACTCTGGCAGTTCAGAACTTTCAGAAATAAAACTGTTTATGATTGTTTATAAGACATTTTACCTTATCTGTACTTATCAAAGTCAAAAAGTCACACTAAATTTACACCAAACTCCAATTTTTGTATTTTTTATTTGAAATTTTTCCACTTGAGATATTGAAAGAACATAGGGTATCTTCGATTTGAGATGCACAGGTCAAAGGTCATGGTAAACAACTGCACTGCGAGTGTTTGATACATGTATGAGAAGAGACGTAAATTCAAAGACATACATTAGTCTGTTTTCATATTTCAGTTTTCAAGTCAATATACAGAATCTGATGAAAAGTTTGTTGAAAGGTTCTTGTATATCTAAAGTGTTTCAGTGTACCTGACTGTTTATTTCTAAGTATAATCTTACCTGTACAGGTGTAATGAAGGCGGAGAACTTAAGGATGTTGTTTAAAGAATCCACATTCCAGCCAGAGAGTATAGAGCAGTATATCTGTGGCCTGTTAGGCAAGTTTGAGGTGGCCCTAGAATTTGACCGCAACAGACTGTTACTGCCATCCCTGCTCCCTACTGAACAAGAACTGGCCTCCAGCATCCGCAGCAACACAGATGTCAGGGTAGGAAAGATACCTGTATAATGGAGAATCTTATGAGGTGCTTCTTAGTTTTGTAGGGAATTCTTACTTTTCAGGTGACGGGATGGCTTGTAAATTGATGTGATTGTAGGAGTGGGGAAGGGCAGTGAGGTTTGGATGCTGAGGAAAATAGGATTAGAAGGGACAAGTAAACTAGTTTTAGGACTGTAGGTATGGGAAATGAAAGAGATCAGATTTTGATTGTGAAGTGAGGGATAGCGTTACTGTGAGGGAATTCATAATTCATATAAAGAGAACTAGCACCAAGTTAGTAATCAAGAAGGTGAAAGGAATATAGGTACTTAGCTGCAGGGATGGAAGGTGAATTCATTCAGATATTATTGTTGTATTTTCAGATATCTCTGTCCAAACCCTGTGATTCCAATGAGGTACAGACATTTTCCAAATTTCCTTTTGGTACCTCATTCAGAATGAAGCCAGGTAGCAACCAAACTAGTCCCTTCTCCTCACTAAAAAACCAGGACTCATTGGAGCCTAGTAGTTTGATCCTGTACAAGACAGAGTCCACCAACAACATTATGTTTTCCCTGTGTCGTCTTTATGTAATGACTTACTTCCCGAGTGGATTCTGGCCACGCCTCATCACCCGAATCCTCGCAGATGGTACACTGCATAGTATTGTAGAAAAACTGGTTGAAATATCCCCTGACATCCTTGCTGCCTGTACCGCTCTCAGAAACAAGATTCCAAAGTGGCAACCTTGGCAAACTGGTATGAAGCTCCTGTACTATGACACACCTCTATTCTGTATCAAGGAGGTGCTTGGAACATCTGCAGATCTTTGTCAATACAGCAAGTACTCATTCAAGTGTTTTATGGAGGATGACTGGACCAAGATTGACATGATAAACAGTGTAATACTGGAGATATCATTCCCCTGTGATTCCTTAGTGTTTCACCTGGCACAACATGGTATTTCACAGAAGAGCCTTGTAATATCACAGAGAGAACAAGTCTACCTGGATGAAGGTGTCAAGGCCTGCTTCATGGCCAAGATCACGGCTCATATAGACAATCTGCTTCATGACTGGTACCCTGACCTGGGAGAGGGACGTTTTAACCAGAATTGTTACGGACGTTACCTTATTACTCGAATTGTGCCATGTCCACACTGTCTAGGGCAGGCTGTGGATGAAGAAAGGAAAACTGACAATTCAAAGAATTGGCAATACATTTCCCTAACAGATTCACAAACCTCTGTCACCAATTCTCAGGGGATGCCATCATTTACAGAAGATGAGAAGCCTGTTCCAAATTCCAGGTAGGTAGAGTATAACCTGTTCCAAATTCCAGGTAGGTAGAGTATAACCTGTCCCAAATACCAGGTAGGTAGGTATAACCTGTCCCAAATACTAGGTAGGTAGGTATAACCTGTCCCAAATACCAGGTAGGTAGGTATAACCTGTCCCAAATACCAGGTAGGTAGAGTATAACCTGTCCCAAATACAAGGTAGGTAGGTATAACCTGTCTGAAATACCAGGTAGGTAGGTATAACCTGTCTGAAATACCAGGTAGGTAGGTATAACCTGTCCCAAATACAAGGTAGGTAGGTATAACCTGTCCCAAATACCAGGTAGGTAGGTATAACCTGTCCCAAATACCAGGTAGGTAGGTATAACCTGTCCCAAATACAAGGTAGGTAGGTATAACCTGTCCCAAATACTAGGTATGTAGGTATAACCTGTCCCAAATACTAGGTATGTAGGTATAACCTGTCCCAAATACCAGGTAGGTAGGTATAACCTGTCCCAAATACTAGGTAGGTAGGTATAACCTGTCCCAAATACAAGGTAGGTAGGTATAACCTGTCCCAAATACTAGGTAGGTAGGTATAACCTGTCCCAAATACCAGGTAGGTAGGTATAACCTGTCCCAAATACCAGGTAGGTAGGTATAACCTGTCCCAAATACCAGGTAGGTAGGTATAACCTGTCCCAAATACTAGGTAGGTAGGTATAACCTGTCCCAAATACCAGGTAGGTAGGTATAACCTGTCCCAAATACCAGGTAGGTAGGTATAACCTGTCCCAAATACCAGGTAGGTAGGTATAACCTGTCTGAAATACCAGGTAGGTAGGTATAACCTGTCCCAAATACCAGGTAGGTAGGTATAACCTGTCCCAAATACCAGGTAGGTAGAGTATAACCTGTCTGAAATACTAGGTAGGTAGGTATAACGGGTCCCAAATACAAGGTAGGTAGGTATAACCTGTTCCAAATACAAGGTAGGTAGAGTATAACCTGTCTGAAATACCAGTTAGGTAGTGTATAACCTGTCCCAAATACAAGATAGGTAGGTATAACCTGTCTGAAATACCAGGTAGGTAGGTATAACCTGTCCCAAATACCAGGTAGGTAGGTATAACCTGTCCCAAATACAAGGTAGGTAGGTATAACCTGTCCCAGGTAGGTAGGTATAACCTGTCCCAAATACCAGGTAGGTAGGTATAACCTGTCCCAAATACCAGGTAGGTAGGTATAACCTGTCTGAAATACCAGGTAGGTAGGTATAACCTGTCCCAAATACAAGGTAGGTAGGTATAACCTGTCTGAAATACCAGGTAGGTAGGTATAACCTGTCCCAAATACCAGGTAGGTAGGTATAACCTGTCCCAAATACCAGGTAGGTGGGTATAACCTGTCTGAAATACCAGGTAGGTAGGTATAACCTGTCCCAAATACTAGGTAGGTAGGTATAACCTGTCCCAAATACCAGGTAGGTAGGTATAACCTGTCCCAAATACAAGGTAGGTAGGTATAACCTGTCCCAAATACCAGGTAGGTAGGTATAACCTGTCTGAAATACCAGGTAGGTAGGTATAACCTGTCCCAAATACTAGGTAGGTAGGTATAACCTGTCCCAAATACCAGGTAGGTAGGTATAACCTGTCCCAAATACCAGGTAGGTAGGTATAACCTGTCCCAAATACCAGGTAGGTAGGTATAACCTGTCCCAAATACCAGGTAGGTAGGTATAACCTGTCCCAAATACCAGGTAGGTAGGTATAACCTGTCCCAAATACCAGGTAGGTAGGTATAACCTGTCCCAAATACCAGGTAGGTAGGTATAACCTGTCCCAAATACCAGGTAGGTAGGTATAACCTGTCTGAAATACCAGGTAGGTAGGTATAGGTAATAACCTGTCCCAAATACCAGGTATGTAGGTATAACCTGTTCCAAATACAAGGTAGGTAGAGTATAACCTGTCCCAAATACCAGGTAGGTAGGTATAACCTGTCTGAAATACAAGGTAGGTAGGTATAACCTGTCCCAAATACCAGGTAGGTAGGTATAACCTGTCCCAAATACCAGGTAGGTAGGTATAACCTGTCCCAAATACAAGATAGGTAGGTATAACCTGTCCCAAATACAAGATAGGTAGGTATAACCTGTCCCAAATACCAGGTAGGTAGGTATAACCTGTCCCAAATACCAGGTAGGTAGGTAACCTGTCTGAAATACCAGGTAGGTAGAGTATAACCTGTCCCAAATACCAGGTAGGTAGGTATAACCTGTCTGAAATACCAGGTAGGTAGGTATAACCTGTCCCAAATACCAGGTAGGTAGGTATAACCTGTCCCAAATACCAGGTAGGTAGGTATAACCTGTCCCAAATACCAGGTAGGTAGGTATAACCTGTCCCAAATACCAGGTAGGTAGGTATAACCTGTCCCAAATACCAGGTAGGTAGGTATAACCTGTCCCAAATACAAGATAGGTAGATACCTGTCCCAAATACCAGGTAGGTAGGTAGTCCCAAATACCAGGTAGGTAGGTATAACCTGTCCCAAATACCAGGTAGGTAGAGTATAACCTGTCTGAAATACTAGGTAGGTAGGTATAACGGGTCCCAAATACAAGGTAGGTAGGTATAACCTGGTATAACCTGTCCCAAATACCAGGTAGGTAGGTATAACTAGATGTCCCAAATCATGATAGGTAGGTATAACCTGTCCCAAATACACATAAGGATGTATAACACATAAATCTCACCAAAAAGGGTGAATACTTTGTTGATGTCATAGCTATGTCTAGGGATTTTCCTCATCCCAAGTGTAAGACAAGCTTTGAAATCTCACACTGGTTAAAAGCATGGCTATACCTGTCCAGAGTAAGACAGTAGGCCTCAAAACAAGTAAATGGTAAGAGGTTATTTTCAGTTTAAAGTAGACATGTATATACTTTCCTGAGATTACTAAGTCAGTTTATATCAAGTATCTTTTAGTTCAAGGTGTTGTTTCATCTTATGGAAGCTGACTAGCTCAGTTACAAGTGATTTGTGTAGTTGTTAGGATGAAATGATAAGGTATGTGAAATACTTTGGGATTAGAATTGCTAAATGTTTCTTTGTTCTAACAGAGATGACGTGAGTGAGAACAAGCACAATGTCCTTAACTGTTTTGTGGTGGAACGAAGCATTGTCAACTACCTGTGTGGTTACGATGAGATCTGTGACCGCCATGGCAGTGTGTCCCCAACCTACATGATGTCCTCCGACGGTACATGTAGAATTTTACATATAGCCCCAGATGTGGTAAGTCAACATTGGCCTGAATTTCACTATCACCTGCCATGCAATATATTATCTGTAGTAGACTGAACTAGGTAGTTCCATGATGTCCATTGAATCAGTTTCTTGCAATTATAAATCTATAAATGTAAATTTGAATTAAATTGTATTTATATGTATCTATAGCAACAATAAACCTGCATTTGGTAATAAACTCACTCTTAATTATTGAAGTTCATAAGGGTTACCAAGATTTTGGGTTGGAGATTATGTTTTTTGTTGTCCTATAATAAGACAGACTTTTGAGTTGGAGATGATGTTTTTTGTTGTCCTATAATAAGACAGACTTTGAGTTGGAGATGATGTTTTTTGCTGTCCTATAATAAGACAGACTTTGAGTTGGAGATGATGTTTTTTATTGTCCTATAATAAGACAGACTTTGAGTTGGAGATGATGTTTTTTGTTGTCCTATAATAAGACAGACTTTGAGTTGAGTTTTCAATGACTACACTATCACTTTCATCAGACAAATGACCAGTATGAATGATGCTAGTGTCACAGGTCATTATTTATTTCAATGCCTCCGCGTTCGAACCAGGCACCCCTGGCTTATTAGTCTAACACTCAACCAATCCAGCTAAAGAGAAGTTCTCTCTTGCCGAGTGGTATATTGCAGCTAGTATATTACCAGGGTTACATACTCCCCCTCTAGCAACGATGTATGAAGTGTCCTAGATAGTATGGACCCGACTTACCTTTTGACTGGATTAAAATCCTTTGTACAATTATAACTGTATACTAAGAATTAATAGTAAATAAAAAATGATATTTAAAGTAAATTATAATTCTTCTTTTCAGGTGTTTAGTGATTTAGACAGTGAAGTACTGATTGGTCCATCTGATCACCTGACCCTCGACAAAACACTAGGCCGAGGAGGATTCGGAGATGTTTATGCAGGAACTCTTAAAAGGGTGTGTCCATTGTTACTGATGATTCTATAGTTGTAGAATTAGGTAGTGTTCAGTGTTACAGTTATTATCTATATGTAAACCCTGATCCTGATCTTTGTATTTTAAGAAGATTTTTTTAGCCCAAATGGTCAAGTGATCTATACAGATACTGCAGCATCCTATAAATTGTAACCAGTCATGTATTGCTGAGTAGATTTTAATCATTTTTTAGTCTGGAGCATCCTTTGGGGAAGAGGAACAAATCTTGTATAAAAGGTTTTATTGGATTTTGCCTGTATTTGATATCAGTTAAACTTTAGGTTTCTGCCTTTTGGAAGAGCAGGATCCAAGAAGCAAAATCTTTAAAATTCTTCATCTTCTGTAGGAATACCTGCATGTTGTCTCAATTTGGCCTAAAAACATGCATTGGTGAATCATGTTTGTATTAATGGTCAAACTCAGCCCTGTAGGGAGGGAGGGATAGGGTCCAGTAGGGGAAATAAGACAAATTTTTAAAAATCATTCTTCATATTTAGGAATGCCAAGATTCTGTACCAATTTGAGACATGCTTAGGTGAATGGAATCAGACATGTATGAACAGTAGATTGCTGACTACTGAGGCATGAGGGATGTTGCCAAGTAGTGGAAATAGAGCAAAGTCCTTCAAATTCTTCTTACGTTGGAGCTGAAGGCATCCTTGGTAAAAAGAACTTAGTTTTTTCAAACATTGCTTCTAACCCACTTTTGGAGGAGGTTTGAGCCTATTATGGGGAAATAGCTACAAGTTTTTTAAATACTTTTCCCTTAGTTAAAATAAATCAATTTTAGAAACTTAATCAGGTGAGTGATACAGGCCTTATGGGCCTCTTGTAATATTGACCTTTCATTGCAAACTTCATGGTTGCTGTAGAGAAAAAAAACTCATCCAAGAATCTTATTAATATAGAGATATATGTGTATTTTATCAGATTTGCACCCAAGTTTGTGCCAGGAATCAATTTAGTTCATATTATAGAAGAAGATATCCACACAAATTTCATGTTAACACTTCAAGTTTGGATTTCTGTCTTTTCCAAAAAATAGGGATTTGGACAGAAAACAAAAAGAAAAGAGAATATTAGGTGTTGGTTTGTTCATTATCAAATTTGTAATTAAAATATAATTCAAAATCAGTATACCCCATAAGGATACATTTACTGCATTTATTCTGAGATAAGCCTTACTGAACAGCACTAACTGTTTAAGTCAAACTCTAGATAAGCCCACAACTTATATCAGATCCTTGAGCCACTTGCTGTTGTGTCTGACATAAAGTGTCCCAATAGAGAGGTTGAGTCATTCTGAGTTATCATATAAAGCTTTGTACCCCAGCTATCATATGTAATTATTTAAGGTTTAGTGTTGCTTCATAACATCTTTATTAGTGTTACAGTATATGGAGTAATTGTTTGAGAGCTGATGTCCTATTTATATGTTGCATGTTTTTGTCTGTAGGTTGAGAAGCCAAAGCGTGATGTGGCAGTTAAAATTCTGTTTGCTTCCCACAAAGACACTCCTCACCGTAGGGTCAGTATGTGTAATTATAACACTTTATCATTTAATGCTCGGTGAAAACTTTACAGGTGAAATGAGTAACAAAAGCAGTATGTTTGATTCTTCCAGTAGATACAGATTGTATTGACAACATTTGTCAAATTTTTGTTGTAATTACTTAATAGATTACAATGAAATGTTATTTACTGTGACATTGTCAATATTAAAGGAACACTCTTATTACTAAAACAAAATGTTCTTCCTGTACTGGTGATGAGCAGAAAGTGTCGTCAAACAAATAAGTGGTATTATGTTAACTTGACCTTGACTTTGTCCTGACCTTCATTTTAGTAACAGAGATCAGCTATTGTAACCTTGACCTTGATTACAGAAAGATAACCTGTGATATGTCATTGACCTTAGTTACAAAAGGATCAACTGTATCATGATCTTGACCTTGGATATGGAATGATAACATGTTTTATGACCTTGATCTTAATTACAGAAAGATCACCTGTATATGCAGCGAGCCTGTGATGCCTATCTGACAGCCCGACAGGAAGTGTCCATCCTTCAGGACATCCAGCACCACAACATGGTGCCACTAATAGGACTGTCTATCACACCTCTAGGGCTTATTCTGGAACTTGCCCCACATGGCTCCCTCAGAAACATCCTTGACAAACTTAAGAGTGGAGGCCAAAGGCTGTCTGTATCCACTATCAAACAAACCATTATACAGGTAAGCATACTTCCATACCTTGTGTGTCATGTGTTTAGTATTTGAGTTAACATCTTCTATGTATTTTGTACTATTTGCAGGTGGTAAACACTCTTTGTAGGTTTTAGTTCATGTGGTTTATTGTAACCTGCATGTAATGGTATAGTTTGTCTAAATAGAGACATGATACACATGTACTTAATGTACTCTGGTAGCCATTCCATATTGAATTGAAAATGATAAAATTTATGACATTTATTGAATTTTCATTCACTTTAATTAAGCTCAGTTGTCTATTTGGGCCCTAGATAGTACCAGTGACAAGTCCTTGAAGGAAGAAACAGCTGTGTGAAATAGTTTTCTTTATAAACTGACACTAACATATCTAATTCTAAATTCGTTTTGAATCAATAATTTCACTTTTGTGTCTTTGGTACAGTTTTTATTCAGTTTGAACAACCATTATACAGTAAAGAAATTTAGGATAAAGGAACAATTGTAATCTTGTTTTACAGTTACTTAGTACTGTTAATGTCAGCAAAGGTGTGTAAGCTTTTTTATTTTGCAACATTTTCTTCAGGCTGGTATGTCAATAGAATAGAAGTTCTTGTAACACAACCAGTAGAAGATTTAAGACTACATCTGTCAGAGCTAGTATGCTCCATACTGGTCATTTGTCTGATGAAGGTGATCATGTAGTCATTGAAATGTCACAATCTACTGGTTGTATTACAAGAACCTCTACCCTAATGATATCATTTTTGTTGAAATATGTTTTCATCAGCAATTAAATCATATTTTTTTTTAAATTGTTGCAGGTTTCGGATGCCCTGGCCTACCTTCACCTTGGCTCTGTAATCTACCGAGACCTGAAGGCTGATAATGTACTAGTGTGGAAGATTCCATTCATGGACAATACTGGTGACCTTGGAATGGTTCACATCAAATTGGCAGACTATGGCATCAGTCGGTCTGCACTACCCTCTGGCACCAAGGGCTTTGGAGGGACTCCACCCTTTATAGCTCCAGAAATTCTGCAATATGCTGGCAAACATACCTACACAGAACTGGTTAGTCTAATAGATAAGTTTAACAAGCTCCTTGAAACCTGTCTTTTCTTTCAATGTAACTGGAAAGAATTTGGAAATTAATATAACTGAGAAAATTTTAAATAACTCTTACAAAAGTATGAATGTGAGAAATAGATTATCTAAATATATGTTTTCAAGATTGATATATCTTTTTCAATGGCTGACATTCTGTAACAAAATCTCGTTTGAAAATTGGCTTGACTTTGAATGAGATTGTTACAGAATTTTAGACCGTGACAGATTAATCAATCTTAAAACCCGGTAACAGATTCTCTTAATCCGTACTAGTAATCAACGCAAATTTATAATTGAGAAGTTCTACTGCAAATACCAGATTTTTTTTTGTTTATGTTTTGTTTTGTTTTTTTTTTCTTTTTTGATAATAACTTTGACTCTTAACTTCATGTTTACTTGTTAATCACAGGTTGACATTTTCTCATTTGGAATGTTTATGTACGAGCTGTTGACATGCTCGAAGCCACTTGAGGATGTTACCAACCCAACATTATTCATCTGTCAAAATGGTCGTCCATGTATCACACACAAGGTAGGATGATTGATGATGGTGATGATCCATTAGAAAGTTCTGGTGATGATCCATTAGAAAGTTCTGGTGATGATCCATTAGAAAGTTCTGGTGATGAACCATTAGAAAGTTCTGGTGATGAACCATTAGAAAGTTCTGGTGATGATCCATTAGAAAGTTCTGGTGATGAACCATTAGAAAGTTCTGGTGATGAACCATTAGAAAGTTCTGGTGATGAACCATTAGAAAGTTCTGGTGATGAACCATTAGAAAGTTCTGGTGATGAACCATTAGAAAGTTCTGGTGATGAACCATTAGAAAGTTCTGGTGATGAACCATTAGAAAGTTCTGGTGATGAACCATTAGAAAGTTCTGGTGATGAACCATTAGAAAGTTCTGGTGATGATCCATTAGAAAGTTCTGGTGATGAACCATTAGAAAGTTCTGGTGATGAACCATTAGAAAGTTCTGGTGATGAACCATTAGAAAGTTCTGGTGATGAACCATTAGAAAGTTCTGGTGATGATCCATTAGAAAGTTCTGGTGATGAACCATTAGAAAGTTCTGGTGATGAACCATTAGAAAGTTCTGGTGATGATCCATTAGAAAGTTCTGGTGATGATCCATTAGAAAGTTCTGGTGATGATCCATTAGAAAGTTCTGGTGATGAACCATTAGAAAGTTCTGGTGATGAACCATTAGAAAGTTCTGGTGATGATCCATTAGAAAGTTCTGGTGATGATCCATTAGAAAGTTCTGGTGATGATCCATTAGAAAGTTCTGGTGATGATCCATTAGAAAGTTCTGGTGATGATCCATTAGAAAGTTCTGGTGATGAACCATTAGAAAGTTCTGGTGATGAACCATTAGAAAGTTCTGGTGATGATCCATTAGAAAGTTCTGTAATATTTAGTTCTTTTGTTTTGCTTTGAATATATGCAAAATAGGAATAGAATAAGTTTAAAGATTTTAAACTTACGATCATATGTTTTGTAAAGATATTCTCTGAAATCAGTAGAAAATCAACTTAAAATTTGTCCTATCAAGGATCTTATATAAACCCCCAAATTCTTGGCTTGTTCGTTTGGTGTTTTCTGACAACAACCAATGGAGGGTATCACCTGTTGTGGAGGGTATCACCTGTTGTGGAGGGTATCACCTGTTGTGGAGGGTATCACCTGTTGTATGTTTACATTCTCCTATGTCCTCTTTAAATCACAAGGTCCAAGGGTCTGATATGGTGTCCTGAAAGGTATAAGATATATGTCATATTATGATGATAACATAGATATCCTGCCCATACTTGTGAAAACATAAATGTGAAAAATATCAACAACCTGACTTATAAAGATGGTATCTGTATACAACATAGATATATCTACCCTGATAATAACACACATACCTACATGTAGAAATACAAATTATCTGTTCATATCTTTGTCTATATCAATAATACTTTATATTACTATTTTCTTCAGGAGAAGCAGTACCCTGCTCACTTTCTCGACCTAATGTGCATGTGCTGGTCCCACTATCCTGCAGAACGTCCATCTGCAGCACGCATCCGACAGGTAGCTGGCTGTCCACAGTTCACACATTTGATGGATTCCATCACCATGGATACAGATATGGGTGTGCTGGCTGGCTGTTCTGTAGCTGTAGGAGCACACAATGAGGAAGATACATATATGTATGGTACTGATCACTCGTACATTTATTTACATTTGCTGGTATCAACAATAGAAATATCGTGAGAAAGCAATACATTGTATGTGTTGTGAGAGTATAACACTGTTTGTTGGTCACATGACCATTAGTGTGATGTCATCAATCTCATAAAAATAATATCATGAATGGCTTTAGTGTTGTAACAGTTACTTTTGATGAAGAAATTTACCGTTATGTAAATATTCAGTTGATAGATGTATTTACTTTCAGTTTTATAAAGACTCCTCTCCGTCTGTAATCTAACAGGAAGACCCACAAGTATAGTTTACAAAGTATTCTGATGATTTCTAGAAATAATTTACTGGTTAATGAAATATTAAATGATCCTTGTTTTAATCTTATATACTTTGATATTAGAATTACTGATATGTCTGTAGATGACTCGGACGAGATACAACGACTTCCCCGACACACTCAGGTCTGGCTTAGTGCAACTGTACCCAATGGCAACTCTTGTCTTGACGTTTACAGCTATGACACAGATTTACTGGGTACCACTGTTAAGGTCAGTGTACAGCTTCAAGAAGTTCTGTTAAACTGGATTGTTAACAAGATTATCATACAAATATCCATATGGTGTGATCATGGTGAAAACTCTTATATCTAAAGTTAAAATCTCTAATTTTTAAACTCTGCCAAAATAACAATTCAACAGTCACACAGATTTAGATTTTCCCAAGTAACTCTGTAGAATCAAAGCTGAGATTTTCCCAAGTAACTCTGTAGAATCAAAGCTGACAGAGAAAATTGTAATATCATATATATTTGTGGAACACAATTTTCATGTTTTTTTGTTTTTAAAAGTACCAGGTATTTTATTGCTGTTTACAGCCATGGGTAAATATAGCTCAATGAAATTTCAACACGTCGTGAACATATGAAGCATTGAATCAATGGAAATTGAAAACTCCCATGAGACTTGGTGATTTTACAGTAGTAACGGAAAATTTGAAATGAAACCTCATAATGCAAGAGGGAATGCCTTATAATACTATAGAATAGGTATCCTATATATCTGTAATAGATTATTCTTTGTTAGAGATTTCCTATTTATTAACAGTGTGGTAGAATGTTAAATTGTTATGTTTTTTTGCAGTGATGTTAACCTCTAGATACTGTACCATTAGACCTAGACAATTGTGTGCTGGTAACAGGCTTATAAAATCATACAAATTTTTTATGCATGTCATGTTTAATAGCTATATGATTGGTTTATATGTCATAAACGGCACATTAATGGTTACAGACACATAAGTGTGAAACAGGAACCCACATACAGAGACTCGTGGCTGTAGAGGAAATGGTCTGGGTGGTAGACAACAAACACAATGTCCGTGTATATGAGTAAGTGAAGATCTGAGATGTAGAGTTGTAGGGTGTGTGGGTTTACTGTCAGTATAGCCTAGATATCTTAGGATTAAAACAGGAAACACCCAAAGTTTTCATTTTCACTATATTTTTATCCCTCTTGTTCCATTTAATGGTCCGTTAAGAGAACTTGGTGTCTTATTGTTTGTGTTCCTGTTTGTCCACACTCATTTTTATCAGAGAGTTGAGAATCTGAAAGAAAAATAGCTGATGATATAATCAGTTTATTTTCTTATCACCGTAATTAGAGATATTAGTTTGTTACCATGGAGATGGAAACAGAATTACAATGTATAAGGAAATCAAAATAAAACATAACATTAATATACAGTTGAAACTTGTCTCAAAATCACTTGAGTCAAAATGATTTTCAGGTTCCAATTATTATTCCTTCTATATCTTTGTAATTTAAGTTCGAATGAGTCGAAATTTCGGTTGAATCGAAGTGGTTTTTCAGTCCCTTCCATTGTAAAGCAAGGAAAAATTCATATATTGTCTCGAAATTCAATTTTGTCAAAAAATAGCCACGCCTTCTGATTTAGTGTTTGGACAATGAAGTGCTGAAAGCATTTTTCATTGATAGTCTCTATCTGTGCGTGATTTGTTAAATTTAGGAATACAAATGTATTTGATTGAAGTTGTTATTAATGTTTTGTTGTTTGGATGAATAAACAATAAAAGGAGAAAGTAGAAATAAATTCATTTGTTTATCTACTGCCATTTCAAATAACAGATTAAACTGCACTATTACTGGCTATCGTAGCCTGATTTCATTCAACTCTAATCAGTTATATAGTCAACCTTATTTATACACTTCTTGAGTTGAAATTTGGATAAGTCGAAATATTTTCCACAGTCCCTTGAATTTTGAGATAATAAATTTTGACTGTATATTGTTTCAGGTGTCTGACTACAAAGGAAGTGGGCATTGTCCAGCTTGACAAGGCTGATGTAGAGCAGTGCCTTTGTGGAAGATACTTACCTGGGCAGAATGGAGGCCAAGTTATATTTGTGTTCAAATCTGTTGAACAGAAAAGTTTGACTGTTGTAAAAATCCCAACACAGGATGACCGTGACAAGTACACTCTCACCACAGTTAAACTGAAGAGTCGTGCCTTGTGTGCTACAGTGGTTCAATCTGGTACTAAGTGAGTAGTCTTTTGTTTGATGCCCACACCACAAATATATCTAAACATAACATTTCTGTTTGTCCATATCACATGTGTCTGTATGTAGAGGAAGGTTGACTGAGGATGAAAGAAGTGTCTGTTACACTGATACGTCACTCAGTAAGGTATCTCAGTCTTCACCCAGTCATTACATTGTACTGGTAACCTTTCATGCTTTACAAGTTTGCCTTTGACTTAATAATATGTTATGACTACTGCCTTAAAATCTCCCTTGAGCATGAACATTTAATATGAATGTAATGTTAACTTTCTAATTCTTTAGAAGATCTTTAGGAGTACATGAAATGGTCCTTTTTATCTTAGGTTGGAGTTATGGGTTGGTCTAGGTGAATCACAGATTGCAGTGTTTGATCTCAGTAAAGACTCCATTTCTGGAACATCGGATGCTGAAGAGATTTTGATTCACCCCAACAGTGGTCAGGGCAGACAGTGTACTTTTATAGAGACCAATATAACAGATCAAAGAAATGATGCTGTCTGGTCCTATGTCTTCCCTAGTAAGTTTTCCAACTGTAACCTGATAGAGTAATGAGGAATCTACACACAACTTACTTGAATGAAAGAAGTAGAATTTGTATACAACTGATAACCTTGACTTTGGTCTACATTTCATGATCTTGACCTTTGTATACAGGATCTGATCAAAAGCCCTAATATGTATTTTGTTTGTGTACAGATCTATTTAACCATAGTATTCAGCAATGACCTTGACTTCTGTACATTCTGATAACCTTTACCTTTGGTTTACATATAATGATGTTTGAATTTTGCATGCAGTTGTTCAAAGAGCTTGATATTTCTTTTGTGTACAATTTGTTGATCTAGTCTTTCGTACATATAATGACTTTGACCTTTGTATTCAGCAAACAAATTTGATTTCTGTACAATCTGATGACCTTGACTTTTGTATATGGAATGACCTTTACCTTCGTGTTCAGGAAATGAACATGACTTCTGTACAATCTCATGGCCAATAATTTTATGTTGACTAGGTACAATTGTGCGAAAGTGGAATACATGGAGTAGACAGGCAGAGTGTCAGCTCGACTGTAGCCATCTTGTACCAGCCACTGAGAGTCAATTTGTCCACACAACAGAAGGCTCAGAAGGTATGTGTAAATAAGGAATGCTTGTTTTAATTTGCTTAGATGTAATTGATTGGTATGTACCAATTCATTTGATGAATTAAACGTCAAATAAAACATGAATTATTTACAAACCAATTGTTTACTTTGATACATCATGTCACTGTACAAGATGTCTTGGTTTTGTTAATTTACTGATATTACTTTCTTGTTACAGTTAGTCGGTATCTTGTAACAGCACTCAGTGTCCTAGATAAATACCTGTATGCGGGAACCACCTGGGGTTGTATTATTGTTGCCAGTGCAGTCACCCTTCTGCCCTACTCTATATTCCGTTGTCACAGCAATCAGGACTTCTTTGTGAAACTGATTTTACCATTGTTTCATGGTCATCATGACAATGGTGATTCTGAAGGAGAAGGGGTGTCAGGTATGGTGACTGTTGGTAAAGGTTACATGCCTCTCATCAACTTCAAGTCTGTCATCAATAGTGAGGAGAGTGACGATGTCTACCCTGACCCTGTCAAAGTCAAACAGCTGCAGCCCCAGGAGAAAGACACTTACATTCTCTCATGGTATGCAAAGGACTGGGAATTCTATTGATGGGAAATCATGGTGGAGGTGATATCTGTGGACCCTCTGATTCAATTAAGTCAGAAAATCTGTTGATGCAGAATGATTTTGGATATGCCTACACCCTTGTTGGTCCACAAGGACTTGAAAGTCTACAAAAAGAGAGTTAACAGTGTATTTCAGAGAGATTATTCTAAGTGACACAATATTTCAAATCATCCAAATTTAAGATCAGTGTCATGTCACAACATCACCCTTAGGAGCTAAAATTGTCTCAGCACTTGTTCATGACCTGAACTATATTACCCACATCCTGATGATGGATTTCAGCTTTTCAAACAAATTTTACCTTTTATAGTTTGTTTCTTTTCTTTGACCGATGGCACAAACTATGGAGAAGTCAAAGAAGAAAAAACACCAGTAGATATGTATTGATAAGGATGATATTGTGATGTATACTCTTAACATGATTTATAAGGCAATATTGATTGTAATTTAAACTATGTTATATATTGGAAAAAATCATCTTCTCAGATAATGGTTAAAATTGATTAATACCTTGTAGAAATTTTACCCGACTTGCAGCGTTTTGTTAAAGGGATATCACGGTAGAAACATTCATCTTTTACATGATTTTTATACTTCCATGTATGTTTCTGTGCTATCCTGATATTCACAGTCAATTTCAAATGTCCAGCTTGACCACTTCTTTGGTTCATGAAACCCCTCTCAAATTTAGTGCTGATAGCATCATGTAATAATTTTGAAAACGAGGCGGTTAATTTTGTAAACACAAATACGATGTGTACATGATTCCTGGCAAAAATGACAGTGACATTAGCGACACAGTAAGTAAAATCTGGTTAATCAGCTCTGGATTTTGTTTTATGAGTGTGGCAAATGTTATTTGATAATTCTAAGTCAATTCAGAATTACAAAATAAGTTACGTTAATTGCCAACACTGTCTTGACCAATTCTGGTAGGAAGCTATTTTTGTTTACAGGTGACCTATCTTACATACATGTGTTATCATATGTGGTGCAAAAATTGATATCTCCAACCTGTTGATTTCCTTTTTATGAATATAAACTTTATTTATTTGACAACAATTGTAGAACAAGTTATTTCTACTTATACTTATCACTCCTTTTTGTAATTATTAATTTAACTCTTGGAAATATTTCAGCGAAAAAGTGATACATTTGATATGATTGCAATAATGAAAGAAATCAGTTAAATTTATTGTTATACAGTGATGTTTTACATGTTCATATAATTATGCATTTAACAGTTAATGTCTCCACAATACATGGTCAGGTGTTTGGAAAACAATGTGCTATATATGTGAAGGTTTGTTTACCTACCTTATACCAAACTATTTATTGCTATGCATGGAATTTTGATTAGGCGAGGGTAGAGTGCAATATCAATGTTACAACTGGTGTATGTATAACTTGCTTGTTTATTTCTTCATTTTATTCTGTCCAAAAAGCTATAAACTACTGTTCAACCTGGAAAATTAACCACGACTTAAAAATTTTTGATCTAGAATCATATTTTTTCTATTTTTGTTAATAGTTTGTGTGTTTTAGGTGTTATTCGTCATGGTTTATGTAAATTCTGGATATTGGTAATAGTTATGTCCAGTTTCAAGAACATTGTACATTTAAATACTGTGTATGGCACATATATAGATAAAACATATAGATTTAGTAGCCAACCGTCCTACAGACTCTAAACAGTATATTTTCTACTTCATTTACCATATATTTCATTTGACATCACCTGTTGTTTTTAAACAAATGTTATTCTTGGTTATTTTTAAGATTTAAGGATATTAAAGTCTTATTAATATTGGCCTGTTTGTCGTGTGTCAGTTACATTTTACTGGTGTTGATATTTGTGAGGTGACCTATACTCTCAACTTCTGCACGTCTGTCATTCCTCAATTTTCATCTTGACTGCATTTCTCTTGCTTTACTCCCACATTTCATGTGAATTGACTTTTTCTTTTTTCTCCAAGATTTGATTTCATGCTTTTGAATGCTTCAGGAAGACCTTTTATTACAATAGATTTCTCTCAAAATGCTTGTCTGGATTTGAATAGCTTGTGTAACTATCATCATGGGGTGAATTTATAAATTCTCTGGTTCTTTCGGCCAAGATCAATGCTACAATTGGAGTTTTCATCTCAAATGCCTATTTTATTAAAATCTTTCTGTGTCCGTGGTCTGTCGGTTGTTTTGTTTTTGTTTCTTTTTCTTGAGAAGTACTGGATTGATCTTTCTCAATATACATATGTAGGTCCCCCTTGGTCCCTAGTTGTGCCCATTGCCAAAAGGCGGCCATCTTGGATTTTGACTTTGAAAGTTTGTTATCACTGAACTACTTTATAGATCTTTCTCAAATTTCTTCTACATGTTCGTTTAGGTCCCTAATTGAGCCTGTTTGAGTTTGGGACTGATCAGAAAAATAAAATGGCCGAAAGCAGCCATCTCTCAAATTTCATGTGTATGTTCCCTTTGGTTTCTCCTTGTGCTCGTTTGATTTTGGAATGACTTCCAGGTGGCCATTTGGAATTTTGCAGATAAAGATTATCATTGCTATTTCTGCAAAGGATTGTTTTAATGTATTATCATTAAGAGCAAATACAGAGATGAGAAAAGAAGGGAAAAGATCCAATATTCAAAGAGCATACAGTGATCAAATAATGGTTGGTGGCAAGATCCCTCTGGGATCTCGTTTTATTCTCCAGCCTGTTCCATGTTAAACATTTACTGACAGATAGAGTTAGTTCTCATGTGATCATACTGTTGTCCACTGAATTTATCCATGTAATATTTATTCGGAAGCATATTTCATTGGCATTTCCGAGTTACTGAAGTATGTGATAAAAGTATCTTTATAAGGCTTTCATAAAATCTGTTTTGAAATGAAAACTCAGTTTAAGATTTTATTTGTACAATGAAATATACATGCTTGGTACATTAATTTAATGTTTTTTTGTAGTAATATTTAAATGTAAGCTTTTTAGTGTGCTATATACCATGTAAATAATTAAAGACATGTCAGGTGCTGTGAATATGGTTATATAGATATTTATAATACACCTAAGATTTCTTATAGTGATCTTATTAGTCTGTACAACAGAAAATCATAATAAATTTCTAAACATGAGCAACTGTAATACTATATACTATGAAGAGGTAAAGACTGTAGCAGACACATACACAATGTCTTCAACTTTTATTCTGTGTCACTATTTTTTGAGAAAGCGATTTTGATCTTTCTTTCCTGTCGTTTGTAGTTTATGTCTTTTCTTCATTAAAAAAAGAACATGAATGTACCATTTGACTTTGCTTGTATTTACATTTGCCTGTAATAAACACTGTAACTGTTTTCTACATGTATATCAGCGATATTATATATATATTCAGTGAATAACTGACAAAAAGTACATTATATGTACTGTTTAGAATATAATTTTATTAACTCACCTGGCCAAAAGGGCCAAAGTGTCAAAGTGGTTAAAACCTTCAAACCTTATTGATATTATTGATCAAAATGTAAAGAATCATATTTGGCGGAAATATTTTTAAAATCTTTAAATGTTAGAGAAAACCCTATTCAAAGTCATAAGTGAAATTTGTTAATAAAGATATTTGGCTGGTATAGGTTTCTAGGATAAAGCCTAACATAGTTTGCAAAATTAACGGACCTTAAACAGTATGCAATGCTAGGCCACATGGATGAAGTTTGTTGAAACTTTTAATGAATTCAGATTAACCAAAAGGCCTTGAGAATCTTGATATTTGGTCGGTAGCCAATAGGTTCCTGGGATGAAGCTAGACTAAGTGTGTGTAAACAGAATACCTAAGTAAATTGAAACATATTCAAGGTCGCAGGGCAAATATGGAAACCAATTAATTTACCAAAAAGCTAAGGGTCTTAATAATTTCAATAATGTGATCTGATTTGTGAAAAGTGTTGAATACCATGCATATAGATATAAACTAAGCCCGTGCTTCAAGTTTACATTGTAGATGTGTTATAAGTTTGAAAGACTGATGCTTGAAGATACAAAGATATTTTTGCACACTTTACTCTATTCGAATCATTATAGATAAAATAATTTGAACATCTCTGGAGCTCACCGTTAAATTGTGTAAAAATCTTTTTCAAAAAATAGTAAGAAAGACATGTCATAATATTGGATCTGTAGTATGTTTGGATAATGGCTATTAAAGTCGTTTCAAGGAATGGTCACGACCCCTATCAAGGTCATCACCTCAGATATTTAAGGCACTGGCACTTGAAATACGAGTCAAAATCTAAAACGTCCTAGTAGGTGAAGGTAGATAACTCTTGATAAAACCTGACACGGAACTCTTTCGCTTTGGAGTTAAGTTTTTTTGGTCTGCCGGTCCTAAATTTCTACGCCATGTGGAGCGAGGAATTTAATCCAGATGTAAGCGAAACAATTTACATATCATTTGCGATATTGATAGAAGTTCACGATAAGTTATCCAACGTTAGTTTTTACAGTGTATGATGATATTAATGTAAGGATGTACCGATGAAGTATTACAGTATGCGTTCCATTCCTCTGCTATTTTTAGCACAACGGAAGATGTCAAATTTCTTCTCCGTCACTTTGGATTGGATGCAGATAAATTTGTAGCTCAGAATACATTGTCGAAACGACTTTGTAGGAAGAGAATGACTTTCATATTTATCTTATCGTATCTTTAGACACAATCATCCTTGGGGGTTGGGGGGGGGGGTGATTTTCCCATTGTGTTACAATATGTTTTGACTTCGATCGAGTGGCACATCAACTCTCCTGTGCATGCAAAACAGCAAAAAAGTATCTCCATGTATAAAATAAAAGTCTAGTAAGAAAGTATACCCAGTCATTCTGATCAAGTTTATTATATGAGAGAGAAGCAGTTTTAATCAAGTGTACCATAATAACAACAACGTACAAAATTGCCATTTTCCTTAAAAACTATCGTCCTTGATGACTACAGCTGATGATGGGATGTTATTTTTTTTACAGGTTTTGCTTATAATTTTAAAACATGTAAAATAAGTTGTTTTGGTGATCGTATCATTAAAGAGAAAATGAAATAATTCTGTTGGATAGACCATCAACTCTTAGTATTTTCAGGAACAAATAAAAAAAATCTTTCTAGGAGATATAACATTTGATTAAATTTTTAAGCGTACATACACTGAAATTAACACTTTTGATACTGTATGGTTTTGTTTGGTTATAGAGTTGAAATTAAATGTAAAATGAAAACTAATCATGTTCAAGCCAGGTTGGGAAATTCATGGATTTTATTTGGATGTATTCTACTTCACTAATTGCAATCTCTGATATCAGAGGAAATCAATTCTCTTAATGTAGCATATTAGTTCATTGGTAGGTCATGAATTTCTGTTAAACATTATCCGAAAGAATGTGTATGAGTCAAGAAAAAATTCCTTTTGCCATTTTCTAGGTGCTGATATTTTTTGTTCTTTTTGTATTTGGTATGTATATGTTCTTTTAAGTAAGTCACTTTTTAGATTGAAAAAGATTGCATGTTTGAAATGCTTTAACCATATGCCTTTTTTCTACTTAAGTGGAAGTAAGTGTGACTCTTTCATTTTCTGACTTCAATATATTTTTTCAACAGTATTATCCAGCTTACCCTGGCGGTGAATATGAGCACACAGGTAGGTGTTTCCTTATATGCTCAATATACAATGCATTAGGTTAAAGGTCAAATAAGTATATTGCTTGCAACAATTTCTGGCTCTTACCACTGGTATGTGGGAGTTTCTTTCACAAAGCAAAGTAATGTTGAAGGAAATTTAATTATAACATAATGGTTAAAACAATAAATTGAAGCGTCCATTTCATATATATAAATTCCAAAGAATTTGATTTGGCAAAGGTCTATATTTGAATTTGTTTATTTGTATTTTTCAAGAACACATATGTTTACATACAAAATTAATTATCAAGTTTTAGCTGATATTTGCTCTGGTTGATTAACTTTTATTTTTCAGTAAAATATGTTTTATATTTACATTTGTGTGCTACTGTCCCATTACCACAGTACTAGATGTCCACTAATGATGAGAATATCACTGCAGCTATAGTTTCACTGTGTCATGATCATGATGTCACTGTACTGTTTCTGGTCATTCCTTGTTTTAGCTGTTCCCATAACTATATTTATTCCATTGTATAAGTCAATACAACTGTATATCTAATTAATATTGGCTGAAATTTTAATGGTAATGTAAAAACGAGTGTTTTATTAATCTAATTATGGTTGATATAACTGAAAGATGCCCTTCTGTCATATTTTCAATGCTAGATTTTTGTGGAATTAGCAAGTAGGTAATTTACCTTAAATCAGCTATACATGTAAATAAATATTTAAAAAACACACTTTACTTAAATGGCCTATAAAAACAGTCAATATTAAACTTTTTATTTAAGTTCATGAGAAAATTTTGCAGGGAGCATATAATCGCCACTATGTCCATTCGTCTTTTCATGTCCGGAGCATAACTTTGCCCACAGTTAAACTAGGATCTTTGTGTAAACATTGATCATAATTAGATGATGTGCAGTGTACCAAATTCATAATTAACACAAAGTTTATTAGAGTTTATCCTTTTGCAGTTTCCAACTAAGCTTCATGGAGAGTAATATTAATTATCACAAGCTGTATAATATGTTTAACTCTTAATATGAGATGTTTGGTTGGGGAGGGATATACACTTTATATATGGTACATGTTCGTTCAGTTTACAATTGATACAATGTTTGCAGGAGACCCCAGACAGGACCTAGAGTATGAGCGACAGTACCAGGCACAAACCTACATAATCCCAGATGTCATCAAGAGCTTTTTTGAATACTTTCATAAAAGTGTCCATGAACAGAACATTTTTGAGATACAAAATGCCTATGAGAATGGGTAGGTGGATGATTTTAATGTTAATTGTATTTCTACCTCACCTATTGTAAAAGCATTTATTTTTTGTTGAGAATTTATTTTCGTTAAATGTTTGGGTACTCTAAATATACAAATTTATATGCCATGAAATAATCCAGAGATAAAACTTGACATGGATTTTTGTACCAAAAGATTTCTAATGGAACATGTAACCACTAAATCAAGAACCAATGGAATGTTTACAGTATTTTTGGAAAACCACAAAATTTGAGCTCCACAAAAATATGAGATTTTACAGTATACATCAAGATTTCAATTTGGTGCTAATTGTTCAAATTATTAAACTTGTCTGTGAGAAACAGGTGAGCTTGGTGCTGTGTTTAGTTTGTAGAAATGGTAATATCTTGTTTGTTAATTTCTTTAGGTTTAACAAGCTTACAGACAAGTTTTTCAAGACCTCTCCATGGCCAGATGCAGAAGTAGTGGCACCAATTGTTGGGAATGGTAATTTATTTTGTTAAATAACAGCTGTTGTATTCCTAAGCCTGGTTTTTCATATTGATGAACTTTGTGTCCTGAAAGAGTACTAATTACATGTGAGAAATATAGAAAGCACATGAAAAAGTTTTTTTTTTTAACCTTATCTGCTTCATAAAACTCAAATCAAAGATCTTATTTATCACTTGAAATGTCATGTATCTTGAAATACAAGTTCAGATTTGTCATGTCAACCAAGAAAACAATGTTCATTAATGTTAATTCCTTTTCCAAAACAATCAGCATGCTAATTTTTGGTTTGAATATTACATGTCTTCCTGAATGTGTCCTTTATGTGAAACTATTGAACCAGCTATAAGTGTATTTAATATTTAGTTATCATCATGAGATGTAGTAGAATCTACTTTGTATCCTTTTAGATACTTACTGTACAAATCTATTCACTTAGTCTGTTGATAATATTCCAGATCACATCTTCCTGATCTTGTACAAAGAACTCTACTACAGACACATTTATGCAAGGGTTCAGGTAGGTTGTCACATTATTGTATATAACTGTTGTAAATTTCAATTTTAAAAGGAACCAAGTCATCTATGCAGGCAATTCTGATGGGGAAAATTAAAACGAAAATATCACGTATGACTGAACAAAAAAATGAGCATTTATTTAATTGATTATTTCTCCAATTTGTTGTAGAATGGACCTTCCTTGGAACAAAGATTTGAATCCTACTACAACTACTGTAATTTATTTAACTACATCTTGAGTAAGTATGAGGCCACAAATTGTATCAATATTTCTCTGGTTTTATATAATATTTGAATTCTTCAAAAATACCTGCCAATTTGTTTAACACAAAGTTCTTTTTCAAAACATGGACAAGGTTCATCATTAAGAGACCAGTGTGTTTTTAGGTCATCTGGACCCGAAGGGTCCGATGACCTATAGTCATCATGCTTCGTCCGTCGTCGTCCGCCGTGCGCCGTGCGCCGTGCGCCGTCCGTAAACTTTTCATTCAAACGACTTCTTCTCAAATACTAGAAGGTCTAGGGGGCTAATACTTGGCACAGAGGATACTGGCATGGAGCTCTACCAAGTTTGTTCAAATGAATGACCTTGACCCACTTTAAAGGTCACAGGGGTCAAATATGTTAAAATCTTTAAACAACTTCTTCTCATTAACCAAAAGGCTCAGAGTGTAGATATTGGGCCTGTGACATGCTGGGATGAAGGGCTATCAAGTTTGTTTAAATGAATGACCTTGAACAACTTTCAAGGTCACAGGGGTCAAATATGTCAAAATCTTTAAATAACTTCTTCTCAAATACTAGAAGGCCTAGGGGGCTAATACTTGGCCCATAGCATGCTGGCATGGAGCCCTACAAAGTTTGTTCAAAAGAATGACCTTGGCCCACTTTCAAGGTCACAGGGGTCAAATATGTTAAAATATACAAAGGACTTCATCTCAATAAGCAAAAGTCTATGAGTGCCGATATTGGGTCTGTAGCATGCTGGGAGGAAAGGCTACCAAGTTTATTTAAATGAATGACCTTGAACAACTTTCAAGGTCGCAGGGGTCAAATATGTCAAAATCTTTAAATAACTTCTTCTCAAATACTAGAAGGCCTAGGGGGCTAATACTTGGCCCATAGCATGCTGGCATGGAGCCCTACAAAGTTTGTTCAAATGAATGACCTTGGCCCACTTTCAAGGTCACAGGGGTCAAATATGTTAAAATATACAAAGGACTTCATCTCAATAAGAAAAAATCTATGAGTGCTGATATTGGGTCTGTAGCATGCTGGCATGGAGCCCTACAAAGTTTGTTCAAAAGAATGACCTTGGCCCACTTTCAAGGTCACAGGGGTCAAATATGTTAAAATATACAAAGGACTTCATCTCAATAAGCAAAAGTCTATGAGTGCCGATATTGGGTCTGTAGCATGCTGGGAGGAAAGGCTACCAAGTTTATTCAAATGAATAACCTCAACCCACTTTCAAGGTCACAGGGGTCAAATATGTTAAAATATTTAAACAACTTCTTCTCATTAACCAAAAGGCTCAGAGTGTAGATATTGGGCCTGTGACATGCTGGGATGAAGGACTACCAAGTTTGTTCAAATGAATGACCTTGAACCACTTTAAAGGTCACAGGGGTCAAATATGTTAAAATATTTAAACAACTTCTTCTCAATAACCAAAAGGCTCAGATTGCTGATATTGTGCCTGTGGCATGCTGGGATGAAGGGCTATCAAGTTTGTTTAAATGAATGACCTTGAACAACTTTCAAGGTCACAGGGGTCAAATATGTCAAAATCTTTAAATAACTTCTTCTCAAATACTAGAAGGCCTAGGGGGCTAATACTTGGCCCATAGCATGCTGGCATGGAGCCCTACAAAGTTTGTTCAAATGAATGACCTTGGCCCACTTTCAAGGTCACAGGGGTCAAATATGTTAAAATATACAAAGGACTTCATCTCAATAAGAAAAAATCTATGAGTGCCGATATTGGGTCTGTAGCATGCTGGGAGGAAAGGCTACCAAGTTTATTTAAATGAATGACCTTGAACAACTTTCAAGGTCGCAGGGGTCAAATATGTCAAAATCTTTAAATAACTTCTTCTCAAATACTAGAAGGCCTAGGGGGCTAATACTTGGCCCATAGCATGCTGGCATGGAGCCCTACAAAGTTTGTTCAAATGAATGACCTTGGCCCACTTTCAAGGTCACAGGGGTCAAATATGTTAAAATATACAAAGGACTTCATCTCAATAAGAAAAAATCTATGAGTGCTGATATTGGGTCTGTAGCATGCTGGGAGGAAAGGCTACCAAGTTTATTTAAATGAATGACCTTGAACAACTTTCAAGGTCGCAGGGGTCAAATATGTCAAAATCTTTAAATAACTTCTTCTCAAATACTAGAAGGCCTAGGGGGCTAATACTTGGCCCATAGCATGCTGGCATGGAGCCCTACAAAGTTTGTTCAAATGAATGACCTTGGCCCACTTTCAAGGTCACAGGGGTCAAATATGTTAAAATATACAAAGGACTTCATCTCAATAAGCAAAAGTCTATGAGTGCCGATATTGGGTCTGTAGCATGCTGGGAGGAAAGGCTACCAAGTTTATTCAAATGAATAACCTCAACCCACTTTCAAGGTCACAGGGGTCAAATATGTTAAAATCTTTAAACAACTTCTTCTCAATAACCAAAAGGCTCAGATTGCTGATATTGTGCCTGTGGCATGCTGGGATGAAGGGCTATCAAGTTTGTTTAAATGAATGACCTTGAACAACTTTCAAGGTCACAGGGGTCAAATATGTCAAAATCTTTAAATAACTTCTTCTCAAATACTAGAAGGCCTAGGGGGCTAATACTTGGCCCATAGCATGCTGGCATGGAGCCCTACAAAGTTTGTTCAAAAGAATGACCTTGGCCCACTTTCAAGGTCACAGGGGTCAAATATGTTAAAATATACAAAGGACTTCATCTCAATAAGCAAAAGTCTATGAGTGCCGATATTGGGTCTGTAGCATGCTGGGAGGAAAGGCTACCAAGTTTATTCAAATGAATGACCTCAACCCACTTTCAAGGTCACAGGGGTCAAATATGTTAAAATATACAAACGACTTCTTCTCAACAAGCAAAAGTCCATGAGTGCTGATATTGGGCCTGTAAGATGCTTGGAGGAGAGGCTACCAAGTTTGTTCAAATGAATGACCTCAACCCACTTTCTAGGTTTGGCTTGCTTTTTGTCAGATGACCGTTAAGGCCCATGGGCCTCTTGTTAAAACCTAGTCTCATTACTAAGAGATAAAACTTGGGTTCTGGAATTATTTCAATGCCGAGAGTTTAATGCATTCTTAAAAGTAGTCCAATTCCCGGGAGATAAATAGGGTTTATACTGCATTGTCAAGTCCCACAGGAAAAACAGGAGTCCAAGATTAAATCACAACGGAATCTAAGATTTCTTTCATTCATTTATTAATTTACAAATATGTATTCTTAAAAGTAGTCCGATTCCTGGGAGATAAATAGGGTTTATACTGTGTTGTCAAGTCCCACAGGAAAAACAGGAGTCCAAGATTAAATCACAACGGAATCTTGGATTTCTTTCGTTTATTTATTAATTTACAAGTATGTTGTACAACATTTCATTACATCTTTGTAAAATTGCTGCCATATTAACAAGTGATTTCCTTAATAAGTGTGTAACATATTTACTCGTCACAACTACTATGTAATGAATAGCATTTTCAGTTTGATGAATATTTTCCTTTTACCAGTTTTCAATTGCTTGTTTAAAATGTTTTGCAAGAACAGATATAGTGGGTATAAACTTAGTGCTCTATTGGGTAGGTTTGTCTACATAGGTATCAATAAGTATGTTGAATATAAAACTTGAATGATAAATATTTTTGAAAAGCTGTTGCAGTTAATTAATTGCTAATAGTAGTCATGAATGGAATTTGGTAAGAAGTCTTAGTTACTCATTTTAATTAAGTGTAATGACAAGAAATGGCAGCTGTAATGTATCACACAAAATATATTTTAAAGGATTGTGTCACAACCTCAACTCAAGTCTTAATAACCAAGGATAACAAACAAAGCTTTAAAACTAAATGTCTGAAAACCCCCTTGATTTGGTTAAATTATCTTCTCATGTCTGTGTACACATTTACTTTATACTTATATTATAATTCACCAAGTACCTGTGTTATTTTAACTCTCACAATAGACGCAGAAGGCCCGGTCCCGTTGGAGTTACCTAACCAGTGGTTGTGGGATATCATTGATGAGTTCATCTACCAGGTTTGTACATCTATACCTCAATAGATTGTCTTACTTTCTTGTTTTTCCTAGTATTCGAGGGAAATAATGTAACAATTTCAAATTTTTATCAATGGTTTCCACAACTGTCATAACTATTAAAAGAATGTGATGCTCCTGATAGTTAATCCATCAAAAGAAAGCTGTAACTGCTAAGGATTTGATCAATATTTGATGTCCTGTACATAGTTGTACAATAGCGATTATTTACTAAGTATAGATGTAATCCAGTGTCTTTCCAGCAGCCTTTTCCTCCAACATCTCTTTACCTGAATGTTGGTTAGATTTAAATAAATCTTGGCTGTAAAAATCTCTGTTCCAAAGGAGCTCAGCTTGTTTCAATAAAGGTCTGAGTCCATAAAAATGAAAATGAATTGAGATTTCAACTACCAATTAAATCACTGTGATGAAAGCGGATATGGCTTAACATCAGCAAAAAACACTTACAGCATTTCCAGTGCAACTTGTTTTAATAGATAACAGTGGCATAGTAGTAGGGAAACCTGTCTCACCGATTGGTAAATGAATTAAATAAGGATGTAATCTTATTTGTGGATGACTTTTTCTGATAAATAATTTGATAGATAGTTCTTTAAATCAGGATGTTTAGGTAATTACAGTATTTTACTATTGTATTAAACTTGTTTCTTTGTCGATCCAGTTTCAGTGTTTCAGCATCTACCGCTGTAAAGTCACTAAAAAATCAGAGGAAGAAATCGCCTATCTCAGAGCGAACCCCAAGGTATATATCACTTATTTTACTTGGTTACTGAACGGTTAAGTCAGGTTAATATCATGATCCATTGATTAGTGTCAGCATTTTCTTTCAAGGTTGGAAAATTCTTTTCATTTTTGACAGTCACTTGATTTGTGATATCCTAATGCAAAACATGATGTCATTTTTTTCAATAACTATATATTTAAACAATTATAAACAACATAAAAAAATGATACATTCAAATCAGATTTAGGAAACAAGCTTATCAGCTGTTATCATATTTTCTATGAAAAATAAATTATATTTAAACCATATACTTATATACAGAACAATTTTGACAATATAATGGAACGGTTTTTTTTAATGTCACATGTCCATATTAAGAACATACAAACATTACTTCCATCTTCTTTGCCTTTTACTTAGTATTTTCATACTCAGTCTTCATACCTATTATTATCAATTAAGGATGATGTTTGTTGTTTAGATATGGAATGTACACAGTGTGCTGAATGTTCTGCATTCATTGGTTGAGAAGTCGAGCATCAACAGGCAGCTGGAGGTCTATACCAGTGGAGGTAGGTCATTCTATTGTAATAGTGTACAGTTGTCACTGTTTTCTGTGAAGCATGTATCATATCTGCCCTTCAATACTTAATTTAGGGAAATGATTAAAATATATAATTACTGCAAGAAAAAGGATCCATGCCTTGCTTTATGATTTAATGTGATGTAACATAAGCATATATTTCAGGATTCTATTACATATCTTCCATAATTCCTCCATGAGCTGGCACATATCTGATTCAAAATCAGGGAAGGGACTCATTACAGGAAACTGATATTACAGGGCTAACACCATGCCTTGTATCTCATGTTTGTCCTGACTCATGGTATTAAGGTGAATCTGTTTTTCATTTGCAGGTGATCCTGACAGCGTGGCAGGGGAGTTTGGACAACACTCTCTGTACAAAATGTTGGGATACTTCAGCCTTATTGGGCTTCTGAGGCTTCATTCTCTCCTAGGAGACTACTACCAGGCTCTCAAGTGTCTAGAGTGTATCGACTTTAACAAGAAGGTATTCAACTCGTAGTGATTTAGAATTGATTCTCATTGATTGATCCCATTCCTTTGTGAAGAGTCTATTTCTTGACTGCAAAGTGTACAAAATTGTTTCTTTTTTTTTTACTAAGTATGAATAACAGTTATTTGTAGATACTGATTGACTTACAAAATGCACGTGTGCTGTAGCTATACGTGGCAGTAATGAAGTGGAAATAGTGCTTTATAGTTTTTCTTTAATATTTAATATAATTTGATGTTTTGGTTTAATGTATAGTTGTTTAATTTTGCACTTCTAATATCTACGGTTGTCCTGGTTTGGGCTAGTTCACTGGTAATAAATTTCATACATATATTTGTTTGATGAGCTGGTATCAATGATACAGGTATAACAACATTTTCTCAAATTTTCATTCAGTGTAGAAATGTTCACTGGATATTTAATTTTGTACTCTGTTTATGGACGTGTAATAAGGCAAAATCAATATTACCAATTATACAGTACAGTACATGATTTGTTGAAATTCCTGATGTCTTTAAAAATGTTTCAAAAATGTCTCATCATTCGTGAATTGTTATGAAGTTGTTACTTTTCCAGAACATGTACTCTCGAGTACCAGCCTGCCAGATCACTACGTTCTACTATGTTGGTTTTGCTTACTTGATGATGAGGCGTTACCAGGATGCCATTCGTACTTTCTCCAACATCCTTCTATACATCCAGAGGACAAAACAGATGTTCCAGACAAGGGCTCAGCTCTATGATCAGGTATAATAGATTGGTGTATGCGAAGTAGATAAAATTATGTATCGAGCCAAATTGAACAGACAGGCTGCCATCTTGGATTTTGACTGTTTCAGTTTGTTATCTCTATTTTTTAAGTACAGGATGATTCTTCTGTCCCGAGTTGTGTATGATCAATTTCAGGACTGATTAGAAAATCAGTATAGCTGACAGGCATCTATCTTGCATTTTGCCAGTTAAAGTTTATTACTATTTTTCGTAAGAATGTACACTCCTCTCAATCCCAGGTTGTTCAAGATCAATTTAGTAACTTAATAGAAAAACGAAATAAACAACAGACAGACATCAAGGATTTTGACAGTTAAAGTTTGTTATTGCTTATTCTCAAATTTCATCCATCAGTCCCTCCTGGTCCCTCATTCTGCATGCTCAGTTTTCAGAACAATTTGGAAAAAAATTGAATGGCTGACAAAAGGGCAAATAAGCGAAGACAAAAGAAAGTAAATATCCAACTTATTTGCCATTCTCTGATTGGCTAAGAAGTGATTGGTCATAAGCATCCTTAGGTGAAGAGGAACAAATTTTGTATAAGTGATGGGTCTGAACCCTTTGGGGCCAGAGGAATGGTGCCCAATAGGGGAAAATCTTTCAGTTTCTTTAAAAGTATCTTGTTCTAAAGGAATTTTAGGTTATTCTCCAAATTTGGTCTGAAGCATGCTTTGGTGAAGGGAAATCGGTTTTGAATAAACTTTGGGTTTTGGCAGAGCCCAATAGGGGAAATAGAGCAAAATTCTGTAAAATCTTTCTTCTTCCGTAGGAATACCTGGATGTTATCTCAATTTAGCTTGAAGCATGTTTTGGGCGAAGAAGAATCCATTTTATATAAATGGTGGATCTTGGCTCCGTAGGGCAGGAGGAGTGGGGTCCATTAGGGGAAATAGGACAAATTATTTAAAATTATTCTTCTTAGGTAGAAATGCCTGGATTCTATCCCAATTTGGTCTGAGAGAATTTATAAAGGACATTTTCATGTCAATATGTTGAATATTTAGATTTTTGAGATTTCAGATATTTGGATTTGTAAATTTTTATTATGGTACATATCACAGATAGAGCTATCTATGTCACTCTTCACAGATCTCCAAGATGAATGATAAGATGTATACTCTGTTGGCTATCTGCCTTGTCCTCCACCCAATGCGTATTGATGAAAGTGTCCACTCACAGCTCAGGGAGAAATTTGCTGATAAAACATTGCGAATGCAGAAAGGGTAATGTATCCACGGCAGATATGTTGTTCCATACTCATTACATGTACTAGTGTGTCACTGCTTCAAACTTCAGTGATTTCTGCATCACATTTAGTTCAGTAATTAACTATTGTGGGCCTATACTATACTATCATAATTTTTTTTATCATCCCTGCAATGAACTCTTGAGAAATTGTTTAGATCACAGAAGTGTAAGGTATGCAAAAGAAAATTGGTTAATAGCATCAAGTTGATGATGTCCAGATTGACATGAATACTCTTGGATGGAAAAATTATTCAGGTACTTTATCAATGGGCTTTGCTATAGCTTGTTATATAAATTAACCAAACTCCTGTTGCTATGGTTATAAGACTACTCTGTTTCAGTATCATATACACTCTCTGATTTGTTTGTTGATTGAAACCTTTGATGTTCCAGAGACCAGGATGAGTTCCAACAAAACTTTTCCTTTGCCTGTCCAAAATTCCTGTCGCCGGTCCCACCCAACTATGATGCCATGGCAGTCATCAACCATAAGGTATGTTACAGGCTGTTATTTACAAAGATAAAGTGCTTTTGTTTTACAGGTAAACAACATTGTAAAATCAAAACTTTGAAATAAACTGTAAACTGATTTGCATTTGCATCTTCTGAAATTTTTTTTTTTTAAGTTAGAATTTTTAACAGATTTTATAATTCATATGATACCAAATAAGTGGTTTTATTCGTTTTGGTCTAAAACAAGTACAAATTTCAAAGTGACTGATTATTTAATTGTATATGATACAGTGGTATCTTGTATGTAATAGTGAATGTTGTTATTGTAGGAGCCATTTCAGCTTCAGCTGAAAGTTTTTCTTGAGGAAGTGAGACAACAGATAGTGTTACCTACCATACGCAGGTGAGTTCATAATGTAGACACTTACGTTTTGTGTGTAAATTACAACATTTTTGTGTGTGCTTTATTTAATGCAATTTTGCCCAAAGGCCTCGGTCCAAAACCTAATTTGCAATAGCAGAGATGCTATTTCTTAATCAAAAGTAACAAGTGTTATCTGAAACTTTTGGTGGAAGCTGAGTTTAGGATTAAACACCTAGTTTTGTCTATTTCAGAGCCAGGAAAAACTTTTGTTGAACATTCTTTATCTGTTGATCACAGATCATGATGTATATTTTACCTCACTATGATGAATTATTTCAGTGATGTAGATCGTTACAAAAATCATTACCTTTCAACGTAAAGTAGTTTTTTTGGAAATCGCATAACTGAAAAAGCCTTCATATTGGTAGATTTTAAAATTTATAAATGTTATCTTGTCCTTAAATTATGAAACTATTTATGTTTTTTTTTTCAGCTATCTGAAGCTTTACACCACTCTACCATTGACAAAGCTAGCAGTTTTCATGGACATGGTGAGTACCGAGTACAGAAAGCATGAAACACCAGTATATTTTTCCATGCATGACTTCACCCTCTCCAACAAGAGAGCTACTCTTCTACAATAGGTTTTATCACCAATTTTCAAACGATTAGCAGTTACAAACCAGTTACCATATTTTCTTAATTATAAGCCACAACTTTTTTCCTCATTGATCGGACGCACAGCTTATATACCAGTGCAGTATATATGTGGAGGGAAAAAAAAATGGAACAAAATGCATGTTTGTGACTGAAACAGATTGTGTAGAACCGTCACTTGTAATTGTGTACAGGATGATTGAAAAATACAATAAAAATAGCACTCTCACGGATTTAATTAATCATACCTTTTAATATGAATCACAATTGAATCTTCTTGATTTTTGCGGTTACTTCAAGGCAATTACAAAAAGGCATGGTAGAAGTTTAACAATAGCCTATTGCTCCCTGCAGTTTATATACCTGTGGCATAACGGAAAAAAACATGTTTATGACTTTGGTAAACATAATGGTTACCACATTGTGCAGGAAATTGGGGAGGGGTTTACAGATATTCTACTTGTTACCTTTATCTGGTTTCACTTGCAAAGTTCTCTTTATTTCTTTTCAGTCTGAGGATGAGCTCCGAACTCACTTGATGTGCTTTAAGGTACGGAATAATCTTCGACATGTGGATTAAAATTGATGCCAAGTTCTGTAAAAACTGATGAATTAGTCATGACTAGTTCAAAGCTGTCTCTCATAGCACTTCAAACATCATATTGATTGGTATATACCTACCTCCTGCACAGAAGTAGTAGGAAAGGAATCAATATCTAGTGTACATGTTTAGTTGCTAGAAGCTGACAATATCACTGTCTGTAAACTATCTTCCTGTAAACATTGGTGTCTGGTCTTGATGCCAGTGAACTGGTGTTTTAAGACAGTGTTGATACTAAGGGTACTCTTGTAAAAATTTAAGATTTGATAATTTAATAAATTTGGTGACACCTAACCCTAATTTTACTTTCCACTCAGACTTGAATAAGGAGACACTATTTATTTATTTGTTATCTTATTTTAGCACAAGATGAAGAACTTGGTTTGGACAAAGGGAACAAGTGGACTTGATGGCGAGTTTCAATCCGCATCAGAAGTGGACTTCTACATTGACAAGGTAAGCACTCGCTAATAGGGTGTACTTGTTTGATGATGTCATTGACTTTGCTATGAGGTATGCTGCAAAAAAGATTTCACCCTTTGGTATTTAGTATAACAGCATCTTTTAACCAAATACACTCAAGATAATTGATATAAGAAGGATTGAGAATGGGAGATAACCAATATAAGAGGAATTGAGAAAGGGAGATAATCAATATAAAAGAATTGAGACAGGGAGATAGAAATTCATTGTGAAGGCATTATAATGTAAGGGATTAGAAATGGCCTAGTATCAGAGAGATTGATAAATGCTGGAAGGAAATTTTGGTCTGGTTGTAGTATAATATACAGTAAAAAACCAATAAGTTGATGGGGCCAAATGAAATATGTTTTTATGAACTGAGATATTCTGCTATAAAGACTGACCTCATTTTCATGTGTGCGACAGTAATGAATATATATAAAAACACATGATATTTTTATACACTAACAATGTCTTTATTTAAATAAACAGTTACAAGTACAATTGTGAAACAATAAATGTGAAATGGTCATCAATGCAGCACACATGTGGATACAAGTCAACTTTCATGCATGTAAATTAGTCATATTGATACCTAAAGGAATATGAATATTGTACTCACATTTTTATCTTCAAGACTAAGAAGTCCCGTCAACAATTTTTGAAAGAAAACTCAATAAATATGTACTCATGAACATTGTGCATTGTAATAACATCGATATCACAGAGCTAGGTTGTGAAAATGTGAATGCCACTGCAACATCAATGAACCACAGTGTAAGAGCATATACCATAAAATGAAAAAAAGGTTGCAGGGAATTTGGTAGAATTTAGAAGAGATGGAATCATACATGTTTAATAAGTTAAAAAAAAAGGAGAAAAATTGCGCCTGAATAAAAAATTTTGACTCATCTGATATATTCGATTCCAGCGTGTTTGATACATGCAAGTTTTACTGTACCTTACACTAAAAACAGCAGTATTATGTCTCATTCCCCTGAAACTTGATCAACAGCAATTTTTATATTTGTTTCTATTGCTTGCAGGACATGATCCACATCGCCGACACAAAAGTAGCTCGTCGTTATGGAGACTTCTTCATCAGGCAGATACACAAGTTTGAGGAGGTACAATACAGTATTAAATTCATAGTCATCAGAACAATTTGAATACCCTATAACCTTGTTGTAACCATTTTATTATGATAATGGACAAATTACCAGGATGTGATTTAATATGATGAAACAGCTAGATGTTAAATACTGGCTATGAAGTTTAGATATTTTGTCATGAAACAGACTTTTAGTTTTCTTTTTTATCGAGGAATCTTTCCAAAGTTTTGTTTCATTCTTGAACACATTAAAGAATAGGAGCTATAAAAGTCAACCATTATTTCAAACTGTTTTTATTCCTGTGAATTACAAGTTACTGGTAGATAAAGTGAGGTAGCTTAACACACAATATTATTAGGGTTATTTCATTAAAACATCTATCCCATCCTAGGACTTAAGATTTTGTTTAGGACGATCACCATGCAATAATCATGAAAATGAACCATGGATAGATGTGATATATTTTGGAGCCCTGATGTTAAGTAGATATTTTTACTAGAATAACCCATAGAAGGGTGATAGGATAGACAATGTAGAGGTAATGATATACTTTAATTTTACAGATCACCAAGAACTTGAAGCTTGTGAAATAGACTGACATGTTCAAGTGCTGAATTAGACTTGCCTCCATAAGGGATGCAAATTTTAAGAATGACACTGTCTGGATTGTGTTTTATAGTAGATGATCATAGGGATTTTACCAACTCATCTGATGATTCTACATTTGGAGGAAGTCAACAGCTTTTTGTCAAGAGTTTGCAAAACTAAACACAGGATCTGTAAATTAAAATCTCTATACCAAGTTTTGGTTTTTTTTCTTTTCCTTGAAAACTAGATGTTTCTCTGCAACACAAATGCTGCCACTAGCAACCAATTAGAACTAAGGAGTTTTGTGTGCGTTATTGGTCACTTTTTAACCAATACTCATCAGGTTTTGCCTGTTATGGTCGGTCATGTGCAAGACTTCTCATATTTCAAACAAGTTCTCAATTTCCACCAATGAGATTAGGTTAAAAGCATGCCTAATATTTTTTGAAATTTTTCTAGCCTGTTCAAAATTCAATATGGTCACCAGGGTCATTTCTTGAAAACAGATTTTAAACTTCTTCAGGTCCAATGGTGGTATTGAGCTGAAAATTGGTGGAAAAAGTGTGATTTTTTGGCATTATCAAACTTTGGCATGATAGGAACAGCTGATATTTGTATCATGATTGAAATGTTTGTGAAATTTTGTGGTAATGTTAGGAAAATGAAATGAAAAGCCTTGTTTTTGTTGCCTGAACTGCTATTTTATCTGAACTGTTTAAATCATTTAATAAGTGTTCCCATTACTGTTGTTATATATCACTTATTGGTCTTTATAGTCAGATGACTGTTAAGGCTTTTTCAGTTATTGGCAGACCAAGGCCGACCACCATTACATATAGTATATTATGACTGACATGGTTGAAAAATACTACTACATACAAATTTCAATTCAATATCACCGACCAAATAAAAAATTAACATTTTTTTATTTATACAATCTTGCTCCCATTATATGAGTTCGATATCTCTAACCATCATCATAGTAATTGATTGGGAACAAAATTATGTCAGAAATGATCACCAGAGGCAACACTAGACATACTGGGTAACTCAAAATTAATTAATTACACTAGTTAAGATTTTGCCAGTGCTTACAAAAGGGATGAAAATTATGACCTTTAAAATATAAAAAAAACTCAATGTCATTCACATCCATCATTCTTTATTACACAAGTTCTTCAGTTCACAGTCAGAACTGAACAATAACTGATACAAGAGAACCTGTATTTATTTGGGGGGCATTCAAACTCACCATTTATTAATCTACAATCAATCAATGCCTAGCTCTCCTATGGGCCAAATGTAATTCACCCAACACCAGGTCGACCACACACTGGCTGCATGGGCAGTGTCAGATTATTGCATAATACTCCTAAAAAGGTCATGAACCCAACTTCAGAACCAAGTGGACAGACTTATGGCACAGATGATTGCACATGTGTTTTCCAAGATCCAACATTGGATGAGAAAATACAAAGTTCACCTCAGTTTGACAGGTCGTCCGCATGTTTTAAGGCAAAGACGTTGAACAGGGACAGGGAAGTGTATTTCTTTTAACCCCTTTCTAAACCAGTCATCCTCTGTCTTGCACCAAGTATGACTGTCAATATCTTGTACAATATGGCTATACAGCTGCCAGTCATTCTAGGCCTCAGTTTCTTATGTAACGTCAAGACCTGGCTACACAACTGCCAGTCCATCTTGCTTCTGTCTGTCTGCTGGTGAGTTTCAGACTAACCCAGCTAATTGTTATCAGCCTTACCTGCAATACTTCAGACTCGAAGAAGGTCATGTATGGTCAGAGGCAACCCTATTTTCAGCAAACTTAAATACAACAATAGAATTTTAATTCTGTTGTTTGAACTCTATTGTGTAAATCATTATTCCTTATCTCAATTCAAAATCATACACAACTAGACAATAATGCATACAAATGTACATTTATATATGTATATGTACCATCACAGACTAAAAGAAAGTTCAGAAGTTTAAAAAAAAAAACTGTCACAATATGTTTAATGGCTTTGATAGTGTCTATACAACCAGTCAATATCACAGAAATTAAAAAGAGGCTTGTGGTAGTGACGGTCACCCAAGATAAGCAATATTGAATATAAAGGTTTAGGGTTAAGTAGCTTTGATTCATGAAAAAGAAACTGAGACATTGATGAGAGTAAACCAGTGTCAATACATGCATACCATCAAAATTTCCAATGGGAAATAAGTAACATTATGCTCAAAAATGCAATTTTTCTATCAAATTAAAATAGTTAACCTCCTCCCCAGGAAATGAGAGACCCATTTTGGTAATTAAAGCACCTTAAGATGTTTCCGTCTATGAAGAGCATTAGATTCTATCTTGCCTTGGCGTTGAGAAGAAGATTTTAAAAATTTCGGTAAATCTGACCTTTTGGCCCTACATCAGCCCCTGGGGGTAAGTCAGGATCAATATATGCATACAATCTAGCCGTCATCCCTCACTCATAATTCTAACCAAGTTTGAAATGTTTCCAATGGAAATTAAATTATGTTCAAAAACCTTATTTGCCTACATAAACTATAGTAAAGTTTACCACCTCCACACCAGGAAATGCCAGACCCTGGAATCATGAAATTCACAATTTTGATGAAGCACCATAAGACACTTTCATCCATGAAGAACATTTGATTTGATCATATTCAGTGTTAAAATGAAGATTTTTGAAATCCAAATCAATTTGACCCCTTTTGCCTCCACACATCAGCCCTGGAGGTCAGCCAGGATCGATATGGGCATACTATCAAGCCGTCATGCTTCACTCATAGTTCTAACCAAGTTTAAAGTACACTATTTCCAATGGAAATTAAACAAATTATGCTCAAAAATAAATTTTTCCTATATAAACTATAGTATAGTTTACCCCCTCCCCACAGGGAAATGTGAGACCCTAGGGCCATGAAATTCACCCTAAGATGCTTCCATCCATAAAGAGAATTTGATTCCATCATATCTGGTCATTAAAAGATTTTTGGAATTTGAGTCAATTTGACCTGTTTGGCTCCACCCCTCAGACCCCTGTGGGGTGGAGATGGTATATTTCATTATATTTGGTTCATCTTATGCCAGGGAAGGTTTCTACAAAATTTCATTGAAATCAGTTAAGGATTTTTTGGGAAGAAGAAGAAAATAATAAAATTGTTTACGTATAATACCAAACAAAGGTGATTCCAATAGGTCACCATAAGGTGATCTAAAATTTTATGTACAAAACATAAATTTATAACAACGAAATAAAATCATCAGAGCTTAAGATGATTTCCGTATTATTGCAATATGAAGTTGGTACTTCCATGAAAATGCTAGTCGGCAAGAAGGACCACTTTCAAATTAAATCTGTAAGTGACACAATATTTGAAGAGATTTTTTCTATAATTTTTCATCACATCAGCTTGTTATCCAGTGAATTCTTTCAAGTAATATTTTTGCGTGTATGCCACTTGTGTTTTTCATTGATTGTGCCAGCCAGTCAATTGTGATTTCATATGGACATTGACATTTCATTAAGAATTCTAAAATAATGGTTATGTAACATAACTTTTCACTTGATAATTTTCATGATACAACTCCCTATATGCCCCATATTCTGACGTTAGCCCAAATATGGATGCCACTCAATTTAGGCAGATGATCGACTTTAACAATGGAAAAAATTATTACGACATGCTTAAATGTGTCATAAAAATGTAAAGTTGAGAAATTCTTTGTTTCATGTTCCTATTGACTTTTATCTGCCAGAGAAATATCAGAATTTCAGTAAAGATGATGCATTGTAATTGTTACAGAGGACAGTAAGCGATATTGTCAATCCAGGGATCAACTAACATCACAACTAAATAAAATCATGGTACATGGTATTGTCTCCTACTACCTTTACTGGATAATGATAGCGTGAATGATACAACAAGAGGCCCATGGGCCTTAACGGTCATCTGACAAAAAGCAAGCCAAACCTAAAAAGTGGGTTGAGGTCATTCATTTGAACAAACTTGGTAGCCTCTCCTCCAAGCATCTTACAGGCCCAATATCAGCACTCATGGACTTTTGCTTGTTGAGAAGAAGTCGTTTGTATATTTTAACATATTTGACCCCTGTGACCTTGAAAGTGGGTTGAGGTCATTCATTTGAATAAACTTGGTAGCCTTTCCTCCCAGCATGCTACAGACCCAATATCGGCACTCATAGACTTTTGCTTATTGAGATGAAGTCCTTTGTATATTTTAACATATTTGACCCCTGTGACCTTGAAAGTGGGCCAAGGTCATTCATTTGAACAAACTTTGTAGGGCTCCATGCCAGCATGCTATGGGCCAAGTATTAGCCCCCTAGGCCTTCTAGTATTTGAGAAGAAGTTATTTAAAGATTTTGACATATTTGATCCCTGTGACCTTGAAAGTTGTTCAAGGTCATTCATTTAAACAAACTTGATAGCCCTTCATCCCAGCATGCCACAGGCACAATATCAGCAATCTGAGCCTTTTGGTTATTGAGAAGAAGTTGTTTAAAGATTTTAACATATTTGACCCCTGTGACCTTGAAAGTGGGTTGAGGTTATTCATTTGAATAAACTTGGTAGCCTTTCCTCCCAGCATGCTACAGACCCAATATCGGCACTCATAGACTTTTGCTTATTGAGATGAAGTCCTTTGTATATTTTAACATATTTGACCCCTGTGACCTTGAAAGTGGGCCAAGGTCATTCATTTGAACAAACTTTGTAGGGCTCCATGCCAGCATGCTATGGGCCAAGTATTAGCCCCCTAGGCCTTCTAGTATTTGAGAAGAAGTTATTTAAAGATTTTGACATATTTGACCCCTGCGACCTTGAAAGTTGTTCAAGGTCATTCATTTAAATAAACTTGGTAGCCTTTCCTCCCAGCATGCTACAGACCCAATATCGGCACTCATAGACTTTTGCTTATTGAGATGAAGTCCTTTGTATATTTTAACATATTTGACCCCTGTGACCTTGAAAGTGGGCCAAGGTCATTCATTTGAACAAACTTTGTAGGGCTCCATGCCAGCATGCTATGGGCCACGTATTAGCCCCCTAGGCCTTCTAGTATTTGAGAAGAAGTTATTTAAAGATTTTGACATATTTGACCCCTGTGACCTTGAAAGTTGTTCAAGGTCATTCATTTAAACAAACTTGATAGCCCTTCATCCCAGCATGCCACAGGCACAATATCAGCAATCTGAGCCTTTTGGTTATTGAGAAGAAGTTGTTTAAAGATTTTAACATATTTGACCCCTGTGACCTTTAAAGTGGTTCAAGGTCATTCATTTGAACAAACTTGGTAGTCCTTCATCCCAGCATGTCACAGGCCCAATATCTACACTCTGAGCCTTTTGGTTAATGAGAAGAAGTTGTTTAAAGATTTTAACATATTTGACCCCTGTGACCTTTAAAGTGGTTCAAGGTCATTCATTTGAACAAACTTGGTAGTCCTTCATCCCAGCATGTCACAGGCCCAATATCTACACTCTGAGCCTTTTGGTTAATGAGAAGAAGTTGTTTAAAGATTTTAACATATTTGACCCCTGTGACCTTTAAAGTGGGTCAAGGTCATTCATTTGAACAAACTTGGTAGAGCTCCATGCCAGTATCCTCTGTGCCAAGTATTAGCCCCCTAGACCTTCTAGTATTTGAGAAGAAGTCGTTTGAATGAAAAGTTTACGGACGGCGCACGGCGCACGGCGGACGGCGCACGGCGCACGGCGGACGACGACGGACGAAGCATGATGACTATAGGTCATCTGGACCCAATCTCTGAAACAATCACACAAATGTGCATGAATCTCCTGTCATGATCTCTTGTTGATTCCTCTCCACGATGTCAGTTTTTTTTATTGATCTACTTTAGTGAACAATTACCTTTACCATTCAGAGATAGACATGACGAATTTCAGGTATATACACCCAGAAGCAACATAAACAACAATTTAGACAGATACTCTAGGCAATTTCTGATCTCCAGTATGTGCATAAAAACAAGCATACTATCCCCTAATTGAAAATGGCATAACAAAACCCATTTGCTTTTGCCCCCCACATTTTTACATTAAAACCTGTCAAAATGTTACTTTTCTGACATGTGAAGTATCTTAAAATTAAATGGGTCTCAAAAGTTTTAATTTTTGTTACCCTTGACTCCAAAATGAAAAATTCTATGACTTGTTTCATAAATTCTTTCATATACATTAAAAATAACTCTTCCAAAATTCTATATTGATGCAAAATTTATGCATTTACCTTTATAAAATTTTATTCATTCAACATGATTGTGCAAATTTTTTTTATTTTACACATAAGAAGCCTCTACTTCTATACCAATATATACTGTAACACATGAGTAAGAACTAGGTATGGTATTTTGACATCTTCGATAAATGGCTTGCTATTGTCTTAGCAATAGAAAACAATATATGTATGCTTTATACAAGATCCTAAAACATTTGCTTTTGTATGATAAACAGAATATTACACTCTTTAACATGTCATAATGAAGTTATCACACCCATCCAATAATGAGTTACTATGCCTGATTTAATGACCTGATGTATCATTCACTTCAATGTCCACTGGACCAGGATGTATCCAGGTCCATCATAGTCAATGGTAAAAATTCTCAAGTTCACTACTAGTGACGAAAGTTCTCCCTTGCCAACACACCAAATACATGTCAATACAGTTGAAAATGTGACCTCACAATAACATTAATGATTTTATTGTGGTTTGTAGGAGTATTATCTTGCACTCAGAAATATGATAACAGAAAAAAAAGAAATCTGCTAATTGAAATGCAACCTTCTGAGCATTTGATTTCCTTCTATCCATGATGTCTGAACCATCAAGTAACATTTTGCCTTAAGAAAAGATCAAATAAACTGCTTTTGACAAAATAAAATAAATAGTTCAGTATAGGTCAACTCATGAAAGGATCAAAGTTGGAATGTACATTATGTAGATGAGGACATGTTTTAGTAAAGCTTGTGATCCATTACCACATCATCTATAGATATATAAATACTAAATAACAGACAGGAAACCTATACATTTAGTAAAATGTGTGGATATAGTGGTCATTTAATGGTTTCCTCTCGGTACTGAGTTCTCTTTCATTATACTTTTAAAAGGAAAAACAAATAGATAAAATAAATCATAGTTAGATTTTTTTTAATTGGTTGCTCTATGTGTATTTCAACATTTTATTCCATTTTCTGTTAATAACTGCTTACAAAACTGTTAAATATCAAATTAGACAAAACTTGAAAAGCACATAAAAAAGTTACCATGAAAAACAAGCCACTAAATCTTCACCTCATTTGCATCCATAGAGAAAAATTAGAGAATTTCAATGTAGTGACTAGAAAGCACTGCTCTGATTCATTATAACAATGAAAGTCATATGATCAAAAGTTATGTCATTGCTAGTAATGATGTAAGGTTTAGATCACCACTGCTGTGATGACACATTTTTATCGAAATGATACATTCCTTTTTTCACTGGCAAAATTTTAATGAAACACTTAATGTTACTATTAAAACATTTTCTACTTTATTGTAAAACATTTTCTTCTACTCGTAATAATAAGAAACTGGCAGTATTTTCTCACAGTTTGTGATTTAAGAGCTTCCATTCTCACTAATATGCAACACATCACATTATGTACAATATTGCCCCAAAAGTACCATCTGGTGATAGTGTGATAATGAGGTCTTGTCCCTTGAGTATGACAAGGTGTCCTCATATTGAGCTCTCATGTCCAATTAATGTCATATGGTGTCACCATGAGCACTTTTTATCCCCCAGGTTGCTGTATAGTGTCTCCTTATTAAGCTCTTTATGGTCCCCAAAATGCCTAATGGAGTCACCATCATGAGCCCTTGGTTCGTCTTCTCTCCACCAGCACAATTTCATGTCCAGTGTGATAATTTTATTTCATTAAGAAATAGATATTTAGAGAAAAACATTTTGTAATATTTGTGATTTTTATGACAAGCACATGAAATAAATATACAAGGTGTTGGACTGTAAATTATCAACATATTCATAATACATTCCTCAAATGTTTGCCAAGTACAGCCTTGTATCACCAGATCAACTTCCATTCCATTGATAAACACCTCTGATGACTCAACAATAACAATGATACACCATCAATGAAGAAGCAAGGAAAAACGTCTGTTAATTGTTTGGTCTTTGACTGGCTGCTAGTTACAATGCAATCAAGACTACCACAATCAAGTATTTGATCGTCCTAAAATCACGACAACAATCTTTCTCAAGCAACAAACGAAACTCAGAGACACATCATGTTCCTTCTGTTTTCTTGTAATACATTGTAGTTTTCCGGTATCAATGTCTATTCTCTCCACAATGGGTCTACTCTATCAAACCTTATGCCTCTCTTTGAACTGTGTCTGCGATCTGTAAAAATAATAAGAAAGATCTTCAAAAATAATTTTGCAGAACTGACACCAGTGGAATTTATATTGACTTCAGGAGTAAGTATGAAAATGTTCATTTGTTATGTGTAATTTACTCAGAAAATATAAAAAAAAAATTAAACCTAAGAGGCAGATGGGCTTTAACAGTTTTCAGATCTTTGAACAGTTTTAGAACCTGTTCATCAGTCCCAGCATCAGGGCAATGAGAACAGAACTAATATATGCATACTGTTTTTTATAATTTAAAAGACTGAAGGCTTAATTTTCAACTGAACCACACTGATAACACTGTCTGTTGTAGTTTAGCAATTTTAAAAAAGATTTTAAAGGATCTTGGTACCCACCATCATTATTAGTTGGACCTGTTCCCTTCTTTTCTCTTTTTTTTTTTTTTTTTTTTTGCTTTTAAGGCCAGTAGGGCACAGTTTTTCTCCAGCAATCACAAATAAAATTGTCCAAATACAAGACAGCTATCTATCAGTCATTTTGTTATTGTAATCAGCCCAAAAATGGACAATGCACATTTAAGAGACCAAGTGGAATGTACTTATGAAATTTTACAATGATCTATCCAGTAATTATCAAAATAAATAGCAAGAAATTAGCGAAGTTGAACTGTCACAAAAAAAAAATTGCCAACTTTTTTTTAAGTGTTCCAAAAAACCAGATACTGCTCTTGGGACCATGGGGGAAAGAACGTGTGGAAATTTAGAACAATCCATCTAGTTCTAGTTCAGAGAAATTGATAAAAATATACAAGTAAAAATAAAAAGGATAGTCCAAAATAATCAATGTAAATCTGGGACCAATGGGAAATTTTGCGAGTGATCTATCCATCACTTGGCAAAATAGTGATAAACTGAGTCGTTCACAGAGGGAAGGACAAAAGCAAATCTAAATGGCCCATCATCTGAAAAATTATTAATGAAAATTTCATCAACATCCAAATTACCTGAAAACACCATTTGTGCTAACTCATCTGGTACTTTCTTTTGGTGCCTGTTATACATCTGTACTAGAGATTTCACAACACCTATATCATTTTTTGTTACTAAAGAAAAAGCTCTTCCTTTTCGGCCCCCTCTTGCTGTCCTCCCTATTCGATGAACATAAGATTCTCCATTGGCAGGCATGTCATAGTTAATGACATTATAGATATCTGCAACATCTATAAGAAAATATACAAACAAATTACATGTAACCATAACATGCCAAAACAATACCAAATCTGATTATCTTATTCCAGTTTAATCATGTTCAGATGAAATTTTCAGCACCTCATTTTATGCATGTCGTGAAACATTTCAACCTGACATCTACCTGATGACTTAACATATGATGTCACTGCCTGCATAAAAGACCATTACCCTGTACTTAGATATCTCAGTTCAATTTCATATTTTCAAATTCACAATATTGTCAGTATGTTTGTTTATCATCACTCACCGAGTCCTCTAGAAGCAACATCAGTATGACTGAACAAAAAAATGAGCATTTATTTAATTGATTATTTCTCCAATTTGTTGTAGAATGGACCTTCCTTGGAACAAAGATTTGAATCCTACTACAACTACTGTAATTTATTTAACTACATCTTGAGTAAGTATGAGGCCACAAATTGTATCAATATTTCTCTGGTTTTATGTAATATTTGAATTCTTCAAAAATACCTGCCAATTTGTTTAACACAAAGTTTTTTTTTCAAAACATGGACAAGGTTCATCATTAAGAGACCAGTGTGTTTTTAAAACCTAGTCTCATTACTAAGAGATAAAACTTGGGTTCTGGAATTATTTCAATGCCGAGAGATTAATGCATTCTTAAAAGTAGTCCAATTCCCGGGAGATAAATAGGGTTTATACTGCATTGTCAAGTCCCACAGGAAAAACAGGAGTCCAAGATTAAATCACAACGGAATCTAAGATTTCTTTCATTCATTTATTAATTTACAAATATGTATTCTTAAAAGTAGTCCGATTCCTGGGAGATAAATAGGGTTTATACTGTGTTGTCAAGTCCCACAGGAAAAACAGGAGTCCAAGATTAAATCACAACGGAATCTTGGATTTCTTTCGTTTATTTATTAATTTACAAGTATGTTGTACAACATTTCATTACATCTTTGTAAAATTGCTGCCATATTAACAAGTGATTTCCTTAATAAGTGTGTAACATATTTACTCGTCACAACTACTATGTAATGAATAGCATTTTCAGTTTGATGAATATTTTCCTTTTACCAGTTTTCAATTGCTTGTTTAAAATGTTTTGCAAGAACAGATATAGTGGGTATAAACTTAGTGCTCTATTGGGTAGGTTTGTCTACATAGGTATCAATAAGTATGTTGAATATAAAACTTGAATGATAAATATTTTTGAAAAGCTGTTGCAGTTAATTAATTGCTAATAGTAGTCATGAAAGGAATTTGGTAAGAAGTCTTAGTTACTCATTTTAATTAAGTGTAATGACAAGAAATGGCAGCTGTAATGTATCACACAAAATATATTTTAAAGGATTGTGTCACAACCTCAACTCAAGTCTTAATAACCAAGGATAACAAACAAAGCTTTAAAACTAAATGTCTGAAAACCCCCTTGATTTGGTTAAAATATCTTCTCATGTCTGTGTACACATTTACTTTATACTTATATTATAATTCACCAAGTACCTGTGTTATTTTAACTCTCACAATAGACGCAGAAGGCCCGGTCCCGTTGGAGTTACCTAACCAGTGGTTGTGGGATATCATTGATGAGTTCATCTACCAGGTTTGTACATCTATACCTCAATAGATTGTCTTACTTTCTTGTTTTTCCTAGTATTCGAGGGAAATAATGTAACAATTTCAAATTTTTATCAATGGTTTCCACAACTGTCATAACTATTAAAAGAATGTGATGCTCCTGATAGTTAATCCATCAAAAGAAAGCTGTAACTGCTAAGGATTTGATCAATATTTGATGTCCTGTACATAGTTGTACAATAGCGATTATTTACTAAGTATAGATGTAATCCAGTGTCTTTCCAGCAGCCTTTTCCTCCAACATCTCTTTACCTGAATGTTGGTTAGATTTAAATAAATCTTGGCTGTAAAAATCTCTGTTCCAAAGGAGCTCAGCTTGTTTCAATAAAGGTCTGAGTCCATAAAAATGAAAATGAATTGAGATTTCAACTACCAATTAAATCACTGTGATGAAAGCGGATATGGCTTAACATCAGCAAAAAACACTTACAGCATTTCCAGTGCAACTTGTTTTAATAGATAACAGTGGCATAGTAGTAGGGAAACCTGTCTCACCGATTGGTAAATGAATTAAATAAGGATGTAATCTTATTTGTGGATGACTTTTTCTGATAAATAATTTGATAGATAGTTCTTTAAATCAGGATGTTTAGGTAATTACAGTATTTTACTATTGTATTAAACTTGTTTCTTTGTCGATCCAGTTTCAGTGTTTCAGCATCTACCGCTGTAAAGTCACTAAAAAATCAGAGGAAGAAATCGCCTATCTCAGAGCGAACCCCAAGGTATATATCACTTATTTTACTTGGTTACTGAACGGTTAAGTCAGGTTAATATCATGATCCATTGATTAGTGTCAGCATTTTCTTTCAAAGTTGGAAAATTCTTTTCATTTTTGACAGTCACTTGATTTGTGATATCCTAATGCAAAACATGATGTCATTTTTTTCAATAACTATATATTTAAACAATTATAAACAACATAAAAAAATGATACATTCAAATCAGATTTAGGAAACAAGCTTATCAGCTGTTATCATATTTTCTATGAAAAATAAATTATATTTAAACCATATACTTATATACAGAACAATTTTGAAAATATAATGGAAAGGTTTTTTTTAATGTCACATGTCCATATTAAGAACATACAAACATTACTTCCATCTTCTTTGCCTTTTACTTAGTATTTTCATACTCAGTCTTCATACCTATTATTATCAATTAAGGATGATGTTTGTTGTTTAGATATGGAATGTACACAGTGTGCTGAATGTTCTGCATTCATTGGTTGAGAAGTCGAGCATCAACAGGCAGCTGGAGGTCTATACCAGTGGAGGTAGGTCATTCTATTGTAATAGTGTACAGTTGTCACTGTTTTCTGTGAAGCATGTATCATATCTGCCCTTCAATACTTAATTTAGGGAAATGATTAAAATATATAATTACTGCAAGAAAAAGGATCCATGCCTTGCTTTATGATTTAATGTGATGTAACATAGGCATATATTTCAGGATTCTATTACATATCTTCCATAATTCCTCCATGAGCTGGCACATATCTGATTCAAAATCAGGGAAGGGACTAATTACAGGAAACTGATATTACAGGGCTAACACCATGCCTTGTATCTCATGTTTGTCCTGACTCATGGTATTAAGGTGAATCTGTTTTTCATTTGCAGGTGATCCTGACAGCGTGGCAGGGGAGTTTGGACAACACTCTCTGTACAAAATGTTGGGATACTTCAGCCTTATTGGGCTTCTGAGGCTTCATTCTCTCCTAGGAGACTACTACCAGGCTCTCAAGTGTCTAGAGTGTATCGACTTTAACAAGAAGGTATTCAGCTCGTAGTGATTTAGAATTGATTCTCATTGATTGATCCCATTCCTTTGTGAAGAGTCTATTTCTTGACTGCAAAGTGTACAAAATTGTTTCTTTTTTTTTTTACTAAGTATGAATAACAGTTATTTGTAGATACTGATTGACTTACAAAATACATGTGTGCTGTAGCTATACGTGGCAGTAATGAAGTGGAAATAGTGCTTTATAGTTTTTCTTTAATATTTAATATAATTTGATGTTTTGGTTTAATGTATAGTTGTTTAATTTTGCACTTCTAATATCTACGGTTGTCCTGGTTTGGGCTAGTTCACTGGTAATAAATTTCATACATATATTTGTTTGATGAGCTGGTATCAATGATACAGGTATAACAACATTTTCTCAAATTTTCATTCAGTGTAGAAATGTTCACTGGATATTTAATTTTGTACTCTGTTTATGGACGTGTAATAAGGCAAAATCAATATTACCAATTATACAGTACAGTACATGATTTGTTGAAATTCCTGATGTCTTTAAAAATGTTTCAAAAATGTCTCATCATTCGTGAATTGTTATGAAGTTGTTACTTTTCCAGAACATGTACTCTCGAGTACCAGCCTGCCAGATCACTACGTTCTACTATGTTGGTTTTGCTTACTTGATGATGAGGCGTTACCAGGATGCCATTCGTACTTTCTCCAACATCCTTCTATACATCCAGAGGACAAAACAGATGTTCCAGACAAGGGCTCAGCTCTATGATCAGGTATAACAGATTGGTGTATGCGAAGTAGATAAAATTATATATCGAGCCAAATTGAACAGACAGGCTGCCATCTTGGATTTTGACTGTTTCAGTTTGTTATCTCTATTTTTTAAGTACAGGATGATTCTTCTGTCCCGAGTTGTGTATGATCAATTTCAGGACTGATTAGAAAATCAGTATAGCTGACAGGCATCTATCTTGCATTTTGCCAGTTGAAGTTTATTACTATTTTTCGTAAGAATGTACACTCCTCTCAATCCCAGGTTGTTCAAGATCAATTTAGTAACTTAATAGAAAAACGAAATAAACAACAGACAGACATCAAGGATTTTGACAGTTAAAGTTTGTTATTGCTTATTCTCAAATTTCATCCATCAGTCCCTCCTGGTCCCTCATTCTGCATGCTCAGTTTTCAGAACAATTTGGAAAAAAAATGAATGGCTGACAAAAGGGCAAATAAGCGAAGACAAAAGAAAGTAAAGATCCAACTTATTTGCCATTCTCTGATTGGCTAAGAAGTGATTGGTCATAAGCATCCTTAGGTGAAGAGGAACAAATTTTGTATAAGTGATGGGTCTGAACCCTTTGGGGCCAGAGGAATGGTGCCCAATAGGGGAAAATCTTTCAGTTTCTTTAAAAGTATCTTGTTCTAAAGGAATTTTAGGTTATTCTCCAAATTTGGTCTGAAGCATGCTTTGGTGAAGGGAAATCGGTTTTGAATAAACTTTGGGTTTTGGCAGAGCCCAATAGGGGAAATAGAGCAAAATTCTGTAAAATCTTTCTTCTTCCGTAGGAATACCTGGATGTTATCTCAATTTAGCTTGAAGCATGTTTTGGGCAAAGAAGAATCCATTTTGTATAAATGGTGGATCTTGGCTCCGTAGGGCAGGAGGAGTGGGGTCCATTAGGGGAAATAGGACAAATTATTTAAAATTATTCTTCTTAGGTAGAAATGCCTGGATTCTATCCCAATTTGGTCTGAGAGAATTTATAAAGGACATTTTCATGTCAATATGTTGAATATTTAGATTTTTGAGATTTCAGATACATTTCTTTATTTGGATTTGTAAATTTTTATTATGGTACATATCACAGATAGAGCTATCTATGTCACTCTTCACAGATCTCCAAGATGAATGATAAGATGTATACTCTGTTGGCTATCTGCCTTGTCCTCCACCCAATGCGTATTGATGAAAGTGTCCACTCACAGCTCAGGGAGAAATTTGCTGATAAAACATTGCGAATGCAGAAAGGGTAATGTATCCACGGCAGATATGTTGTTCCATACTCATTACATGTACTAGTGTGTTACTGCTTCTAACTTCAGTGATTTCTGCATCACATTTAGTTCAGTAATTAACTATTGTGGGCCTATACTATACTATCATAATTTTTTTTATCATCCCTGCAATGAACTCTTGAGAAATTGTTTAGATCACAGAAGTGTAAGGTATGCAAAAGAAAATTGGTTAATAGCATCAAGTTGATGATGTCCAGATTGACATGAATACTCTTGGATGGAAAAATTATTCAGGTACTTTATCAATGGGCTTTGCTATAGCTTGTTATATAAATTAACCAAACTCCTGTTGCTATGGTTATAAGACTACTCTGTTTCAGTATCATATACACTCTCTGATTTGTTTGTTGATTGAAACCTTTGATGTTCCAGAGACCAGGATGAGTTCCAACAAAACTTTTCCTTTGCCTGTCCAAAATTCCTGTCGCCGGTCCCACCCAACTATGATGCCATGGCAGTCATCAACCATAAGGTATGTTACAGGCTGTTATTTACAAAGATAAAGTGCTTTTGTTTTACAGGTAAACAACATTGTAAAATCAAAACTTTGAAATAAACTGTAAACTGATTTGCATTTGCATCTTCTGAAATTTTTTTTTTTTTAAGTTAGAATTTTTAACAGATTTTATAATTCATATGATACCAAATAAGTGGTTTTATTCGTTTTGGTCTAAAACAAGTACAAATTTCAACGTGACTGATTATTTAATTGTATATGATACAGTGGTATCTTGTATGTAATAGTGAATGTTATAATTGTAGGAGCCATTTCAGCTTCAGCTGAAAGTTTTTCTTGAGGAAGTGAGACAACAGATAGTGTTACCTACCATACGCAGGTGAGTTCATAATGTAGACACTTACGTTTTGTGTGTAAATTACAACATTTTTGTGTGTGCTTTATTTAATGCAATTTTGCCCAAAGGCCTCGGTCCAAAACCTAATTTGCAATAGCAGAGATGCTATTTCTTAATCAAAAGTAACAAGTGTTATCTGAAACTTTTGGTGGAAGCTGAGTTTAGGATTAAACACCTAGTTTTGTCTATTTCAGAGCCAGGAAAAACTTATGTTGAACATTCTTTATCTGTTGATCACAGATCATGATGTATATTTTACCTCACTATGATGAATTATTTCAGTGATGTAGATCGTTACAAAAATCATTACCTTTCAACGTAAAGTAGTTTTTTTGGAAATCGCATAACTGAAAAAGCCTTCATATTGGTAGATTTTAAAATTTATAAATGTTATCTTGTCCTTAAATTATGAAACTATTTATGTTTTTTTTTGCAGCTATCTGAAGCTTTACACCACTCTACCATTGACAAAGCTAGCAGTTTTCATGGACATGGTGAGTACCGAGTACAGAAAGCATGAAACACCAGTATATTTTTCCATGCATGACTTCACCCTCTCCAACAAGAGAGCTACTCTTCTACAATAGGTTTTATCACCAATTTTCAAACGATTAGCAGTTACAAACCAGTTACCATATTTTCTTAATTATAAGCCACAACTTTTTTCCTCATTGATCGGACACACAGCTTATATACCAGTGCAGTATATATGTGGAGGGAAAAAAAATGGAACAAAATGCATGTTTGTGACTGAAACAGATTGTGTAGAACCGTCACTTGTAATTGTGTACAGGATGATTGAAAAATACAATAAAAATAGCACTCTCACGGATTTAATTAATCATACCTTTTAATATGAATCACAATTGAATCTTCTTGATTTTTGCGGTTACTTCAAGGCAATTACAAAAAGGCATGGTAGAAGTTTAACAATAGCCTATTGCTCCCTGCAGTTTATATACCTGTGGCATAACGGAAAAAAACATGTTTATGACTTTGGTAAACATAATGGTTACCACATTGTGCAGGAAATTGGGGAGGGGTTTACAGATATTCTACTTGTTACCTTTATCTGGTTTCACTTGCAAAGTTCTCTTTATTTCTTTTCAGTCTGAGGATGAGCTCCGAACTCACTTGATGTGCTTTAAGGTACGGAATGATCTTCGACATGTGGATTAAAATTGATGCCAAGTTCTGTAAAAACTGATGAATTAGTCATGACTAGTTCAAAGCTGTCTCTCATAGCACTTCAAACATCATATTGATTGGTATATACCTACCTCCTGCACAGAAGTAGTAGGAAAGGAATCAATATCTAGTGTACATGTTTAGTTGCTAGAAGCTGACAATATCACTATCTGTAAACTATCTTCCTGTAAACATTGGTGTCTGGACTTGATGCCAGTGTACTGGTGTTTTAAGACAGTGTTGATACTAAGGGTACTCTTGTAAAAATTTAAGATTTGATAATTTAATAAATTTGGTGACACCAAACCCTAATTTTACTTTCCACTCAGACTTGAATAAGGAGATACTATTTATTTATTTGTTATCTTATTTTAGCACAAGATGAAGAACTTGGTTTGGACAAAGGGAACAAGTGGACTTGATGGCGAGTTTCAATCCGCATCAGAAGTGGATTTCTACATTGACAAGGTAAGCACTCGCTAATAGGGTGTACTTGTTTGATGATGTCATTGACTTTGCTATGAGGTATGCTGCAAAAAAGATTTCACCCTTTGGTATTTAGTATAACAGCATCTTTTAACCAAATACACTCAAGATAATTGATATAAGAAGGATTGAGAATGGGAGATAACCAATATAAGAGGAATTGAGAAAGGGAGATAATCAATATAAAGGAATTGAGACAGGGAGATAGAAATTCATTGTGAAGGCATTATAATGTAAGGGATTAGAAATAGCCTAGTATCAGAGAGATTGATAAATGCTGGAAGGAAATTTTGGTCTGGTTGTAGTATAATATACAGTAAAAAACCATTAAGTTGATGGGGCCAAATGAAATATGTTTTTATGAACTGAGATATTCTGCTATAAAGACTGACCTCATTTTCATGTGTGCGACAGTAATGAATATATATAAAAACACATGATATTTTTATACACTAACAATGTCTTTATTTAAATAAACAGTTACAAGTACAATTGTAAAACAATAAATGTGAAATGGTCATCAATGCAGCACACATGTGGATACAAGTCAACTTTCATGCATGTAAATTAGTCATATTGATACCTAAAGGAATATGAATATTGTACTCACATTTTTATCTTCAAGACTAAGAAGTCCCGTCAACAATTTTTGAAAGAAAACTCAATAAATATGTACTCATGAACATTGTGCATTGTAATAACATCGATATCACAGAGCTAGGTTGTGAAAATGTGAATGCCACTGCAACATCAATGAACCACAGTGTAAGAGCATATACCATAAAATGAAAAAAAAGTTGCAGGAAATTTGGTAGAATTTAGAAGAGATGGAATCATACATGTTTAATAAGTTAAAAAAAAAGGAGAAAAATTGCGCCTGAATAAAAAATTTTGACTCATCTGATATATTCGATTCCAGCGTGTTTGATACATGCAAGTTTTACTGTACCTTACACTAAAAACAGCAGTATTATGTCTCATTCCCCTGAAACTTGATCAACAGCAATTTTTATATTTGTTTCTATTGCTTGCAGGACATGATCCACATCGCCGACACAAAAGTAGCTCGTCGTTATGGAGACTTCTTCATCAGGCAGATACACAAGTTTGAGGAGGTACAATACAGTATTAAATTCATAGTCATCAGAACAATTTGAATACCCTATAACCTTGTTGTAACCATTTTATTATGATAATGGAAAAATTACCAGGATGTGATTTAATATGATGAAACAGCTAGATGTTAAATACTGGCTATGAAGTTTAGATATTTTGTCATGAAACAGACTTTTAGTTTTCTTTTTTATCGAGGAATCTTTCCAAAGTTTTGTTTCATTCTTGAACACATTAAAGAATAGGAGCTATAAAAGTCAACCATTATTTCAAACTGTTTTTATTCCTGTGAATTACAAGTTACTGGTAGATAAAGTGAGGTAGCTAAACACACAATATTATTAGGGTTATTTCATTAAAACATCTATCCCATCCTAGGACTAAAGATTTTGTTTAGGACGATCACCATGCAATAATCATGAAAATGAACCATGGATAGATGTGATATATTTTGGAGCCCTGATGTCAAGTAGATATTTTTACTAGAATAACCCATAGAAGGGTGATAGGATAGACAATGTAGAGGTAATGATATACTTTAATTTTACAGATCACCAAGAACTTGAAGCTTGTGAAATAGACTGACATGTTCAAGTGCTGAATTAGACTTGCCTCCATAAGGGATGCAAATTTTAAGAATGACACTGTCTGGATTGTGTTTTATAGTAGATGATCATAGGGATTTTACCAACTCATCTGATGATTCTACATTTGGAGGAAGTCAACAGCTTTTTGTCAAGAGTTTGCAAAACTAAACACAGGATCTGTAAATTAAAATCTCTATACCAAGTTTTGTTTTTTTTCTTTTCCTTGAAAACTAGATGTTTCTCTGCAACACAAATGCTGCCACTAGCAACCAATTAGAACTAAGGAGTTTTGTGTGCGTTATTGGTCACTTTTTAACCAATACTCATCAGGTTTTGCCTGTTATGGTCAGTCATGTGCAAGACTTCTCATATTTCAAACAAGTTCTCAATTTCCACCAATGAGATTAGGTTAAAGCATGCCTAATATTTTTTGAAATTTTTCTAGCCTGTTCAAAATTCAATATGGTCACCAGGGTCATTTCTTGAAAACAGATTTTAAACTTCTTCAGGTCCAATGGTGGTATTGAGCTGAAAATTGGTGGAAAAAGTGTGATTTTTTGGCATTATCAAACTTTGGCATGATAGGAACAGCTGATATTTGTATCATGATTGAAATGTTTGTGAAATTTTGTGGTAATGTTAGGAAAATAAAATGAAAAGCCTTGTTTTTGTTGCCTGAACTGCTATTTTATCTGAACTGTTTAAATCATTTAATAAGTGTTCCCATTACTGTTGTTATATATCACTTATTGGTCTTTATAGTCAGATGACTGTTAAGGCTTTTTCAGTTATTGGCAGACCAAGGCCGACCACCATTACATATAGTATATTATGACTGACATGGTTGAAAAATACTACTACATACAAATTTCAATTCAATATCACCGACCAAATAAAAAATTAACATTTTTTTATTTATACAATCTTGCTCCCATTATATGAGTTCGATATCTCTAACCATCATCATAGTAATTGATTGGGAACAAAATTATGTCAGAAATGATCACCAGAGGCAACACTAGACATACTGGGTAACTCAAAATTAATTAATTACACTAGTTAAGATTTTGCCAGTGCTTACAAAAGGGATGAAAATTATGACCTTTAAAATATAAAAAAAAACTCAATATGTCATTCACATCCATCATTCTTTATTACACAAGTTCTTCAGTTCACAGTCAGAACTGAACAATAACTGATACAAGAGAACCTGTATTTATTTGGGGGGCATTCAAACTCACCATTTATTAATCTACAATCAATCAATGCCTAGCTCTCCTATGGGCCAAATGTAATTCACCCAACACCAGGTCGACCACACACTGGCTGCATGGGCAGTGTCAGATTATTGCGTAATACTCCTAAAAAGGTCATGAACCCAACTTCAGAACCAAGTGGACAGACTTATGGCACAGATGATTGCACATGTGTTTTCCAAGATCCAACATTGGATGAGAAAATACAAAGTTCACCTCAGTTTGACAGGTCGTCCGCATGTTTTAAGGCAAAGACGTTGAACAGGGACAGGGAAGTGTATTTCTTTTAACCCCTTTCTAAACCAGTCATCCTCTGTCTTGCACCAAGTATGACTGTCAATATCTTGTACAATATGGCTATACAGCTGCCAGTCATTCTAGGCCTCAGTTTCTTATGTAACGTCAAGACCTGGCTACACAACTGCCAGTCCATCTTGCTTCTGTCTGTCTGCTGGTGAGTTTCAGACTAACCCAGCTAATTGTTATCAGCCTTACCTGCAATACTTCAGACTCGAAGAAGGTCATGTATGGTCAGAGGCAACCCTATTTTCAGCAAACTTAAATACAACAATAGAATTTTAATTCTGTTGTTTGAACTCTATTGTGTAAATCATTATTCCTTATCTCAATTCAAAATCATACACAACTAGACAATAATGCATACAAATGTACATTTATATATGTATATGTACCATCACAGACTAAAAGAAAGTTCAGAAGTTTAAAAAAAAAAACTGTCACAATATGTTTAATGGCTTTGATAGTGTCTATACAACCAGTCAATATCACAGAAATTAAAAAAGAGGCTTGTGGCGGTGACGGTCACCCAAGATAAGCAATATTGAATATAAAGGTTTAGGGTTAAGTAGCTTTGATTCATGAAAAAGAAACTGAGACATTGATGAGAGTAAACCAGTGTCAATACATGCATACCATCAAAATTTCCAATGGGAAATAAGTAACATTATGCTCAAAAATGCAATTTTTCTATCAAATTAAAATAGTTAACCTCCTCCCCAGGAAATGAGAGACCCATTTTGGTAATTAAAGCACCTTAAGATGTTTCCGTCTATGAAGAGCATTAGATTCTATCTTGCCTTGGCGTTGAGAAGAAGATTTTAAAAATTTCGGTAAATCTGACCTTTTGGCCCTACATCAGCCCCTGGGGTAAGTCAGGATCAATATATGCATACAATCTAGCCGTCATCCCTCACTCATAATTCTAACCAAGTTTGAAATGTTTCCAATGGAAATTAAATTATGTTCAAAAACCTTATTTGCCTACATAAACTATAGTAAAGTTTACCACCTCCACACCAGGAAATGCCAGACCCTGGAATCATGAAATTCACAATTTTGATGAAGCACCATAAGACACTTTCATCCATGAAGAACATTTGATTTGATCATATTCAGTGTTAAAATGAAGATTTTTGAAATCCAAATCAATTTGACCCCTTTTGCCTCCACACATCAGCCCTGGAGGTCAGCCAGGATCGATATGGGCATACTATCAAGCCGTCATGCTTCACTCATAGTTCTAACCAAGTTTAAAGTACACTATTTCCAATGGAAATTAAACAAATTATGCTCAAAAATAAATTTTTCCTATATAAACTATAGTATAGTTTACCCCCTCCCCACAGGGAAATGTGAGACCCTAGGGCCATGAAATTCACCCTAAGATGCTTCCATCCATAAAGAGAATTTGATTCCATCATATCTGGTCATTAAAAGATTTTTGGAATTTGAGTCAATTTGACCTGTTTGGCTCCACCCCTCAGACCCCTGTGGGGTGGAGATGGTATATTTCATTATATTTGGTTCATCTTATGCCAGGGAAGGTTTCTACAAAATTTCATTGAAATCAGTTAAGGATTTTTTGGGAAGAAGAAGAAAATAATAAAATTGTTTACGTATAATACCAAACAAAGGTGATTCCAATAGGTCACCATAAGGTGATCTAAAATTTTATGTACAAAACATAAATTTATAACAACGAAATAAAATCATCAGAGCTTAAGATGATTTCCGTATTATTGCAATATGAAGTTGGTACTTCCATGAAAATGCTAGTCGGCAAGAAGGACCACTTTCAAATTAAATCTGTAAGTGACACAATATTTGAAGAGATTTTTTCTATAATTTTTCATCACATCAGCTTGTTATCCAGTGAATTCTTTCAAGTAATATTTTTGCGTGTATGCCACTTGTGTTTTTCATTGATTGTGCCAGCCAGTCAATTGTGATTTCATATGGACATTGACATTTCATTAAGAATTCTAAAATAATGGTTATGTAACATAACTTTTCACTTGATAATTTTCATGATACAACTCCCTATATGCCCCATATTCTGACGTTAGCCCAAATATGGATGCCACTCAATTTAGGCAGATGATCGACTTTAACAATGGAAAAAATTATTACGACATGCTTAAATGTGTCATAAAAATGTAAAGTTGAGAAATTCTTTGTTTCATGTTCCTATTGACTTTTATCTGCCAGAGAAATATCAGAATTTCAGTAAAGATGATGCATTGTAATTGTTACAGAGGACAGTAAGCGATATTGTCAATCCAGGGATCAACTAACATCACAACTAAATAAAATCATGTCACATGGTATTGTCTCCTACTACCTTTACTGGATAATGATATCGTGAATGATACAAAAATCCCAATCTCTGAAACAATCACACAAATGTGCATGAATCTCCTGTCATGATCTCTTGTTGATTCCTCTCCACGATGTCAGTTTTTTTTATTGATCTACTTTAGTGAACAATTACCTTTACCATTCAGAGATAGACATGACGAATTTCAGGTATATACACCCAGAAGCAACATAAACAACAATTTAGACAGATACTCTAGGCAATTTCTGATCTCCAGTATGTGCATAAAAACAAACATACTATCCCCTAATTGAAAATGGCATAACAAAACCCATTTGCTTTTGCCCCCCACATTTTTACATTAAAACCTGTCAAAATGTTACTTTTCTGACATGTGAAGTATCTTAAAATTAAATGGGTCTCAAAAGTTTTAATTTTTGTTACCCTTGACTCCAAAATGAAAAATTCTATGACTTGTTTCATAAATTCTTTCATATACATTAAAAATAACTCTTCCAAAATTCTATATTGATGCAAAATTTATGCATTTACCTTTATAAAATTTTATTTATTCAACATGATTGTGCAAAAAATTTTATTTCACACATAAGAAGCCTCTACTTCTATACCAATATATACTGTAACACATGAGTAAGAACTAGGTATGGTATTTTGACATCTTCGATAAATGGCTTGCTATTGTCTTAGCAATAGAAAACAATATATGTATGCTTTATACAAGATCCTAAAACATTTGCTTTTGTATGATAAACAGAATATTACACTCTTTAACATGTCATAATGAAGTTATCACACCCATCCAATAATGAGTTACTATGCCTGATTTAATGACCTGATGTTTCATTCACTTCAATGTCCACTGGACCAGGATGTATCCAGGTCCATCATAGTCAATGGTGAAAATTTTAAGTTCACTACTAGTGACGAAAGTTCTATCTTGCCAACACACCACATACATGTCAATACAGTTGAAAATGTGACCTCACAATAACATTAATGATTTTATTGTGGTTTGTAGAAGTATTATCTTGCACTCAGAAATATGATAACAGAAAAGAAAGAAATCTGCTAATTGAAATGCAACCTTCTGAGCATTTGATTTCCTTCTATCCATAAGGTCTGAACCATCAAGTAACATTTTGCCTTAAGAAAAGATCAAATAAACTGCTTTTGACAAAATAAAATAGATAGTTGAGTATAGGTCAACTCATGAAAGGATCAAAGTTGGAATGTACATTATGTAGATGAGGACATGTTTTAGTAAAGCTTGTGATCATTACCACATCATCTATCCAAACATAAAATAAATCATAGTTACTGAGTTGAAAACAAGATGAGATTTTTAATTGGTTGCTCTATGTGTATTCCAACATTTTATTCCATTTTCTGTTAATAACTGCTTACAAAACTGTTAAATATCAAATTAGACAAAACTTGAAAAGCACATAAAAAAGTTATCATGAAAAACAAGCCACTAAATCTTCACCTCATTTGCATCCATAGAGAAAAATTAGAGAATTTCAATGTAGTGACTAGAAAGCACTGCTCTGATTCAGTAAAACAATGAAAGTCATATGATCAATAAAAGTTATGTCATTGCTAGTAATGATGTAAGGTTTAGATCATCACTGCTGTGATGACACATTTTTATCGAAATGATACATTCCTTTTTTCACTGGCAAAATTTTAATAAAACACTATGTTACTATTAAAACATTTTCTACTTTATTGTAAAACATTTTCTTCTACTTGTAATAATAAGAAACTGGCAGTATTTTCTTACAGTTTGTGATTTAAGAGCTTCCATTCTCACTAATATGCAACACATCACATTATGTACAATATTGCCCCTAAAGTACCATCTGGTGATAGTGTGATAATGAGGTCTTGTCCCTTGAGTATGACAAGGTGTCCTCATATTGAGCTCTCATGTCCAATTAATGTCATATGGTGTCACCATGAGCACTTTTTATCCCCAAGGTTGCTGTATAGTGTCTCCTTATTAAGCTCTTTATGGTCCCCAAAATGCCTAATGGAGTCACCATCATGAGCTCTTGGCTCGTCTTCTCTCCACCAGCACAATTTCATGTCCAGTGTGATAATTTTATTTCATTAAGAAATAGATATTTAGAGAAAAACGTTTTGTAATATTTGTGATTTTTATGACAAGCACATGAAATAAATATACAAGGTGTTGGACTGTAATTATCAACATATTCATAATACATTCCTCAAATGTTTGCCAAGTACAGCCTTGTATCACCAGATCAACTTCCATTCCATTGATAAACACCTCTGATGACTCCACAATAACAATGATACACCATGAATGAAGAAGTAAGGAAAAACGTCTGTTAATTGTTTGGTCTTTGACTGGCTGCTAGTTACAATGCAATCAAGACTACCACAATAAAGTATTTGATCGTCCTAAAATCAGTCTTCCTCAAGCAACAAACGAAACTCAGAGACACATCATGTTCCTTCTGTTATCTTGTAATACATTGTAGTTTTCTGGTATCAATGTCTATTCTCTCCACAATGGGTCTACTCTATCAAACCTTATGCCTCTCTTTGAACTGTGTCTGCGATCTGTAAAAATAATAAGAAAGATCTTCAAAAATAATTTTGCAGAACTGACACCAGTGGAATTTATATTGACTTCAGGAGTAAGTATGAAAATGTTCATTTGTTATGTGTAATTTACTCAGAAAATATAAAAAAGAAATAAAAAAACCTAAGAGGCAGATGGGCTTTAACAGTTTTCAGGTCTTTGAACAGTTTTAGAACCTGTTCACCAGTCCCAGCATCAGGGCAATGAGAACAGAACTAATATATGTTTTTTATAATTTAAAAGACTGAAGGCTTAATTTTCAACTGAACCACACTGATAACACTGTCTGTTGTAGTTTAGCATATCCCTGTGACCTTGAATGAAGGTCCAGGCTATTCATTTGAACAAACATGGTAGCCCTTCATCCCAGCATGCTACTAGCCCAATACCATGGCCCTTGGTTTTTGGGTTATTGAGAAGTTGAAATCAAAATTTTAAAAAAGATTTTAAAGGATCTTGGCACCCACTATCATTATTAGTTGGACCTGTTCCCTTCTTTTCTCTTTTTTTTTTTTTCTCGCTTTTAAGGCCAGTAGGGCACAGTTTTTCTCCAGCAATCACAAATAAAATTGTCCAAATACAAGACAGCTAACTATCAGCCATTTTGTTATTGTGATCAGCCCAAAAATGGACAATGCACATTTAAGAGATCAAGAGGAATGTACTTATGAAATTTTACAATGATCTATCCAGTAATTATCAAAATAAATAGCAAGAAATTAGCGAAGTTGAACTGTCACAAAAAAAAAAAAATTGCCAACTTTTTTTTTAAGTGTTCCAAAAACCAGATACTGCACTTGGGACCATGGGGGAAAGAACATGTGGAAATTTAGAACAATCCATCTAGTTCTAGTTCAGAGAAATTGATAAAAATATACAAGTAGAAATAAAAAGGATAGTCCAAAATAATCAATGTAAATCTGGGACCAATGGGAAATTTTGCGAGTGATCTATCCATCACTTGGCAAAATAGTGATAAAATGTGTCGTTCACAGAGGGAAGGACAAAAGCAAATCTAAATGGCCCATCATCTGAAAAATTATTAATGAAAATTTCATCAACATCCAAATTACCTGAAAACACCATTTGTGCTAACTCATCTGGTACTTTCTTTTGGTGCCTGTTATACATCTGTACTAGAGATTTCACAACACCTATATCATTTTTTGTTACTAAAGAAAAAGCTCTTCCTTTTCGGCCCCCTCTTGCTGTCCTCCCTATTCGATGAACATAAGATTCTCCATTGGCAGGCATGTCATAGTTAATGACATTATAGATATCTGCAACATCTATAAGAAAATATACAAACAAATTACATGTAACCATAACATGCCAAAACAATACCAAATCTGATTATTTTATTCCAGTTTAATCATGTTCAGATGAAATTTTCAGCACCTCATTTTATGCATGTCGTGAAACATTTCAACCTGACATCTACCTGATGACTTAACATATGATGTCACTGCCTGCATAAAAGACCATTATCCTGTACTTAGATATCTCAGTTCAATTTCATATTTTCAAATTCACAATATTGTCAGTATGTTTGTTTATCATCACTCACCGAGTCCTCTAGAAGCAACATCAGTAGCAATCAGGATGATCTTCTTTTTTTCTCTGAACACTACAATCCAAACAAAACCAAAAACTTCATGATTTCTTTGTAAGAATAATTTCATTCCAGAATTTGAAACATCAATAAGAGGCCCAATGGGCCTGAATCGCTCACATGATTGGTATTCAATGTTCATCAAAAACAAAATCGGTGTTTATCACAAATATATTAACACATACACCATAGGCATTCAAAGTAGGCACATGAAACCAATATCCAACATAAACAGCATCTAATATTCAACTCTAAAGAGTGACAGTTATGACCTTGGATTATAGGTAAATGTTGTTTCTCTTTGTCAGGAAATTTGTCAGGCTTTGACCTGGTAACATCTTTCCACAAAATTTCCAAGCTTCTTAGACTTTTGGTTTATCAAAAGAAGTCACGAACAGATTTAGAAAATTTGACCCCTGTCAAGGTCATTTTTATAGCAGACATTTGATGGCTTCATCCCAGCAACCTACAAGCCAAATATCATGACATTTGGTCTGTTGGTTACAGAGAAGTTGCTTAAATGGAAAAGTTGTTGCTCAATGGATGACAGACGATGGAAAATGGACGCTGCAACACAGCAAAAGCTTGTCTGGCCGTTAAGTGGACTATAAACATTTTGAAAACTATAAAGTACATCTGGAGAAATAGCGTTAACAACTTTACACATGTCGAAATCCATGATGGCAGCCTGACATCACCATCAGAACTCCAACGGAATTATTAGGGATGAGGGGGAACCTACTTAAGAAATTCAAGAAAGATTCATCTAGTACTTCTCAAGAAATAGTGATATCAAACTTTCATAGTCAAAATCCAAGATTCGTGCAGGATGATCTGAATATCTAACCTTGTTGATAAATACAAATTTTGCAAGGTTTAATTGAAACCAAACAGGGTCCTTTGGAGTCTTTGATTATTTATTTATTTCATTTTTTGTGAGGTTGGAGGAGAGAGACAAAGGTCCATTGTTTGCATCACAAAATGATGGACTAAGGACAATTGTAATAGGTGTTGGTTTTGGAGGGTTAACACCACAGCTGAGTCAAAAAGAAGTGGTGATTCTGTTGCAAGTACAAATAAGATTTGAAGTATTCCTTATCTGAGTTCAGGACTGCAATGCTTACAAACATCTACTTACTTCCCATAATTCTATCCCTTTCTTGCTGTTTTTTATCCCCGTGCAGAGCAACAGTTGGGATTCTGAAAAAAATGACATTATTTCATTATTAAAGATTTCAGAAGTCATTCACATGAAGACATGTTTTCTGTTATACATGTTGGGGTATGGGCAAGAGCCCACATTTTTATTAATACTTATATGTATATGTGTGCACTTTCCAAATTTTTGTTTTGTTACTTCATATTCATTTGAATGACTTACGACTTAATTTGAGAGTGATATCAGATACACTGAGATACAGCAAGAACTCCTGAGAATAGACAAAACGTGAATTCACTTACCCTTTGCTCAGAAGTGCGTTGTGCAGGTCGTCAGCTGTTCTCTTTTTTTCTGTGAAAATTAGCGTCTTACATTCTTTTGGATATTCTGAAGCAATGGTGGACAGAAGTTTGACAACTCTGAAACAGGTTTGGAAAAGTCTTGTATTTTTAATCATGCCAAATATATTAATATATTCATCTAGTGCACAAAGTATAACTGTTTTTATCTAATAATATTTCCAGGGGTTCAACATGCATATCTTACTCATAGTAAGGGGCTAGGTAAAATTATGGAACAAATGAACTAACAAACACATGCATGCATTGTTAGATGGGTTGGTGTTGTGTAGGCGGTAACACATATGCTTTTCACCTACATTACATTTCACATGCGATCTTCACTCTCCACCCACCAATTATCTTTCTCGTCATTATGACTCCACAATAATATCATCACCAGCACTTCATGCTACACATCAGCCGTACTCTCTGCCAGCATGGAAAAACGTGGACTCACTAATTCCTAATCCACAATTATTGGGTACATTGTAGGAATAATTATTTAATTCATCCCATCCATAGTGAATGCCTTTCTACAATTTTGCCTCTAAAATGAGCAACGTCAATGAAAATTGACAATACATTATCATTTTAGAGACAGAACTTTTCAGTCTACCCAACCAGTGACATATGAAACAGTATCATATATGCCCAATCCAATGAGAAAATCAGAACACTACATCACATAGTCCAGCTTTCCACTGGCTTCTATGCCAAAATATTGCTTTTATATATTTACAGGTTTTATGTATTGCAGCTGACAAGTAAGCAATAGCCTTCCTAGGTTTTGTAGTCTTTTATAACATGTGTACATTTTTGTAGAGTTAATATTTGTTGTGAGGTTAGAATAAATACTGTACCTGTGTATAAATATTGCTGAGTGGTACAATTATAAAATGAAAATTGTTATCATTATTGAGAATTGTATCAAGTGACATTGGCCTGGAAGAGTATTAGGTCTGTGATTTAAGTATGTAGTTTACCTAAACCTTAGAATGTATTATTTATCATATGACAGCAGCGTTCATGTTCAGATATCACAACTGATCTAGCAATATGAGTGTTGTCATAATAACTACTGCCAGATCCTCGCCCTGGGCGCTTACCTATGTAACCTCATGACATGGGTCAGAGAAAGCATCTCCACATAACTTAGGTACTAGCCGTAATCAATCATTTCATTTAATCGTTATTTACCTATAAGACAACTTGTCACCATGAATATCGTAGATATACTACGATACTGACAGGGACATATCAATATTATTACTATCCCTGATTTTATTAACATTAATGTTTGTACTTGAAGTTTGGATTTGAAAATGTTGAATTGTTGACACACAAACAAACTTCAACATTGTGAAACTACAATTATTTATTTATTCATAAGGTTTTACATCCACTATAATGACCTTCAACCTTTCAGTAGATGAAAAAGGCTAGAAAATCGAGAGGGAAAAGTATGAAGTGATGAAAGGTGAAGTATTAATTGATACGTAATTATGTAGGTAGTTTTAATTGTAAAAGCTAATCAAAACTTTTGGCAAACCTTATGGATAAAACCCCAGTACCCCAGTAGTCAAAACATCTGTTCACCGAGATTTCCAACGATTAGTGTAAAGGGCCAGAGGAAACTCTCTGGATGGAAAAACAAGAAAACAATGGCCCTAAACGATCATCTGACAATCAACAAATGGATGGACACCTACCCAGACATTAAGAAGGAGTAGCATTTTGGAGCAAAACATTGTCGAACTTCCCCTTTTGTTGCCCCACCCCTTAGTCTCTAGGGTTGAATCAACTTTCTGAATGTAAGAAATGATAACCCACCTGCAATATTGTTTCAGACCAAATTTGGTCCAAATCCATTCAAGCATTAAGAAAGAGTTGCATATTGAAGCAAAATATTGTCCAATTTCCCCTTTTGGGGTCTGCTTCTAGGTCCCTAGGAGTTGAATCAAATTTCTGAATTAATTGCCTACCCTAACTGATGAATCAGGCCAGAGTTTGTTGAAATCCATCCAGGCAGAATGGAGGAGTAGGATTTTAAATCTAATTTCAGCACTTTCCACTTTGGGGCTCCTACCCCGAACCTCTTAGGTCAAATTTTTATCTGGGGTGACCTAAAAATCCAGACAACTTTGTTCCCTGGCAAAACTGTCAGGTTTACACGTTTTCATCTACCAGACAATCTAATATGTGTTGTTTCGCTGCTTATATGTTGATAAAGTCATCAGTGTAATGCCGTTGTTTGTTTTTCAGCATGTGTAATATGTAGTGTGCCTTTCATTGTCTAATTGTAGTTTATTTTCATTAATTACCTTACTGATTAAAGACAAACAACTAACCAGGAATATAGGGCAGTTTGAATAACTCACTATATGATAATGTTGGGCTAAGTAGTCAATTCTGTTCCTGAACTGGTGTTTCCTGAACAAGTATTTAAACGTCTTGTGTTGAACATAAGGGAATTCCCTTCTCAAATATTTTGATTGTAAAATTTGTTTACTATTGCTGCTCAGATTGTGAGATTTCCAGACTATCGATGCCCAAATTATTGCTGGTCCACTGTATTATGTCTCATTAGAATTAAGTGTCTTATGTTGGTAATTGTTTCATGAGTGATGTTTGATAGTCTTCGTTAGCTAGGTGTTGTCATCTTCCTCTGTCTGTAGAGCTCACAAATATCCAAATCCAGAAATCACGACCAGCATTTAAATAAGATGGATAACAAAGACTGAAATTAACAACTTACTGTGATGCTTTATCGTACGGAGATGTAAGGATAAAGTTTTGTTCAACATTTGGGTTGGCCATCAGTTCCAGGCTTCCTATGCGCACCTGTACAGGATTTTTGAGGTACACTGCAGCTAAACTTTGTATTTCTTTAGGCCATGTAGCACTCCACATCAGCATTTGTCGGTTAGGCTGTCACAATAGAAAATGTATCTTTCAGTCCGCTGCACATTCGTGTAATATTGCGAGGGCCGATCTCTTACATAATCCACTGTATATGTTTCCTTGGAAAGTATGGTTAAACTGACAGGGATGTATATCATATATTGTATTTGTTGTGTTTGACTGAGATATCCTTTTGAACCTATACAGAAATCACAACAAACCTAATCCTTCAGTTGTGCAGCAGAAAATGTTCAGAATGAAACTGTGGGGACCTTGAAAATCAGTTCATTATCAGCATAGTGTTTGTATGGCAAATTTTGGCAATTATTTTACAATTGTTTGTTACCACTAATTGAGAATAATACAAATTCATCATAAACAAGAGATACCAGAGAGATCTTGGCACCTACCATTGCTAATCTTTATTTGCTCTTTGAAAGTTGGATCTTTTCCATCATTTCTGTTATTCCTCTAAATGATAAGAAATTTAAACATTCCTTTGGAGAAATAGCAATGATAATCTTTACCTGCCAAATCCAAGATGGTCGTCTGCAATCCATGTTGTTTTTTCTCATTAGTCCAAGACATAAGACATAATCCAAGATGGCTATTGGACAGCCATTTCGTTTACTGATTAGTTCCAAATTTAAATGGGCACAACTAGGGACCACAGTTAACCTACATATTAAGTTTGAGTAATCAGTCCCAAATTTAAATGGGCACAAGTTGGGACCACAGTTAACCTACATATGATGTTTGAGGAAGATTCATCCACTAGTGCTAAACAAATAGTGATAACAAAAACTGGACGTAGGGCATCTGATGATGGTGGGCTATAAAAGGGAATTAAAACTAACAGCAGGAGGCAACTTATAACAACACAAACTGTACTGAAGCTGGTTTTACATACCTGTATATATCTCAAGATTTGTTTAAGTTGAACCTCAAATCCCATGTCCAGCATTCTGTCAGCTTCATCAACCACTACGTAAGTACACCTTCTAAGGTTCATAATTCCATTAGACAAGTAGTCATTTAGCCTTCCTGGTGTTGCAACACAAATATCTGCACCTGAAAACAAAATATTTCAGCAAAATTTAACAAGCTACCCAGGAGTGTGACAGTTCTCACATATCTGTATCCTCCATGTGATGAAAAAATTACACAAATTATGTCATCATTTTACATGGTTTTTACAGACTTGGAATTGCCACCTTTCAAGGACTTTTCAAGGAAAATCAAAAGTGATCAATGTACTCCTTCACTAATGTACAACATATAAGGCCACAAGTCATGATTAAATATCCAACATTATCGTATACTTTAGTACAATTTACCTCTTCCAATGACCTTAAACCCTTGGGGTCAACCAGGATCAATATGTGTATATAATAAAACTCACCCTATAATATTTATTCTATACAAGTTTAGATATTTCAAATGGCAATTAAAGAAATTATGCTAAAAAATGTAGTTTTCCCATATAAACTATAGTAAACCTTTCTCTCTCCACAGGGTAAAATGTGAAACATTGAGGTCATTGAATTTACAATTTGGTAAAGAATCTTAAGAACATCTGACCCTGCCATATTGCGAAAAAGATTTCTGAAATCTTAGTCAAGTTGAACATATTAGGCCCCACCCTTAGGCTTCTGGGGAGGAAGGAACCACATGATTTATTATTTTGATTCACCCTTGGCTATAAAAGGTTAATGCTAACAAGAGGGCCATGGCCTTTAACATCTGACAATTTATGGTTGGACGAAGAGGCCTCGGAATTTGCTGGTGGTGGTCTAACAAATCTAATGAATTCAAACTTTGAACATTACTAGAAAGTATCTGAAACTCATAAATTTGTTCATGGAAAATAGTTGAGCACTTATCTTTTAAAAGCAAAAAAACTTTCTATCAGGTGACCTAATAAACCACATATCAGTACAAATATGATGGTCAGATGGACAGACATCACACCAAGCTAAGCTTGTTTGACTCTTCTGTCCAAGTGAGCTAAAATGTTATCACAGAATGGAGGAATGACACTTACACCAGAGTTCACAAAAAGTTCTTACCTCTTAAATTTCTAAGTTGACTTCCTCTATTTCCTCCTCCAAAAGCACTCCCTGTGTGAATTTTATAATCCTTACCCACCTCCATGGCAACTTTTTCCACCTGCTGTGTCAACTCTCTAGTAGGGGTCAGTATTAGTACCTAAAATACAGAAAAAAACATGATTAATTATCACAGGACACATGCCAAAGTTTATCAACAATTTGAATGCAACATTCCTTCACCAATTATGTACATACATGTTATTATCACTGTCTTTAATTCAGCAGTGAAGCAGGTATCGAGTATACAATACATTAAGAAATGAAAGAATGAAAATTTTACTTAATCTCAGTTATAATTATCTGATCTGATTGATCAGAATCCTGCCATGTAATTAACAATATTCCTTATGTCAATGCATTGACAGAAAAATTTCCAAATAATCCAGTCTTTCATTGGTCTCCTAAAAAAACACCATGTCACAAAGTGAAAACTCTACTGTCCTCAGAAAACCTTGTATACCCCGCTTCCTGTCTACACAATGATGATGGTAGATGATGAGTTTTTAGAATACCGTCTATACAATGATAACGGTAGATGATGAGTTTTTAGCTTACCGTCTACACAATGATGACAGTAGATGATGATTGTTAATCTTATTGTCTACACAATGATGATGGTAGATGATGAGTGTTAATCTTATTGTCTACACAATGATGATGGTAGATGATGAGTTTTTAGCTTACCGTCTACACAATGATGACAGTAGATGATGATTGTTAATCTTATTGTCTACACAATGATGATGGTAGATGATGAGTGTTAATCTTATTGTCTACATAAAGATGGTAGATGATGAGTGTTAATCTTATTGTCTACACAATGATGACGGTAGATGATGAGTGTTAATCTTATTGTCTACACAATGATGACGGTAGATGATGAGTGTTAATCTTATTGTCTACACAAAGATGATGGTAGATGATGAGTGTTAATCTAATTGTTTACACAAAGATGATGGTAGATGATGATTGTTAATCTTATTGCCTACACAAAGATGACGGTAGATGATGAGTGTTAATCTTCTTGTCTACACAAAGATGATGGTAGATGATGATTGTTAATCTTATTGTCTACACAAAGATGACGGTAGATGATGAGTGTTAATCTTATTGTCTACACAAAGATGACGGTAGATGATGAGTGTTAATCTTAATGTCTACACAAAGATGACGGTAGATGATGAGTGTTAATCTTATTGTCTACATAAAGATGGTAGATGATGAGTGTTAATCTTATTGTCTACGCAAAGATGACGGTAGATGATGAGTGTTAAGTCATTTCCAGAGCAATCAAATTGTTTAGAAATTTGCTGTCATCTAGTATGACATCAAGAATTCGAGAACTTCAAAACAGACAAGGAGTGAAAAGTTCTGTAGCATACATCGGTGAATTTCATTTATACTGGAGTACAAAAAGACGATTGAACACTAAGCAATAGCTGTTCCCTGTTGTGCTTTTTGTGACATGATAAAAACAAAAATAAATTCACCTAGTATATTTTAACATTTAAGAATTGTTTTTCAGTACAATGATTGGACATGATTATTTTGCCCACCATCTAATAGTCAAGTCAGTCTTGGGTGACTTAACATCTCTCAAGTGGACATGCATGTAATAGTCACCATCAAATAATCATGTCAGCCTTGGAAACAAGATGAAGATCAATAGTTGTATGGTAAAATTCATCTGAATCGAATAATGAACAAAGGAACACCACCAACATAAGGTACAGATACTGGGAAGTTTGGAGGAGCAATGAAACTGCAGCAACAGGGAATACTTACAGTTGGCTCAATCATGTGTCTTTGTACTGTTTGCCTCTGCTGCCTTATATGCACAATTGCAGGCAAAATGTACTGTAAAATAAAAACAGCATTAGTCAAATCAACAGGCATTCTTTGATAAACAAGACAATTACACAAATTACAGTCTCCCATCAACACACCACTTCACCAAGGTGAACCCATACACATGTGTAAGTTTCAGTGACTAGTAGAGTTGGAGACAGAGCTTGGACAATCTTTTCCATTAATGTAGGTCAGAAGTCAAAATGTACATGATTCATGACACACTATCTGACCTGGGTGAATCCATACCTTACGTATTAGCAAATTTCAGTGACAGGAAGTGTAGGAGACAAAGCCTGGATAAAATAATAGAGGAAGGATAGAAAGATAGACAAAAGACAGAACAACAGACTGACAAAGTCCTTCAGGCCAGATGAGCTTAAAATGAAAGGTCCCTCTACATTCTTCAGGTATCTATCATCCATGTGATTTGTCAGCAATTAACCACCAAGACGGCCTAATATGGATAAATATGGACCTTTGATTCTTACGTTACATTTACTAGACCACAGACATAGAGATAACATATATATATATATTTTTTCAAGACCATTCATCATAGATCGATTTCAAAATAATTAAGAAAATCGAAGAACATCTCCTAGTTAGAATACCAATCTTATTGGAGCAATAGTTTGTAAGTTTATTCTCAAATACATACTCCAAGGGTCTTTCCTGAACCAGTCTGGGCAATCCCTATCATATCTTTGCCTGACAAGGCAATAGGCCAAGTCATAGCCTGGATAGGAAAAGGGCTTGTCCATCCATTTTTGCCAATCAGTTTCTTTATGTACTCTGCAAAAAACATAAAAAGTATCAGTAAGACAGAGTTCTGCTTCAATGATTTTATTCAGTTTCATAGATGTCATTGAAATATCAATGTGTTTTTGAGCCATGCCTTGTGACACTTAATCAATGGAGATATCAAAAAATTACCATGTTTAGTCCAGAAATTTTCTATTTGGAAACCGAAAGCTTGAAATAAGTACAGAAAATATGTGTCATCAAAGACACTTTTCTTTTATATACACATATATGGTGTAATTCAGGTTCCAAACCATATATGTAAAACATAAATGCCTTTATATAATCATTCTCGCTTCAAAGAGGGGAATGCATCTGCAATGACCATTATCACTGCATAATGTTGTTTCAGCATTTCAAAGCTCACTTGGTATCATATATCTGTATTCTGACAATTATTTTCTGGATGGATTTCAAAATCATTACTCAGCTGTTTTAATAACTATTCAACAGTAGAATATCAGATCTAACACTCTCTGTTATTATGAAAAACATTTTTTAAGCAAATTTGATAACAGGACATTGTGATCAATGTACCACTAGGTCAAAATTAAAATTCTTTAAATAATGAAAGATAGAATGCAAACATGTTAGAAAACTTTTGCTAACTGTTAATGTGAGGCACTAGCTATAATAACTAACATGTAATAACTAACTATAGGCCATTTTGATAATATAAATGAAAAATTAAACATTGATGGAGGCACTAAGACCCTAAAAACTAAGTGGCAGTGACCTACCAGTGGTATGTTAAATCTGTCCCCTAAGCCTATAGAAGCATAGAAATTTAAAAGGATTCCATATATTTTCAGAAATATATATGCCACTGAAAATATACAGGGAGATTCCATTTAATTTGAGAAGAACCGTATTTATATACCCAATGGAAACTTTGTGCAAATTTATCCCTGTCTCGATCTCAATACAACACAAAATGTTAGTTATTGCCTGCATCCTTCTTCAGCTTCCCCAAACAAAGGGGATCTTAGTGGGATTTGGGTAACCAGCAACAAGTCATATTCATTGGTTCAAACAAACTTGGTCTTTCCTCTCTTTTCCTCCTAGTTGCTCTTAAATATTTGTTGCATTGACAGATGAATGATTCATGTAAGAAGACATTAATCAATTTAACAAAGGAAACCTACCTTTTCTAATGATCATCTAATGAGAATATTTCTGATCACACTACACACCATTTACTTGTTTAACTCACCTATGCAATATATTTTACCCATGGAAGATATTTCATCAAAAGTCAATATCAGCTTCATGTTATCTGAATCAATATCGCTTTGATATTACACTACCAAACATTTACTTGTCTAACTTACCCATGGAAGATATTTCATCAAAAGTCAATATTGGCTTGATATCATCTGAATTAATCACTCTGATATTGTTTTCTTTATAATACTTCAGTATTTCTCCCTGTAAATAAAAATCACATTGATAAAATAGATAAGGTCATCATGCATCTGACACTGATCAATAAAACATAAGTTAAAACAAGAATTCAAGACTTTTCATGATGATTGGCAAACAATAAAAAATTAGGTCTGAAATCACAAGGGGCATTTCAATAAACAAATTATTAATGGTGGATTTTATTTGATTGAATGGTATCAATTAGTGATGGGAAATTGGCTAAATACATAATTGATTATCAGTTAAAACTGGACAGATTTCCAGTGTTCTTAATCGGATTACACTGGCTAACACAAGAAAACATTAATGTTATCAATCATCATAATGAATCAAAGTACTGTTGTTACTGAGACAAACGGCAGAACTGATTTCAACTGTGATTGATGTAAATGTTGGATATTTGTAAAAGTTATACAAAATAAAGAGTTAAAACAGACAAAAAAGGTATAATGACTTTTTATGTTGCAAGCAAATTGAAACTGTGTCCATGTTGATGAATATTTGGAATAAGCCTCAAATATTCCATATATCAGAAGGCTTAAAATATTGTTAATTCATTGTCACTTGTTTAAACCACTGCAATGTGATGATGATGGCAACAACAAAAGAAAAAACTGCTTTGATAACAGTAAGTTGAGTGGAACTTTTATAAAACGTGTTGTCCACAATGTATGAATGACTGTGGAAAATATGTTCCTGTATCAAGTTTTCCTATAATATGCAGACAGTACAATGGGTCGATTTTCAAAGTCTCATCATTTGATCATAGTCTGGAAAACCCTTCCTGTATCTTGATATGGAATTGGTATCCAGGTATATACCAGTAAACACACTCTGTACATATCACATGTATATCAATAAACAGAAACACTACAACTTGTAAACTTCCTTCGTCCTAATTCTCCTTTTTTTGGAACAGTTCTGACTGGTCAAATGTCAGATACTTTATGAATGAAAGTAACAGTTCAAAATTTTCGTGGCTCAAATTACATAGACATAGTAGAGGTAACAATACCAGTGACAGAGTCAATTGCATCAAAAATTACAATTGTGATGTGAAACAATGAAAAAATTTATTTTATATTATCATTGTCTCATCAATAGTCTCAAAATATCAAATACAACCTCATGACAAATGATGAACATACTTATTTATGGATGCCTAATAGATGAAAAAGTAGACTAATGGCAATGCAAATAAAAACAATTTGTGATTTTGTCTTAAACAACTTAAAAATTATACAAATTTGTATAAATTGTGCAATTTTTAGTTTAAAAAATTTTCAAACTTACTTTTTCTCTCTCAGCAGTCATTGTATGCTCCTTGTAAACATCCATCTGAACCGTTGGATCATAGTCTGGGGTATTTACAGGAATGTCCTCAAAAAATGTAGACCCACTGCGCTGTGTTTGGAAACCAGGAGCATGATTCCGAGAGTCAAATCTAGCATAGCTTCTGGCATCATTTTTGTAAGAGTTATTGTAAGCGTTGCTCCTCACATCATCACTACGATGGTCGTTTACAAATCTTGTTCTATAAGTAGCGTTTGAAAACATTGATTCTGACCTATTGATTTTATCTGTTGTTGCCATATCACGAAAATTTTCCCATGAACTGTCTTCATTGCCATCTCTGTCATCTTCAATCTCAACCCTTTTTACATCACTTTCACTACTCAACAAAAGAGCATTTTTGTGGAATCTACAATTATAAACAAATGTGAAAGTTGAGACTGAATTATAAATGATTTCAAGAAAACAAATGTTTCCCCATCTCTGTCAGTAGTCTTTACTTTCCATCACATCAGGGACGTATAAATGACAGATACGTCCCTGATCACATGTAGTATATATATCGATGGCTTCAGGACTAAACATGTTTAACAAAGTCATAACTTAGTATTTTTGTTTACATTTTATTCACACTGCTTGGAAAAGCATATTTTGTTTATTACAATCAACTCCTATTGAAAGTTTTCTTTCTAGATTCCCATCTAGCCGGCTTTAGGCCAACATAGGGGGTTAAAACATTTTAAAACGATAACAAATTAAAAAGGTGTGACTAATGAGATATGTATGCAAAACAAGAGCTGTGTGTCTGTAAGTAAAATGAAATGAATTCTCATGGAAATGAAAATAAACGATCTCTGATGAGTTACATAACTTGTTCGCCTTACTTTGTAAAAAGCTATAGGTACATTATTATGAAATCTCTTTTCGACCTTTTGAACACAAATTTGAGACTGTTACATCAATGCACATGCTTTTCATCTCTGTGATAAATGAGAAAATAATCAAATACCTAAATCACGTGTCATAATTAAATACTATACCTTCTCAGTGGTTCAGATGGCTTTATGGACCGTATTCTCATAAGAACACTGATCACACGTGCTGCCATGTTGGTGTCCTTGGTCGTACATACATCTATATCCGGTATGATCGGCATGCGCAGTCGTTCATTACTGTTAAACAAAATCACCAACATAACTAGCACCTCGGCTTATTAACATTAAAAAGTCCACAAACAAATCAGTTATTATCACAGGAGGTCTTTCCTCTTTATAATCAATACTAACTAGAAATAATGCAGGACCTAAAGTAATTAATTATGTTCTAAATCTAATTAAAAATTTTGGAATTTTGGTAAAAAAAAATAGTCATGATGTACCACCACTTGTTAAAACAGCTCTCCAGAAGAAAAAAAACACGGTAGAATGTTAGGTGAAATTATCCAAGACAAACGTCTACACTGTTATCAATCAACGGATCAATAATAAATGGTCAGAAACGTGGAATAACATAGACGGATCAAACAACCTTAGGTAAGTATTAAAACAGGGATGTAGATAATGTTATCTATGTCCCTGATTAGAGCAACCGAATACAAACCAGCAAAGAACGGAATGAATTAGAAGATATTGTCATCACAAGACTAAGACTGAGGGCAACTAAACTAAAAAGTAATATCAGTATATTGACTAGATATATGTCAACATACAGTTCGTATTGTAATTCAGAAAAAAAACAACAGATACTATTTTTCAATGTTGCACTAGATTCGATCAGGAAAGAAAATATCTTATTTCCGAATTTAAATGAATAAAAATGCAATACTGGTCCACCAGCCAGGTTTTTACATCACATAAAAATGAATGACTAGTGCATAGGCTACTCGTTGAATTACTATTTGACGGTAAACAGAAAGTTCAAGGGGAGACAACTCTTTAACACATAGTCTTGTGTCGTTGTAAGAGGCGTCAAATTTGGATTGATAAACTTATGGATCTATGTACAAATTATCATTCCGTCATTACAAAAAGTGACCAATCAATTATGTATAAAGTTTATACCAATAAAGAGTAAAATTTTAGGGGAGGTGTTCCGAATGACGAATTATAGTATAATTGAGTTACCTCCCTTCATTTGAGAGCTGATTGCCCCACCCATCTAGTTAATCTTCTCTAGCTCTGTTAAAAAATTCTAGTTGCTGCTTCTTAGGTTAGATCAAATGTCAATACAAGTCATACAGCCCATCCTCAATAATGCGTATGTATCACAGTAATCACTTACTGTTGTATTATAATGTGTTGTAACTGTTTATGCTGAGTAGCTTAAAGGCCAAATGCCAATATAACTGTTAAACTGTAGCAGTGTTTCGCCGATCGCCGGAAACCTGGAAACTGATGGTCCTACGTAATATATCGTACCATTTTCTATCATTAAATGGAAGCAAAAAGAGCCAACTAAATTGATATCTTGGATGCTAAGATCTCTTTTAAAAAATTGAAATTGAAATTACATAAGCAGAATCACGCGTTTTAACTGAATGTGACAGACTCTCATGTATTTTTTAACGAAAAGTACTGTGATATGTGTTATGGATACCTGTTTCCAATAATTTTGTAAAGATTTATTTGCAAAAGAATATGTTTAAATCAAACGTATGTTTTAAAACTTTTATAACGTTTTTTCTATACTAGATTTATAATGACTTATCCTTAACCGTTTGAGAAATCTACTTTGTCTCCAAAGGGGACTTTTAAACACGTCACTATATCCAAATTTGGTAACTTTGCAAATTTTGCAAATTGGATTATATCCACTATTTCCGGACTACACTTGATTAGAAACTACGTACTACGTGTTATAAAAAGCAATTAAAGTTGACAATGTTAGTTTAAAATTTCTATGTTGCGATAAAAATATATATGCTTTTAAGAATGTTCCGATATTTGTCAGCCATTGTATCTAAGGAATTGGCAAGCCACATCAAACTGTCGTTATTTCAATGACGGCGCAACGCGACTATTAGGTACATTACAGAAGAGCATTTATTCGCTTCCATCTTTTTTTTTAATTCTGAGTGAATGAAGAACCTGGAAATGGACATTGAACACGTATCTATGACAAACATGTACAGCATTATTCAAATAACAGAAATATACACGTATTTAGGTTACAATTTACACTCATTGATACGTACGTTTTTGAGGAAAGAAACACAACATATCAACAAATGAATAACTACAGCAAACCCTCCCTTTGTTAGAAATAATTGTATAATGAATACAGTAAATACACTTAAGACTGCAAGGAGTATCACATCAACCTACCAAATGAATGACAAATTAAATACTGATATACGAAGATATACGAACTGATACAGATAGATATTGTCTTTTTAGATAATTATAGTTTATAGTTAGAAAATATTCTGAGAGAGAGAGAGAGAGAGAGAGAGAGAGAGAGAGAGAGAGAGAGAGAGAGAGAGAGAGAGAGAGAGAGAGAGAGAGAGAGAGAGAGAGAGAGAGAGAGACCAACTTGATCTCGATAGCCAATACTAACGGACCTGTCACTGTTTGCATCTGTATTGTACACCCTGTACCTCACCAGTACGGAAGGACCAGCGTAGGTGGTGGGAAGATAGGAACTAAAAGGAGACCTATCGACTTTTTGAGTGTACCAGCAGAAAAGGACAGGGTCGATGACCATGCAGGACATGGATAAGATGATGGACAGAAAATTGGAAAGATAAAGAGAAGACATGAGGGACAAAATGGCAAAATTAGAAGATCGTGTTAGCGGAAAGGGGGAAGAGGAGGGGGGGGGGCAGAGGTTGTGACATTTGTACGGAATACGCTAGAAGCTGACATAGAGGAAACGGATTGCCTCTCGACTGGGACGACACAGCACGGTAAGGCACGTATATAACACCACCAGATAAGGAACTTACTCGTGAAGCTGAAGGTAATGAAGAGGCAACCAGAAAGTCGAAGACGCCATGAAGTCTTATCTCAAACAATCCACCGGAAGTCGATAATGTCGTGAAACGTAGCACGACAACACAAATACACACTGTACAAGCATGCAGAAGTTCAATGACGCCGTTTTATGTTTCAGTCAGAATTCTATTGTGATGCATCCAATGTTTTGGCGGTCGTCTCAGCAAAAAAGCATCATCACCAGGAATTTCCTATAGACATCTTAGATTAAATATCACCAGCAAGACATCTCCTATCATGAAAGAAGAGAATTCTCAAGAGTGACAAATTCCCAAAGCACTAAGTAGAATTAACAATCCTTTACCAGAATTTTTCCCGTGGACTATGAGGCTGTAGACCTGGGATCTATAAAGTATAGAATGTAGAAAATATGTTTTGGACAGATCTGAAGATTCCTCCGGCTCATGTTGGTTTCTAAAGATAGAATGGTCGAAACCAAATACGCACAATTCTTTTTTTCAGTAACAAACAGCGCCTGAATAATCATCACATCTCTCGACTTGTTAAAATTTTTGATGTAAAATACCGACATGTATTAATTTGCTTTGAAACATACAAGTATCGACATTCGGAACACAGTCAAGATGTCGAGACAAATGTGTTATAGAATATAAAACGAGTAGTACGGTTCTGAATTTATACTTTTGAAGTTATCAGATATACGGCATTAACGAATAACAAATTTGATGGTGTATGTACAACTCCCTATACCGAAGGTCCCTTACACCAAATTTGATTGTGTATGTACAGCTACCTATACCGAAGGTCCTTTACACCAAATTTGATGATATATTTACAACTCCCTATACCGAAGGCTCCTTACACGGTGTGTACAACTCCCTATACCGAAGGCTCCTTACACGGTGTGTACAACTCCCTATACCGAAAGTCCCTTACACCAAATTTCATGGTGTATGTACAACTATCTATACCGCAGGTCCCTTACACCAAATTTCATGGTGTATGTACAACTATCTATACCGCAGGTCCCTTACACCAAATTTCATGGTGTATGTACTACTCCCAATACCGAAGGTCCCTTACACCAAATTTGACGGTGTATATTCAGCTCCCTATACCGAAGGTCCCTTACACCATATAGCATGGACGGTACTGAAGATACAAGGACGTTTTTTGACATGGGTAAATATTGATTCTAAAGTAATAGGAAGGGATTGCGTTTCTCATACTTTTGTTCAAATTAACTTAAAGTGCATGTCCGGTCAAAAAACATCATGGGGCGAATGTGTGGTGCTTTTTCTGTGTCGGAATAAAAAATGTCAGTAAATATGTCCGTCACGAATGGAAACATCAAATATTTTGTCACCGAAACGTGACATTCATTAGAATCTTGCATTCGATATATGTGAAATCTAGGTTTCTGCACTCAACGTTAGATCCTGAAGCGACCTCTGGGGCCATATTTGTCTAACATACCAAATGACACACTCATCACACGAAACACGCTGGACCTTTTGATAGCGATATGTTGGCTGGTTGTGTCTTTCCTTTGCTATCTTCAAAGAAGGTATCGGTCTGTGATTCAGGGTGTTTATTTTCTCCTGAATTCATCTCTAGACCAGTCAAATCACTTCATTTGTGCAAGTTGATTTTGTCATAAACTGTTCCAGGGTTCCTTTGTTTTCGAAAATTTCTCGAAGAAAATGGCAAGTGATGTTCATATTAACAATGATTTCCCTAAGCCTTGACGAAGATTGGTACTTGTCGTGAATAAAAAAAAAACGACCAGTAGACTTCGTAAGGACTTCAGCTACCAAAGTATAACGATATTTAGGAATATGTGAGTTCTACAATAACCTGTGTATAACGATATTTAGGAGTCTGTAGAGTCTACAATAACTTGTGTATAACGATATTAAGAGTCTGTATGTAGAGTCTTCTATTACCTGTGTATAACTATATTTAGGAGTCTGTAAAGTCTGCTATAACCTGTGTATAACGATATTTAGGAATATGTAAAGTATACAATAACCTTTGTATAACGATATTAGGAGTGTGTATGTAGAGTCTGCTATTACCTGTGTATAACGATGTTTCAGATTCTGTATGTAAAATCTACAATAACCTGTGTATGACGATATTAGGAGTGAGTATGTAGAGTCTGCTATTACCTGTGTATAACGATATTTAGGAGTCTGTATGTAAAATCTACAATAACTTGTGTATAACGATATTAGGAGTGTGTATGTAGAGTCTGCTATTACCTGTGTATAACGATGTTTCAGAGTCTGTATGTAAAATCTACAATAACTTGTGTATAACGATATTAGGAGTGTGTATGTAGAGTCTGCTATTACCTGTGTATAACGATATTTAGGAGTCTGTATGTAAAATCTACAATAACTTGTGTATAACGATATTAGGAGTGTGTATGTAGAGTCTGCTATTACCTGTGTATAACGATGTTTCAGAGTCTGTATGTAAAATCTACAATAACTTGTGTATAACGATGTTTCAGAGTCTGTATGTAAAATCTACAATAACCTGTGTATAACGATATTTAGGAGTCTGTATGTAAAGTCTGCTTTTACCTGTGTATAACGATATTTAGGAGTCTGTATGTAAAGTCTGCTATAACCTGTGTATAACGGTATTGAGGAGTCAGCAGAGTCTGCTATAACCTGTGTATAACGGTATTGAGGAGTCAACAGAGTCTGCTATAACCTTTGTATAACGTTAATCATGGATTGAAATGTGTATTAACCCCATTATTCAATTATTTTCGCAATTATCATATATATGATAATTAACAGCCAAACTATTAGGATGGCAATTTCTCTTTAACCACATTATCTATAATATTCCTAACGGACGTGTCCTAATTAGATGACGACATGAAAAACAACCGTGCGTTGAGTATTCTGTTGTAAATCTTTGGTGAGAGCTACGGCATTTTCACGCACTGTTCACGTTTTAACTGAATAAAACCAAAGATAAAAACAGCGAAATCTTTTATTGAAAAATATTTCTCGATATTTTCTTGACAAAAAGAATTTGGATACACTCATTTTATATCACTAACAGACACGTCATATTGGACGGAAACTCGGCAATAAAACATGATATCATACAGGTGACATGAGACCAGCTCATTTCTATTACCACATAACAAAATCAGTCCTTTAAATACATTGATTGTTTTTTTCAACCCATCTGGACTTGGCGACACTGACTTGTCGATATCTAAGAGAGGTAACTCTCCTTTAAATGAGGATAGACATTATAACAATGGAAAGTCAAACAGAAACACTTACAAATCACAGACGAGATAACAAATTCTGTTATAAATTGACTGTCATAAATATACACTAGCTCCTTTAATTCTTACCGAAAATTACTCTCTTATAAAATATCGTAAAGACAAAAAAATATATAGATAACACTGTCATAACAATAAATGGACGGTATTTATAAACACTATTTTTCATTCATGTTTACATAAATAATTTAGGTTTCATTTCCTGGCAAGGTGTCACCAATGTTCACCTACTGACCTTACATAAAAGACAACCAATGGCGCTATTTCTTTACATAAGGTATATCGTGGATTTAAAGAAATCCTTAAGGATTCATAATATATAGACCCTGGACCCGAATATGTAAACAAAGTAAACAATTTCTACAATAACAGAAATAACTCTGAACGTCACTTAACAACTACATGTAACAAGATCATAATTCAAAAACTACTGAGAAATTATTTCAGATTAAACTGAAAAACAATTGCTGAATTGTACATTCTCATGATCGATAATGACATATATTACAATAGCTTTTAAAACAGTCATGGTGTATACTGGAAAGAGTTTGAATAGAAATAAATTACACGTGATTAAGTAATCATGTTTATGTTAAGAAAGCAGAATTCTGTTTTCCTCGTCCTCTTCTATTCATGATACATTATAATTTCCATGTTTCCACAAAGTAAGGACACTTACGTCAGAGCGCTAAGATCGATGAAAGACATAAAGGTGTGACTCTAATATTTAGTAACCTGTTGATTCTGTATAACTCTCGTTACATTTAAGTACATCTATTATCATGTAATATACCACAGTACCGAACGTAACAATTACAAAACGTAACAATCAGAACACAGCTAAAGAATAACAGGCAGTTTCACACCAAAAACATTTCCGTACGAGACAGATTTGGTAAACATGTAAATGTCCTACAGTATCAAACGAGTATTCCGAGACATGAATCACTTCAAAACTCTATTGTTGCTTTTACCAAGTATACAGTGTATTTGTGTCGGAAGTAATTTTATTACAGATTCAGTCAAGTATTCTTCATTAATCAAGCCTAACTACTCCAGCGTTTTGGAGAAAACAGATCCTTATTTCAATTCTGAAGAGTTCAATAATCACCTATACCTTTGTTAAGTAGCTCAAGACTTAAACAGTCGGCTGGATTAGTTTTGCTATACTGTGAACCAGTACTAAGAAGTATCAGGTATTTGTGTAATTGGTGCACGTGAGTTATCAGAACTCCAATGGTTTGGCCGGCTGTGTTGCAGGTGTAGTGCCCGTGTTGATTCTGGGTGTCTCCTCCCAGTCTGTATTGTTTACCAAAATTTTTGGCGTTGTTGGTCTGGAACCAGTTGGAGAGGGACTCCGGTATACCGGTGGTGCCTGAAAGTAGTGATATACACGTGTAATACACACAGAGACAAATAAACACGATAGAAAGGGGTGATTAATGCACGTGCATCAAAAATGTACTGAACTTTGATTTTGCGTGCTTTATATAAAAGTGCGAAGTAAAGTGCAAATGGTACAGCAGTCACAATGTTCATTAGTATCACAATTATGTTCCTCATAGGAATTATGCTGATACACATCACTGATAGACACGTGACGAATAATACACGCGCGGAATATAAATAGCACTCAACTTGTGGTATTTACAAAGTATACGAAGTGTAATAATATACTATTAGGAGATTTGATGTTCAAAGCACAAAACATTATAGGTAATATACTGATGTAGAAGGAAGCAGAATTTATAATCATTGTTATTGAACAAAAATCTACTTATTTACGCATGTACTTTTATAAGTTGTAGTGTAAATAATATTATTCAATCAAACACAATTATATCGACATAAAGAAGTACTATTTTTAGCATATAGCTAACCTGTTATCAGTTTAATAACATACATACTATTTCTTTTTTCACATGTGTAATTTGACCTTACGAAACTGTGATTGTGACGTCACCAAAATGACAGAGAATGAGAATATCGATAATTTTGATTTTGTATCAGCCTCGTAGAATTCTAATTTAACGGATGTTTGCAAAATCTTACACTACTTTCCATTCTATATGACATTAATAAAGCTCTTGCCTCTGAGAAATTCGTTTCATAAATCTCATATGAACAGAAACTCATGTGAGATCCTCTAAAACTTGAACACAGAAGTATATCAATGATTGTCTAGAGTCACCAAACATAATATATACTTGTATATAATTCTTGACATGTCCTTATAGCCTAATATCCTGAAATACACAGCCCTGAGGTATATATATATATATATAATAGTACTGATGTAGATAAGTGCAATATTCAGTCAACAGGAAACAATATACTTATCTTGGAATTTAATGACATAGTATTCAGATCTAAGAGCACTATTAAGGTTGATACTTAGGATAAAGACATACAAAGCAACACTGACTATCATAAAAATCTAAATTATAAAAAAATGTATTATTTGAACACCCATGTACAGAACTAATACTCCTGAAAATAACACATGTTCCTGTATATTATAACTTATCAAGTAGCATGACAAGCACGTGTAAGAGTTACACCTGTACTAGATTTTGTTTCAGTGGTAATATCGCAAAAAAAAATTTCAACCTTAAGTATCAAATTTATTTCAATAATCGGTAGATTTGTATACTCAGTGGAAATCTGTTCTGGCTCGCAAGAATATGTGACAACTAATATAAGTTTATATTATTGTTAATAGTAATTTAAGTTAAATCATAAATAATAATAATTGAAAATAAAGCAATGAAGAGATTAGGAAACATGCAGTGAGTTTAGAACGGTTCTGGTGTTCCGACGATCCGTTTTGTACATTTAAATGGGAGGATGGAAAATTGAAAAAGTGAAGCATACGCAACTATGCTATTGAAATGTTGGTCAAGGCATTTTTGCAGAATAAATCAATACCTGCAACGACACATTCCATTAGCATTGTTAACTACACCACTAACATTTTAAGCATAACGGTGTTAAAGAAAAAAAAGAATATTTGTTAATAATAATATTCTTTCTGTATACTGTGTAGGAACTACAGAGTATTTTTCTGGAGCTACGAAAAACTCATTTGTTTGCTATACATTAAATGGGTCTTTTTCTTCTGGCATTGCCGGGACAGGATCATCGGAAACAACAGGCCCTTCAGCATAAAGAATATGTGCACTTGGTCCGGGGGGAGTTTCTACCTCTGCCTCAGTCTTCTTAGATTTCGCCTTCTTTTCATTTACTGTAGTCACTGATTCCTTTTTCCTTGCCGCCGGTTTCTCTCCCGTCAGTTCGTAGACCTTCGCCATCAGGAATTGTTTGTCTCGACTCTCCTGCAACCAAGACAAGCAAATTATGTACAAAACTCACTACAGACCCTTACCAAAGACAACAGAAACCAACTAGCGAAGAAAAGCAACAAAAATGGAACAGGCTGTATCTGAAAATAATTAATATAGATCAATAAGATACATGAGAGGTCATAGGAATATCTCAAGTATATTTATATAAAAACCCAGCAAAAATAGGGAAAACTGTCTAAATAAACACAGGAGGGACACAGATTCAACAAAATCATACCCATACAAATGTAACAAGTGCCTACAAGACCCTGACGGTTCTATCAAACTGATTATCAGGAATAATGATAAATATTTCTTCACAAATGACATGTATGTTTCGAGTATCAATTGAAATAGTTTTAGAAAATATGATATAGTTCGTGATAAATTTCAATAACTAAATTAAAACAAATAAATATCAAGAACTTGCCATTGTGAGTTGTTCTTCCAGCATTTTGACGACGCCACGGTAGGCACTTCCTCTTGCTGAACAGAAGTAGATAATTATGCTGGAAAAACAATGAAGGTGAAGGTATTAACAGGAATTTCCCAGCAGAAATATCTTAAAACCAAAATGATCTTTAGTACTGCTTCACATAATACATTAGATCATAAGGAAAACGAACTAAAAATGTGGTCGCTATTCAGGGGTCGGCTCCATACAAGATTTTAATGGAAACTCATCATCTCTGTTCAACTTATAAACGGTAAATGTGAAAAACGTTTTCTTTTCACAAGAACAGTCTCCAAACACATTGACTACAAATATATAAAAGAAAGTTATAAGACGACGAAAGAAGAAGCGTTCGGAATTTACTGTATACAAGATTACTATAAATCAGTTATATTTCGCTTTGGAATTATTTTCGCGTTAAGACATTGATTATAGAACATTGAATTCTATTGTCTGATATGATATTTTGAGAGAAAAAAACACTGGTGTCTTTAGCATTCACACAATGAATTTGTTCAAGTCAAATCTTGACAGCTGTAATAAAGTGTGTAAAACATTGACTTAAAAGACGGCGTACATCAATACTACTAGGAATGTTAATACTGCCGATGATGACGTGATCAGTGTGACAAGGTCATTCAGCCATGCTGGAAGGTTGGAAATGGTCGCATCAATGATATTTGACATCCCTGTATTGTAGATTCGGAACGGCCCACACCCAGTCGACGGTCGTATCCTGGTACAGAAATAAGGTGGAACTGTTTTTCACCAAGAAAGTAGCATCTACCAAGACACTTCACGAACGGAAAGTTCGTAAATGAAAATGAAATAATAAAGGCTGTTCAATCTCTAAATAAATAGCAATAATAATAAAAACCACTAAAAGATTACGAAACGTTCTTTGAAATATATCAAGATAAAACAATGTTTTAACAAAATATCAATTAATATTGTAAATGCTATTTTTAAGGGCACCTATCTTTCCCCTTTTTTCCTAATATGGAATAAAATCGCAATTCAACAGAAATCGAAAATCTAAGAGAATAACGCTGACAGGCAATAATAATGCAATCGTGAGAATCCGAACCGTTGACAAAACGATCGATACAGGGAAACAATTCGATATCACTGTAAAATAACACAGTTTCGTGAGGCTCAACTTTCGTGGTTTTCATAACAGTACTACTTCGTGGACACTTGATTTCGTGGACAGAAATTGGTAAATAAATCTACTAATACGATAGTTTGCAGACATCTGAATTCGTGGATTAACCAAAGAAATCAATGAAATAGATCCCTCGAAAACTAATGATTTTACAGTGGTACCTTGGACTTAAATAATATTAGGCAATTGGGATGTAACTTCACCTGTATGTATTACATCATTTAAATTTATCGTGGACGAATGCATATATCAAAGATAAGAGCTGTATTATAAGCTTTGATTCATTACTTGGCTATACTGTATCTACATATAAATTTGTATCGAAAGGTATTATTCATTGATGTCTTTCCTACAATTTTGTGTTACTTTACTGTAGCAGTAACACCACGGAAATCCATGGTTGATATTGCTGACGAAATCTTTCAACTATTATTAATTACTCTGAGGTGTTTTATATGACCTTTGCGATTTATGTATCATACTATATCAACACAACTTACCTGACCATTGTATAACCGACTGGGAAAACTGACATGAAAAACGCCAGAAGTAGAATACCTATGAAGAAACTATTGTTCCGCGAGGCTCGGTACGGTTTCTCGGGAGGACCAGTAGTTTTCATTGCGGATAACTGAAAGACGATATCAAAATTCGAATCAAGTACGAGGGAATGACCAAATAATTCTAGATAACAATACATCAAAACATCAAAAAGGATGAAAAAGAAAATACCGTCAGCTGAAACCCTGAATATTGCAGACAAGTAGAACTATATTGAAATGTGACAGAATAAGTTACAATTACTCTACTACAACAAAAAGTTTTCCCCTCAGCAATAGTTCGATGTTAGGGTAAACACGTATTCGTGATACTGAAAATCTAGTTTAGCGAATGGACTTTGGTACTTACGTATTTCAAATAGAAAACCACAAAAAAACTGATAACCGTCATTGATGTGATCATAGGGCAATACAACAGGCCGATCCTGAAATCAATAAAATAAAACAAAAGGAACACTTTAATATAACACAAATATAGCAAGTTAGAAGATATTCATTAAAAATGGGTTATTGGAAAGGTAATTTGATCGTTGAGTTACGTGTACAAAATGTTATGAATTATAACATTGTCAATACATTTCTTCACATATAATTTGACTTATACTTACCAACATAACATCTGTGAATACACCAAGGCCAATACACTTTTTGGAATGTCGAATACAGCAGGGCCAACCTTCTTTAATAGCTTACTTTCACACTTTGTAGTTAGAGCCCTTAAAACAACAATAGTAAAACATGTTGGATTAGATTAAGGTTCTACAATATTCAAATATTTACAATTGTTTTTGCAATGGAATGATATATAAAACCTGAGGATGATGCTGATCTCGTTGCGTCTGTATTTTACATATAAACATGAAAAACGTTATATATATCCTATATTTCAATACTGAAATTAGCAGAATTGTTTAAACAGCAAGAAAAACTAATTTCAAAACATTGTTCTTTATGCTATATATAACTAAAGAGTGAACCACTTACATTCTAGGTCCCTCCACGAGCAGAATGACGATTACGTTAATAAAGAAATCCGTGACTACTAGCTTGTAGAATGTCTGACCAACGTAGGTTTCCCAGCACTGCAAAAACAAACAGTGGCGTCACCGATATACCAAGGAAACTCAAATGTGTTATTTCCTCCAACGAAAATGTACAAAATAGTGGAAAAATAATAATCAATAAATTAAAATAAATACCGTGAAAATAACGAGACCCAAATGTGTTATTTTGTGTAACAAAAGTGCCAAATACTAAAATAACATTTGTCAATAATTTTACAAGGAAAATTTAGTAAAAATTCATAGAAAATGCTGAGGATTATGCGAGAATACCATTACTGTATATGCACTATTATATATTTTACATGGAAATGTGATATATGACATAAAAAAAGTTTTGTACTACACATTTGTATATTTAACCAATTTGTTTCCAACGAATACTCGTTTGGACCCAGTAATCATTTGAACCATGCCGTCTTCATTATTCATTTGACTCTACACCTCAGTAGACAGAGAAATTGTGTAATTCATACCATAATTCTGACTTACCGTAATGGCTATACATGAATCCGGAATCCCTACATTACATGGGGTTGTCTTTGTACCACATGTGATAAGACTGTAGATGGATATGATCAGCACAGCCAATGAGGCAAGCTTCAGAAACACGATTCTGTTGGCAAGAGACATGTAAGTGCAAAACATAAAAGTTTAAACAGAAAACTTAATTTCAATAGCAGATGTACAGTTGGGCATTGTCCTTTTCAATACACATAATGTTTTTCGCTAAGTAGAACTCAAAATACATATAGTACAATGTTACACGTACATATTGTAACGTGAGAGAGAGAGAGAGAATGTGTACGAGAATATGGACTATGATTTTTAACCTATCTAGTAGGAACAGAAACAAGAAAATAAAAACATGTCAACACAATCATAATCCAAACTCAAATTCAATAAAACAAGGGCAAAATATGAACAAAACGAAAGATTAACACGTAAACTCCTCTCCTCAAAGAGTACAAGAGGAATAAGACCAGGTGTCCTGGAAGAGTGTTCTGTGTCATTGACAGGCGACAAAGATTTACATTCACGACACCCGCAATGCAAATCGTTGTCAACCAAAGTGAGTAATGTCATATTCTCAAATAAGAGCACGGCATTTTACCTTATCAAGTGTAACTTCAAGGCGAATCCAGTGGTATAATCTTCAAACTTGATCAGGATTTGAAAAATAATGGGCAATATTCCATTGAGAGCGCCCAGGGTAATGGATGGCAGATACTGTATCAGCAGTAGGACGAAACTGTCACTGGAAGTTGTCTGTAGATTAATGAGAGATGGTGATAATAGTTAGTACATTATTCGGTTAGTGGGGTGACTTTTTAAGGTTTTATTTGTCACCATAATACTGATATTAACGTGTTGTCACTGAGAACGTTCCAACAAACTTGCCTTGATATAACTAGTTTCTACTAAGATGAACTAATGTCTGAATGTTCCAAATGTAGAATCAACAGCTGCTGACTATTGTTTAAAATACTGTTTTGGACACTGGTCACTGTTGTTGACGGTTTTGGGCATCTTTTGGTTACGTTGTTAACTGTTTTGGACACGTTGTTAACTGTTTTTGGCATATATTTTTGACTATCTTTAACATAATGTTGGACGTTTTGGACGACCGTAAAACTGATGCTGGTGTAGGTCCACTATTCCAAATCAGAAATATCATTATGCAATGGATTAAGTGGACTCTACGTACATGCCTCAACGAGTATACATACAAATACACTGTTCGTAGACAGGAGTGCCACTATTGTGATACTGCATATACCTACGTGATAAGTTGTATGTGAAACAATGAAGCTCCTATATGTACGGATATATTTCAACAAAACAACAGCATAAGTAACTATCAATGTACTCACTACAATAGGAGAGCATTAAACTGTAGAAACTAACGACGAGAAACACGTGCAATTCAAATTATCTGCTGCTGTAAAAATGACATAAAAATCGCGATTGAAATATAACACTAGTTTCAACTGCGCGTCTGTGATTGGTGTTGGAAATTACATCAATGTTGCACAAGTCTGTGTGATTGGTTGGAATAAAAAACTACAGATAATTCGATTTTTTCTAAGGATATTACTGCCAGATTCGTCACCGGGATACAGATATTTGTAATCTTATGTACGACGCCTCGTGATACGGATTAAAAACATTGCAACTATTTAAGGCAATCTATCATATGTATATGTAATATTCCAAAAAATTACTCAACGCTGATGAAACCTGGAAAAAGACAGTGCTGATAGAACACAATACAAAACCACCAGTACTCATACGTTACATAAGCACATACGCTACGGTGAGTGTTCTCACCTCCCCAAAATCTAGCATCGCCATAGAAAGGCCAAACCGCTTAAAAACGGAATCGTGATGTTAAAAGACATATCTATCATTCCTTACAAGAAAACTCGTGTCATTGGTGTTGCACAACGTTTCCTTTATACATTGTCTTTATCTTATGTTTGGAAGTTTAGATAATATTAAAGTTTAAAGAGTACTAAGTGCATCAAATAAAAGGTCTTATCTTAATATCCAGGAGGTTAAACTCGTGTTTCATAAGTAAATAGAAAAGAAGTAACCTTGAATTGTTAAAAGTACTCATTCTTATCAACGATGACATAACATTTGAAGCAAAACATCATGAATTTCAACTAAACACACATTTAAGATGAAGCATTCTCTGCAACGACAGCTGTTCCCTTACCAATGCGTCCCGTCACAATCTTAGAACTATAACCAGAACTGATTATATATGACGCAAGACTTGCTTTCCCATGGTAGAAATGAAACGCATCTCATGAAAACATTGTCATGGCGACGCCGAGATACCCTCGACGTTAAATAACTGATCTCTGGTAGAAAACCCTGTTGGAGTAGTTTTTTGATAATGTTAAATGATGATGTTTTTCAAAAGAATCAGTTTACCTCTGTTGAGAACTTTTGGACGAAGTAGATTAGATATGCAGATCCACCAAGCATTGCTAGGATAAGCCAGTTGATGAAAAACCGTTTCGTGTAGAGAGCACACTTCTGATTCGATGTCATATTTTTTCTGGTCTGCCTAAATCTCGTTTCTGCCAGTTCTGCCTGTCATGATAAAGAAAACAATTTGTTATACAATGTATCGTCCTCTTAATTGGTTCCTGTTTCAAATTCTTGATCAAAGTCATAATGCTGCTTTCTTTCCTGATGTTGTTTACATTGCCATCGTCATGATGGACACCATTATCCTAAGCATCATGCATATGGTCACCACCTACTGGAAAATTCACATCAGCTTAGGACATGTATGGGTAACCTTATTTCATAACATCTGGTCAATTCAACCTGGTTATAACAGCCATACTCATAATACATAAATCTCGAACTTTACATCCTGGTCTCTTGAATTTTCCAGTGCTTGTGTATTTGTTCATAAATCTAAACAACATTTTTACTGAAATGGATCAATAAAATGACGCGTATCTTGATCACGTGGGTTATTCATTAAACTATATCTCTTGTCCTTGTGGTATCATACACTAAAATTTGAACAATACATTTTTTCGGGAAATTATGCAAAAAAAAGCATGATATCGTTACTTTATTATGGTTACTGTTACAAAAGTGTTTACGATTGCCATATGTATCTAGACGTTTATCAGTCCAGCCTTATCCGGTTTTTGTGACATTTTAAAGTGTATACAGTGAAAGAAGCGTACCACAATGTCTTTGTACACACTCTTCTGTTTAATTGTACTCCAAACCTCCTCTGTGAGGGCATAGTCCCAGCTACAGAACACTTTAATGTTATACGTGTACCGAACGGCATCACCAGACCGGGATATGCTCTCTCTAAAGCTCTTTACGCTTCTGTAACAGAAATAAAGCGTCATCAGTGATTGCCGCTATTGATCGAAAGGCTTAAGAGTAATTAATTGATGCTATCTTCGTGAGGTTGGTAAACATAAACTGATTAGATTTCAATATATCACAGAAAGTTTCGAAGTCTACATTGCCACCTTTATCAGATCAATGATCAGTGATGTTCATATTTGCCAGTGCACTAGAAAGTCATGAAATTAATCAGACTTTATAATCCTATCTGTACTAAGGTGAACAATTTTGAAAGAGATAGTGATAAGAAAACAGTGAAAACTGATTAAGTTACATAAACTACTAACCCCTCATTTAAGATCTATAAGATCTAGGGATATGTGTGTAAACGTCTTATGGACCCCCTCATCCCTGTTTATATATTTTTAAACTTGTAAAATGTGAAAATCTAAAACTAGATATGGATACTTACGCCTGTGCCATCACCACTAACGAAATGATGAAGACAACAACGACGACAACAAAGACAGCGAGCGGCATGATGTAATTAAAATTGTGACTTCCTGCAGTGCCCATACTGTATTCATTAGCATCATACCAACCAAGGAACAATGCTGTACCTTCCATCCAACCCTGAAAATAATCTAGATATAACGTAGAGGCCAAACACATACAGTTCGAACCAAAATTAAAAAATAAAAACATACAGGACAACAATACTTAATTTATAACAAGTACAGTATAATTACTAGTAAACAGAAGTACGTGTTGATATAATCCGACATTGGAATATAACTAGTTCCACGTACATGGTTGCCCTTGCCAAGAATGTAATTGCAATTTCGTAGACCTACTTTCACATATGTGCATCAACGATTTATCATTGATGATATAGTCAGTAGAGATAGTTATATCGCTGTACATTTTAAGACGGTATGGTCATATATATCACCTTATTAAAAACGAACTTAATTCATTATAACTTGATTTGATGTTTTGATGAATTTTACCCCTGACCACAAGGACATAAACATGCATTATACTAACCGTTCCCTGAAGAAAGTCTGCAATGAGTGTAGCGGCATTAGAGGAGACATTAACGGTGTAGGAGGCACTACAGGTCTGGGCGGTGGCCACGTCTACACCTCCGATACCTGTCCCAGTCACCGCACTGGTGTAACCGTTTGACGAGAAATTCACAATGGCAGGTAAAGTCACGAAAATGAACATTAGTAGAAAGATAGCGATGTTCAACTTGAAGAGGGTGCGCAGGAATACAAAGTAGGAAAGTACACCAGCCCCTTGTTGTCCTGTAAAATAATTAGTGAATAATGAAATTCTAGTTATGGCTATTTCACTAAATACAGATAAAAATTCATGTAATAATTTCAGGGTCATGTTGAACCTTAAATCTCATCTTGATTTCAAAGATAAAGAAGGGAAATTCTTTAAACTGTACTGTCACCCTGTGAACCACACTAAAATTATAGATGTTCTTAAAGTGTTACGCCCACACTATCGTTACAGGTAGGCAACTCCATAGAAAGACAAATTTACGTTGAATACGTCTTGTAAGTTATGTTTTACTAAACTTCGAGAGGTTTCAAAACACTTTCCACAGTTTTAATGGTCTCTTACTGATGACCACTTTAAAGGGATGACCATGCAATACCTCTAGTGAATGGCGTGCACTTAGCATTAATCATCAAACTTCCTGGACATGTCATTATAACAACACAGAAACTGGACATACTAACAACCCATCCTTTTAAACCGAACAAACAGTTGACACAAATGAAGAAATCAGAGAGACTGAGGAGCAGAAGGTAAGAGAAAAGATAGAGTCCACTGTGTTCGCCTTGGCACCCTCAGATTGAGGGCACTGTAAAACTTATCACGTGACCCTTATTGTAGATTAGTTACGAAATGCTACGACAGACCGTTCCTTTCTCTGTGAGGTTATGGTGATCACTCTATGGAACCAGCAGACAAAGACATCTGCGGTCTATAGCGAGAGGAGGAAGACACCTCCATAGATATGAAAATGGACTACTGGCACATCAAGTTATGCACAACACAATGCCGGTATTCTTCAAAAGACTTACACCTGATCACACTCGATACAATACCAACGATCATAATTCATTGTCACGTCTCCATTCCTATAAATATGGCACCACTTCAGACTACACTAACGTACTTATATGCTGCTCCTTCCGTTCTGCATTGTTACGCCTTATTTTATTATATCAACTTCTCTTTTAGATTACTACACTTTAAAAAAAACTACCATTAATTATAAAAGTCCTGGGGCGATTTTATGATGCAGTGTTACTGATAGCTCTATTTATTGAATAATCCAGTGAATGCGTCCATATATATTTTCGTTTATGTCAGAAGTGTAATTAATATGCATGTATCCTGGAACAGTTGCTTTCTTTCATTGACTGTGCCAGTCAGAAATCGATTGTGATGTAATAATATGAACACTGACGTTACGAATTGAATTTGGCGTAAAAATGGCTGCAGTCAAATATTTAGCTTGAAAAATAAACAGGCAAAATGTAGCCCATTTTTCAGAGCTGTGTAGTAAACAGTATCAGATTTGTCTTCATTTCATAGGAAGTTTTATCAAACTCGTCAAGAAGTTTTGAAAAAACTTCAAACACTAGTTTTATAATATCTCATATGACATTATATTATATATCATATGACGTTAAAAAATATTTCATATGAAATAAGAACGTATTTAAGGTTACATATTTATAAACCCAGCTTCTGTATCAGAAACTTTATTCTAACCTTAGGCTGTTGTTTTTTCAGGTATGATTGTAACAATCTAATATCTAACTTTATTGAAAAAAATATATAATCTGAGAATACTCATGGTTTTATTTAACAATCTCTTTCTCCCTAACAACCGGATCTTATCTAAAGCGTTATGCGTCTTATAACTCTATATTCGCATATGTATAGGAATTACATGACCACTGCACAAATTTTTATTAGAAATATTGATTTTACCTGTCATGACCAGAGACAAACTGCTTTGTAACGTAATCTATCTCGTGGGTATTGATCACGGTACCTAGAGAATTAAACATTGTTTGATCGTATTTCATTCATCATTATATCTGTCAGGTGCCTCGGGTATTTGTCAATAATAGCTCACGTTAATCGTTTATCAAATTATAAGTAAAACCCAGCTTTAATGACATAATTAACACATCATCAGAGATTAATATTAGTCTCAAATACTTAAACCTAGTCATTATAGGTATTTACACCTGAAGGTAGATCGATTCAGTTTCCTGTCAGGTGAGAGAACCGAAAATCATATTGGAAAAAACATTGGAAGGTCGGGGTTTATATCTCGACTTTTGTATGTTTTATTGAAAATGTCAATATGTTAGAGAGAAGTCCTCATTAACTAGATTCTAAATTATTCAATTATACTATTATTCAAAAGCTGTGGCACATTTCACAAGCACCACATACGTCATCATGATGAAAGTACGGGCCTGTTTATATCACAAGTAAACCTCCATTGTTTATACTGATATTTAAAGAACATGGTTAGCACGACTTAACCATTATATTCTCAGGACCACGTGATCCTACAAAATGGTAATAAATACCTCAATGTTTTGGTGCGATCTAGGTAACAACCATAACAAAGATAATTGACATATTGTGTGCGTTGTCGCGTGTGTCACGGTCGGGAACACTTATAGACCTACTACAGAGGTAGATATAAATAGTCTATTGTCGAGGTTCCATTCAGAATGTCAGTTTATACTTCACAAACAGTAATGTGGTGTAACTTGAAATTTAAATGTGTATGGAAAACGGATTTCAATTTCCTTTTTTTTCATACTTGATATTGTCAAATTCGTATACCAATGATTTCGACAGGTTCATTTTTAAAGACCGTTATTAAAAGCAATTTTATTTCTCTAAAGTGACATGGTATAATCTGGGACATTTTCTTCAGTATACTGACTGTGTTACAAGTAATTCTCTTCCAGTGATATACACTATAGCCTTAGCACCAATTAGTGGTATTTCAGTGATATATATTCATTTCGGTATCTGAGCCAATCTTAAAAAAACAAAACATTCCCAGATTATCATTTCAAAGAATCCTTCTATTGATCTGCTTAAGTAAGATCTGCACCGAGATACAACATCTAGATCTTTTAGCGGTATGATATTGTGATATATTGTTCATGTAGCATGGCTGACCCTTTCTCTCATTATATTATTAGTTATAGTTACCCTCATGACCGTACTTTAAACCAACCCCTATAACGTGTTTTACAATTTTGATTAATTGGGTCAATTATTGGACATGCTAATGTTTTATGACCTTTTTGTCAATATTTGCTAATGTTGGTTGATAATTAATCAAATATTAAGTATCGATTTTACATCACGTCATGGAGGGGTCACTAAAATTCGTGGATCTAGAAGTTCTTTAAGTAAATGATACCTAGTAGAACATGGGATTCAATCGGTCAATATTGTCTCAGCAATTTATTGTCTATGTAAAGCCATGTCTCATACCATATCCTGTGTAAATAACACTAACTGAGCGAGGAGTACGTGTCTTATTTATAACAGGTCATATCCTTATAATGAAAACAGTCCAAAGTATATTCGTTCTTCCCCTAATGCCTTGGTCAAAATACTTTACCGTATTGGTATCAAAACCCCGAATGGCTTGTATCTCAAAAACATAACGAGGAAATACACACAGATTACAAACCTTAATAATTACGTTTGTACTTGATTAGGGGAGAATGGTTGGAAACAAAGAATGTCTTTTCTGAAGAAATTATTTATCATCGTCAGTAGAATTCCCCGTCTTGTGTGTCACCTGATCGCTGTATTAAGCGTGATATCAGTAGTGCCCATTTTATCTGACTCGGTTGTGTTTCTGAATACCACCGCCACTGATTAAAGTGATATTTGACCGTTAGATCACTACAGAAACTACATTGGAGACAGTGAGCCGTGCTTCACCTGAACCAAGAGCTGTCCCTCATCCTTACACTTACCATGGCGTTCCATTTCTAGAGAACGTTAATTGTAGTTAATTATCTGAGCTGTTTCTTTGAAAACCATTTTAATTTGATTAAAACAGACATTAGATCTATTTACAAAGGAACGATCAAACCTTTCTTTTCATAAGAACCATAAATGTAATTAAAAAAAGTGTTTCGCAATTTATGATTAACCTGTTATAGTGGCGTTGTATTTAAATCCATGATACTACACCGTAGGGTTATCAGTACAAATAGCGGAGGGGTGTTACCAGAATATTGTTCTCTACAGTATCATAATTTTATTTTTTTAGTAAGTAGGTGATGTATATACCAGAGGGGAAAATAGTACGTGAAATCTGCAATGAAAGACATTGTCCTTTTTTAGTTTGTTCTTAATCTTTCCAAAATAGAATGACACGCAGACATCCGAATACAATTTATCTATAATTAATCCTAGGCCTATGATTTCAGTTTGTTTCTGTTAGGGCCTTGCTCAATGCTACACAAAAGGAAGATTTCACACCGAAACCGAAAACCATAGAACAATGGGTGTTGTCTGATTATAGCCTACATAGAAGAGATAGAATAGAAGGTGAAGGTGTTTACTTTGTGTAACGTGTATTTACATAGCCCAGACACCAATGGGGTTAAACCTTGTTGATATAATCGTATCACGCCATTAAAAAACAGATCAGAAAATTGAAGAAAAAAAATCTTCAAAGTAAAGTAAAATCAATGATTCCTCGGTAGGTCTAACAGGACAGGAATGTAAATAATGTATGAATGCTGTTGTAAACACGTCGTCCCTAGAACACCCTCCTAACTAGAGAACCCTATTACTTTATTAGACGATATGTTACAACATGTCTATCTACCTTCGATTTTTTTCAGAGCAGTCCCCCATAGTTCAATCTGGTATTGGAATTCTTTGTAGCCAATCTTGAACTTCTTCCAATCCTGAAATAAAAAAGTAATGCATGTAATGATCGTTCAAATCTTCATATACATATTCAGTAATGCTATAATCAAGAAATGACGTCACTTCGATATTGTTGATATTAAGTAAAGAAGAACTCTTCTGCATTGAAAACATCAGAAGCACTTCAGTCTTTTTCCCAGGGTCACTGATGTTCTGAACTTTCTATAAGTATCACCAGTGTTATCACTTAAAAGAACCATCAAAATATCTTTACGGGATTTGTAGAATATAATTAAGTAAACCATCAGTTTCATGCTCTTTAACGTGGGCTTTTTTCATAAGAGGAAATGTGCAAATTAATTATGACAATGTATTCATATCGTTCATCGAGACAATGACAATTAAGGATATCAGAACAATTTACTTATCGTTGATGAGGCCTTCATAGTCTTATTTCTAATTATAAAGAGGTGTATATATAGGATAACGTATATTTTTCTGTGAAGTATATCGTGAGAATAGACAAGACTTGCTGAATAGGTCTATGAAGTAATTCAGTTGAACTTGTTGAGGACGTTCTGTGTTCAGTAGGGAACTTCCTTTTGTTTTCGATTTTCTTCCTAACATATTTATGATATGGTATTTTAAATAACACCCAATATTTATGCAGCACTAAAAGTTTAATAACACTCCTTGTACCTGTATCGATTAGGCCAACAGGAACAATACACATGTCGCGTGGACATGTTATAATGTATACCTCGACAGAGAGGACGGCTTACTGTATCTAACCCTGATAAATCTACACGGTATACATATATGTACTTAAACAAGCACACGGGAACCTGTGATATACTACCTCGACCTATTCCACTGGGTCCCGAGATGTACGTGCAAATTCCAAACACTTTAAAGGTCATCACACGGGAAAAAAAATCATTTATTACACCCCATTGAGGGATCACATTTTATTACCGTGTCACCCATATGCCAGACCAAATACAGTGTATATGAAATACATCGTATCTTTTATTGCACAGAGCAAATTCAGTTTTTGTTGTTCTTGTTTTTTTTTGCTTTGTGTGTGTTGTTTTTATAGGAACCTGTCGAGTGGCGAACAAAGTTTTGAAATGTCCTTTTTCATCGGCTTAAAACAGTAGCGTTATATCTGTTTTCAAAGCGTGATTGCCTGGGTATGGTTTAAGCAATGGTTCTATTTATGTTTTGTGATTGAGCCTACTCACCATCTTTCGCCGATACATCCACCCGCTACATCCTCCAAGGCGTTTTGTTGGTCGCTCCGCCAACTTCGACCTTCAAGTAAAATATTAAATTTTTGAAAAAGTTTGTAAAACAGACGTGAAGTAATTATACCAAATGAACACGTCACTTATACAGTTATCAAAAGGTTTATACATATTTTGATACCATATTTTGAAGAAAAAAAATCATTACAATGACAAATGACGTTCATCATACCATGAACAGATTTTGAAACATTAAGCAGCTTCTATCCAGGTTACATTAGCCACGCGGAAAACAACAACAAAAGCTTAAATGAAGGTCTATCAATGTAACAATACACTGATTAGACAAATCTGATGATGATGATGATGATGATGATGATGATGATGATGATGATGATGATGATGATGATGATCAGGGGCGTAGCTTCCATAGAAAGAAAAAGCCCGGGCTTACACATAAAAGATCCGTGCATATATCGGACAAAATTACAAAACTAAGATTGAAAATAAATATCAGGGTTCGAAGTTTGTTGTTGAATAAATAAAAAAAACTGTCTCAGAAAACGATTCAAAACATCTTTGAAATCATGAAATTCATGACCCCTTGCCTGGGCTTACACATTTCTGCTGGGCTAACTACGCCCCTGATGATGATGATGATGATGATGATGATGATGATGATGATGATGATGGAAGTTGTAGTAGTGATAGTGGACGAACGACATCAATGAAGACGACGACTGCTAAGATTTCGGTTTCCATTTAACCCATTGTGTTTAATATACATTTCAATGTGACGCACGGGACGTCTAATTCATGCACAATATTATCGTTATAGATAGACCGAATGTTTGTTCGAGCGTATAATTAGGTAATACCAGAACAAATGTAGTATGTCGTTATTGATTACTGAGAACGCCCAACAAACTATCCGTGATAATAGATATCGTCATTCACCAAAGACTTTGTAACAAAAGCACAAAGTATTGTTACTTGTATACCATGTGAGTCTCCAAAGACTTTCACATCAACAGCATAATTCATAGAATATCAAAGAACTGATTTTGTATGGAGTCATTGTGGGGATGGTATACCTCTTTTAAACGTCTCATCTACAAATAACACCACTTCTATATAACATTGCGTCTGTATAACACCACCGCTATATAACACTATGTGTATATAACACTCTGTCTATATAACACTATCTCTATAAAACATCACCTCTACATAACATCACCTCTATATAACGTTACGACTATATAATACCACCTCTATATAACATCACCTCTATATAACGTTACGACTATATAATACCACCTCTATATAACACCACCTCTATATAACGTTACGACTATATAATACCACCTCTATATAACACCACCTCTATATTACGTTACGACTATATAATACCACATCTATATAACACCACCTCTATATAACGTTACGACTATATAATACCACCTCTATATAATACCACCTCTATATAACACCACCTCTATATAACGTTACGACTATATAATACCACCTCTATATAAAATTACGTCTGTATAACATTACCTCTATATAACATTACCTCTATATAACGTTACGACTATATAATACCACCTCTATATAACATCACCTCTAGATAACATCACCTCTATATAACATTTCCTCTATAAAACATCACCTCTATATAAAATTAACTCTTTAAACACACAGCACTTCATGTATGTATACGAAAGCGTGTTTCTGTAACACCATAACCATTATTATAAAATTTTGTAGGTATTAATCATCTCCATATTTCGATTGTATCACACCAGGAAGTGAACAGTAGCGTATTTAACAATGGCTTACCTTCTGATAGTGAGTGGAGGTGTCCAGCTTGATTCCGAACTAGGGTTTAACAGTAACTTCGAAGGTTGCGCTCGGGGTACGGTTTTAGCAGTGTTTGACCGTATCCCTTTCGCTGACGTCACGGGGGATATTTGAGGGGATCCATGTCCCGAAGTCGGCGAGGTTGAAACTTTACGGGTAGCACCGGAAGTGGGATGGACAACGTTTTGTCTAGCGGCCCACATTTACATATATGGCACGTTTAGTAAGAGAAATGACTGCACCGGCTAAACCACATACAGGTAGAAAATTCTAACACCACAATGGGCACCGGCTCCAAAACGTAGGATATATGGTCGATCCAAACATAATACAAATTTTGTCCTTAAACTGACACAAACACTATCCTTGTCGTAGTATAATATCGAAAGCACACGGAAAATAAGTAATACTTTTTTATGATTCTACGTAAATATCTATGAACAGGGATGTTATGTTGTAAATCAGGTAGAACTGAAACGTCCCGGTCCCAACATGTCTTCTGAACAGATTCCTTCACGTAAATGACACGATGAGTTGATTTAGTCACCAATCATACCCGGGTTGTCTTAGGTCGTATCGCTAATTAGTTTGAGCTGCGATTTCACACAATGTGATTAACACTCAATTGATGGCGTTACTTTGAAGCTTACTGAAATGTCTGGAGTCCCAGATACCTACCCCAAAGTACCCCCATGTCGCCCGATCGAGAAATAATACCGAATAATTTAAGTATATCGCAGTTAACGTACTAGTATGTTCCAGATCTACATTAACATTACCGTCTCTCACCTGATGGCAAAACAACGAGTCTATTGTTTAACCGTTTAAAAGCGGTTACGGACCACTTAATGCATACTCATGTAAGGAATTCGATATGGTGTATACAGTATTGTATAATGTTATGACACGAAAAGCGGACTCCTTTGTCCGGAATAAAAAAATGCGTAACTGTGGAGTAGAAGACGACAGTACTTAATTAATTAAGAAATCTGAAGGAGAATGTCATCAGAAGATTTGCACATCCACCGTCTCATTGCAATATCAAGGTCATCATCGTCAGAATATCCTAAATCTCTTCACTTATGTTCCGTATGTCCGAACACACATTGTGATGATAAATCAGATTAATGTCTCCCTTACAGCTGCAGGATTCTTGAGGACAAGGAGAAGAGGGAGGAGGAGGAGAAGGAGGAGGAGAAGGGCGGCGGCGACGACGACGGCGATGATGATGATGATGATGATGATGATGATGATGATGATGATGATGATGATGATGATGATGATGATGATGATCGTGATGATTTTTATCGTTATTACCTGTACTTCCGTTTCTGTTGAAGAGAACACGGTAAGTTCTTGATTAGCTGTAAAGTCTTGTATACATCCTCCTCATCGTCAAAGTTTTTCACACGAATGCCTCTTTTGGACAACTCCTTTAGGTCCGGATCGAGCTCATCATATGTAGTCTCTTCCGGATAAACGGCATTGCTACTTCGGGCCTTCCGGTTATTTGCCTCCTGTTTTCTGGCCATTGTGATCCCTACGTCGGAGGTCAAAGCCAACTTACTTGGAAGCAGAGAGAAGATTTGGTTTGCCTCGCTCTTATATGTTACCCTCCCTGTACTGCTTGATTCCGACTGGATCTCTCCTGAAATTGGTTAATTGATTTATCATTATCACGTGATATTTGAAGGAAAATGAGACACTTCCGGTGAAACAAATATGAACAAATTGATTTACGTTACACAAATACATTGTGATTTAGGGATAACCTATACAACAAAGCTAGGCTAATAACGATCTTGTTGCCGGCGTTATTTCAGGAAATGTTATGTAACATTTTCTTTATTGAATACACTTCAAATTTTGATTAAGTCCATCCATGAAATTTCGACTTCTGAAAGATAGCATTTACAAAACAATTATTACATCCGTGATTTATTCGTGTTGGGATTTTTAAGGCTGGCCAGTCCTGAACTTTTATATAACTGTCCACGGCATTTGGAATTCAGACTTATTGCCGATCAAAATTAGTTTTTTCATATCATAACACAAGATTTTTTCACTTCACAATAGATATTTCGCTACCATTTTTGAAAATGTTAAATAAAAACGGAGTAAGTTTAAAAACAGTTGACATCTGAACTATTAGACAGCTGGAAACGATCAGACTACAACAGTGTATTTAGAGTATTGTCCCCATCTTATGCTGTTTCTTAAATATCACTTAAGTGTTGTTTTTTCTTCTTTTTTTTTGTTTGTTTTGTTGTTGTTGTCGTCGTCGTCGTTGTTGTTGTTGTTGTTGTCGTTGTTGTTGTTGTTGTTATAGCCTGTTACGGCTATTATTGATATTGCTACTAAACCTTTATCATAATTCTGAGTGTGATATTGCCCTTACATGTTACGAAGATTTAAAAAAATGTACTTTTTATTTGCAGATTTAAAGCATTTAGTGTTTATCAGCACATTTGGATAGCCATTTTTATTATCATTATCCTAATTGTGAGGTGTCAGTGCTCTCAGTTGCTATTATCACTGTATAAAATGCTATACTGCACAGTAAACATAAATCAGTTACTCCGTTGTAAAATCACTATGGTGCCTCATGTCACCTTATATGTACCTCTGGATGGGTTCTCCGATTCACGTTAATCCCATGTTTGTTACCGTAGCAGCAGTATATATATATATATCGATGTGCATCGGCTACATACGCTATTGCCGTAGCACACATGGTGCACTACTCGACAATAGGGATACGGGAAAGGAAAATTATCAGCCACCTCTGCGTGATGTAGACAGAGAAAGTTCAACCCTAAGGGTTTAGCTTTTAAGGATTTCGCTCTATTCATCATATACATGGGAAAGATATTTTATATTCTAGCCGAAAACAGACCAATGCACATGTGAAGTATGGGATTATATCCTATCTTGTACAGTATTTCCATACTACTATCAGGAAAAATAGCAAAACATTGACAGTAGTTCAATAACAACTTATGTGGTATTGTTTGAACTCCTATCGTTTAGTTTATCTATGTGATTTTCTTATTATTTGTTGTACTAAGTATGACATACCCACAATCCATCTGCACCGGAAACATCATGGACATTGCTACCTACAGATACCGGTAGCATGGTGTATAAATTTCACTACTACTCCGTTTATCTGTGTGTGTATTGGTAATTTCGTGCTCTTCAGAGCTTGGTTGCAGTCATTCAATGGTTAGCAAAATAAATATATTTTCCCGTTAAGACACAAGGGCGTTCAGAACAAGATTTCCTATAATTTTGTTAATATATATGATTTTTCATTAAATGCTTCATACAGACCAAAGTGATTTATGTTTCTAAATCCTTTAATTCCGAGATGTTTAATCCCGATAACAAGTGCAAGCGGGAACTTGTAGTGCTAAACAAATAACAGCTTGTGTGTATTGTCGGGTATCAATATTCGCTTACTTTCAGTGACCAATTAGAATTTGATATGCAATGATAATGACGCTCAGAAAAGAGTTATTATAATAATATTTACGAAAACCGGAAGTCACAATAAGATTCATATCGAGGCCACGTTTTGGTCCGCTTTTTAAATCAATTTCTTTCAATGACTTATCAATTATTCATGATTTATATCAGTAACGGACAACTCAGAATTTTTATCTAAAGTCGATTAACAGTTGTAAATCTGGAGGAATTTACGGGACACTGCATGTACTGCAGAATAATCAGGTTGATATGAGCTGAATCGTCCCTGTTATGAACCACAACCAGCAACACTACATCACCATTCACGTTCCATAGACACACAGCTACTATTATCCGCCCCAGAACATAGTAAACACAACAACAACCATGATATACAAAAGTGAATTATACAAGTATACATGTAGACGTGTCCACACATTTTGATAGTTCGTAATAAACAGGTTACTATAACAGATAACGATAACATTCTCTAATGAAATCACACTGATTCTGAGAAACATGGTAATGGATATAATTTATAATATGTTTGTTTACAAAGTTATAGGTATATGACACCCTAACTATTAGTATACAAACATCTTCTTAGCAATCGTTGTTCTATCCACTTACTAAGTGTGATAAATATGTACCTACCTGTATCAATGGTTAGATACATTCCGATTTCGATTTTTTACTCTCTAATTTTGTAATTTTTAGATATTATTGTAAATGTGACAGAACATACCTTCTACAGTGGAAAACCATTGGTAAAGTCTGTTGTGTGCCGCCATTTTTCTCTACCAGTTTACTGAATATCTAAGAATCCTTGTTATAAAGCGTGAAATGCAAAAGGCACAGTGGCGTTCTCTATGAATAATTAATACCAGAAACTGTTTCGGTATCTCTCTATAGACAGTGCCACTAGTCAGGTTCCTCCAACCAGTTTTAAAGACATAATATTCAGTCTCTCTAGACAGTACCACTATCCAGGTTCCTCCAACCAGACTAACAGACACAATATTCAGTCTCTCTAGACAGTACCACTAGTCAGGTTCCTCCAACCAGTCTTAAAGACACAATATTCAGTCTCTCTAGACAGTACCACAAGTCAGGTTCCTCCAACCAGACTAACAGACACAATATTCAGTCTCTCTAGACAGTACCAGTAGTCAGGTTCCTCCAACCAGACTAACAGACACAACATTCAGTCTCTCTAGACAGTACCACTAGTCAGGTTCCTCCAACCAGTCTAACAGACACAATATTCAGTCTCTCTAGACAGTACCACAAGTCAGGTTCCTCCAACCAGACTAACAGACACAATATTCAGTCTCTCTAGACAGTACCAGTAGTCACGTTCCTCCAACCAGACTTAAATACACAACATTCAGTCTCTCTAGACAGTACCACTAGTCAGGTTCCTCCAACCAGACTAACAGACACAATATTCAGTCTCTCTAGACAGTACCACTATCCAGGTTCCTCCAACCAGTCTTAAAGACACAATATTCAGTCTCTCTAGACAGTGCCACTATCCAGGTTCCTCCAACCAGATTAACAGACACAATATTCAGTCTCTCTAGACAGTACCACTATCCAGGTTCCTCCAACCAGACTAACAGACACAATATTCAGTCTCTCGAGACAGTACCACAAGTCAAGTTCCTCCAACCAGACTTAAAGATACAATATTCAGTCTCTCTAGACAGTACCACTAGTCAGGTTCCTCCAACCAGTCTTAAAGACACAATATTCAGTCTCTCTCGACAGTACCACTATCCAGGTTATTCAATATCTCTAAACAGTACCACAAGTCAGGTTCCTCCAACCAGACTTAATGACACAATATTCAGTCTCTCTAGACAGTATCACTAGTCAGGTTCCTCCAACCAGTCTTAAAGACACAATATTTCAGTCTTCCCGGACATGTGTCAGTGTGCATACAACACTACGTTAACGTCCCATCAATACGGTGCCTTTTATCTACGACTTAATGATATTGACCTAAGACACCATAAACTGACTGTTTGGTCCTGGCCAACGAGTGTAAATATAGACAAGTGTAGTCCTCTTCCGTTCTTCCATAAGATTCAATTCTAATAATTTTACAATAAATACATCAGGTCGATTTTTTTTCCAAAGACGTTTCGTGTTTCTATAATGTCAAACGGCCTGACCGTCACATAACCGGGGTATTTAAGTAGGGCTCGTTTGTAAACATCAAAACGCTGTAAAAGTATCCAATCGATTGCAAGGTAATATTGCTATAAACAGGAATATATCAGTAAGGTATAAACAGAACAAGGGTAATATTAGTTAAAGGACAATACACATTTCTGATTTATTTACATTGAAGTCTCTTTTGCGAGCGAGCCAGCGAAGGGATCCGATCGCTCAACATGACCAGTGAAATTTACAGGCATTCGTTTTAAATGGTGTTCAATACATCTTATTGGGACGTGATATTTACAACAGTTTATGGTTATACGAAGCAGTGTTCACAATGATGGGATCACTTAATGTCGCTGTTACAGTGCAATCACTCTGAAATAATATTTCATTCGGTCACATTGCATCTGGCAATAGTTTGATTAAAATATCGCTTATACGGTTTGAGGGCAAAATCCATAATCTTACATCTATATTTGCATGAAAATGCCACGATATTAACTCACCAGAAATAATAAATACTTAAGTAAGATAAGCGACATTCTGCGCGTGACCATTACGATCCCGTTCTTGTCGACATGGAAACTGCGACCGGTAACTGGCAATATGTCTGTTTCACTTAACGGATTATACTGTCGGTAATAAATCTTTACTTCAGTTTAAATCAAGTCATTATCATGTTTGCCAGTAAAGCTATGTCATGTATAACTGCTGTAAATGCCACATCGCAATTCAATGCTTAAGTACAATGTTATTCCTGAGGACGTCCAACACTAAGGCTTAAACAGAGGACCTACCAATTTAGGTATTAGAAAGAAGATGATCAGAAGTTAAAAGAGCACTGCATAAAACTCAAAGTTTGCACTAAGTACTAGAGCTTTATTTTAATAACATGCCGAACTACCCAGCGGATTGCATGAGGTTCTCCCACATTAGTCGCCTCGTGGATAGTTTTCTCGATCAAAGACCCACGCGATTGTCATTTAAACGTACATCGGTAACTCAAATCAT